TATCGCCCTTCCTTCCCCTATGGCCCTCCCAGCGACGGTCATGGAAACGCCGAGCCACCTCGCGGCCTACAGATGATGCCTCCTCCCCCGCCGACTCCGGACGGTATTCCAATACATCGACCCTACGGGTCTGGCGCGCACATGCCTCCCGGTGCCGCTGCGTACGATGCAGGCTATTACTTCGCGCAGGCCAATGTTCCTTATAGCCAGCGGCAGCGGAGAACTACCAGAGCACAACAGGTTCAGTAATACCCTTAACTTGAAAATTTAGAATCAAAAACCTTTTTTTTTTTTTTAAAAAAAAAAAAAAAAAAAAAAAAATTCGTCTTACGGCCATTTTCTAATTCGATCTTAGGCTTGCGATCAATGTCGAGCGCGAAAAGCCAAGTGTGACGAAGGTCGGCCTTCCTGTGGGCATTGTAAAGATAGTAATGTTCAGTGTGTCTATAAAGATGTTCCTCCCCATAAGTAAGTGCCATACCTACCGAGACATTGTCGCACGCGGGGAAGACAAACCTGACCAAGTTTTGCTTTTTTTTGCTCTTCCCGTTCACGATGAAGGCACGAGAGATCGACTCAGATATTACTCGAGAGGCTTCAACAGATCGACGATCGATTCGACAAATTTGAGAACATTGAGAAGATCGACGAGGTCGTAAAGCTGCTCAAGGCTCATACCGACAAGCTAGACGCTCTCCTAGGAAGGGCGAACCGAACAAAGCCTTCAAGTTCAATCTCTGATCCGGAGCTGAAACAGCCGGTTCAAAATGCCGCTACTCCTCAGCAGGGAAAGGGTGCCGAGATGGAACCCGTGAAGCTATCCGAAAAGCTGGCTAGCGACGCTGTCAAGCAGGAGCAAGGGGACATCCAAGTTGAGGCTGACGACGACGAACTCTCCATCCCGATCGAGCACACAACCGCAGCGCACAAACTGCTTCTGTGGCCATCAATACAGAAGCTTATTCCCGACAGGATCGATGACGACTATGTTATGCGACTGGAGGAGTCGCGCGGTCCCATTCGACCCTATGGTCGCGGCGAGGGAGGCGGCAGCGTTCGCACCAGTGTATATCCCCTCAGCCCCATCGTCAGCTCGTCGAGTCCACGCGATGAAGATATGTTTCAGTTTTGCGGCTCGGGGTGGGGAACAGGCTTTGAGATATTCCAAGGGAACAGTGTGTCCAAGATTCCCAAGGAGCGCCAGATCGGAGGACTCAACAGTGCCGGCGCACTCGATCTCGATGTGGATGTGGTGTACGCATATCACAAGAGTTATATGGAAAACATGCACATCCTCCATCCGTTCCTCAGGTCCACCGATCTCGCAATCATGGTCAAAGATTTTGTCAATGCATACAGTCCTCCCAAAAGGGGCCATTTTGCTGCTCCTCCCTTCGGCCACATCGTAGCCAACGATTCGATGAACACTTTGAACAGATCTCAAAAACGGAAACGATCTGTCGATGTCGCGTCCGGCTATACCGAACTCGAATCCCCAGGCTCTGACCACAGTATGGGCGCCAGTTGTCCTCCGATTCAACGATCTATGGACAATGCGATTGTCCTTCTCGTCTTGGCCCTCGGTGCCATATGCTCGTGGAAAACGGAGCTGCCAGGTCCCATCCCGGACCCGCCAAGTAAATTACCATACGTGACCTCCGCCGTGTCGCCTGTCACCATGGATTCGGCCATGCCTTCAACAAACGCATTCCGTTCTCCCACGAGTCGCTCTCCGAACAATATCCAGGGCTGGAAACGATCCGGGAGCTATTCCGGCAGCGATCATTCCGACCCTAACCTCAAGAACATGGATGTTATTCCAGGAATGGCATATTATGCTCTTGCGTCTGATATTTTGGGTAACCTCCAGGGTGGAAATGACCTTGCACACGCGCAGGGATGTCTTCTTGCTGCGCTGTACACAGGGCAACTCGCTCACCCTTTTGCCAGCCACGGGTGGATTAGTCAAGCAGCTCGAGCCTGTCAAGTTTTGGTTCGAGCGTGAGTAATAGCTTTTCTTCTGTAACCCTTCCGGAGCTTCGAATAACATTTACTGACTCATTGTGTCAAGGCGGAGCTTTGAGGTGATGCCCGATGGCCCACGGAAGGACTTGATCACTTTTGCGTTCTGGACGTGTCTGCAACTTGAAAGGTAAACACCCTCCCAGCCTTTCTTCAGCTAAAGGTCTCTACCTTTTTACTCACCCGAAACTCCAGTGATATCCTCGCTGAGCTTGACCTCCCTGCCAGTGGCATCAGCCGATTGGAAGGCCGCATGGAGTTTCCCAAGGCAGTCTTCGCCCACTCGATCCCGAATGAGATCGAGGCACCAGATACGCTGATGATGATGTATTACTCGGCCCAGATTCATTTAAGAAAGGTCTTGAATCGTGTGCATACGAATTTGTATAAAACCGAGAGTAAGTTTGTTTTATATATATATATTCTAAATTTCATAATTCTTTTTTTGCGGGCAATTGGAGCTCCAATCGAAAACAAACTAACATACACGTCCGTCTAGAAACAGCCAACGGCGAAAAGAGGACGCGATGGACAACTACGATTCAAGAAGCTTTGAGCGACATGCTGGAATATTGGCGGAGTGGTTTGCCAAAAGCCATGCAATGGGACGACTCAGACCCACCAGCGAGGGATATTAATATAGCTCGGATGCGCGGTAAATACTATGGAGCCAGATACATCATTCATCGACCACTGTTGCATCATGCTCTGCACCCCATGATAGCGAAGACCCACAGCACCGGCCCAGCGGAATCGCCTGCGCCCTCAGTCGTGTCGAGCGCAAATTCGCAAATCTCGCCCGCCCTGGCGCATGTGCAACAAGTTGAAAATATCGATCGCTGGTCCGGGGAGATGCCTCCACCACCCCGGATAACCTCCAGCCAGGATCCTCCGCAACCTCCGTTCGAGAAAGATTTGGATCCTAAACTACATGCTGCTTGCGTAGCGTGCATTGAGGCTGCGATGCATAGCACCGTCGCTTTTGATAATGTTGAAGGACGACCTATCGTGACGAATATTTTTGGAACTGCTCACGCGTAAGTCGTACGTGTCATACCATCAAATTTTGGCGACATAACTAACTGTTCTTTTTTCTCCCTTAAAAGGCAATTCGGAAATATTCTCGTCCTTGCCGCAACGTATACATCTCGACTTTCAAATTTTGTCGATCGAAAGAGACTCGGCGAACTCATCGATCGGACAATCAAATTTCTTCTTCATAGCAGACACATATCTCCCAGTCTCCGGAAAGACGCAGAGATCCTCACTCAGATCCGCCAGAAGCTCTTCGAACAACACGGCGTCAACAACACCAGCTTTTCATCTAGTGACGGATGAACTATGGAACTCATCTTCATTTATCCTTTCTATACTTACCAGTGAACCCCCCCGGAGAATCTCTATTTGTCCTTTTCCCGTTTTGTTTTTTTCCCCTTGCTATTTTTATTTTGTTCGAAGCGTGGCATGCTTTGTATATACTGGCTTCCTCCTCTATCGTCCTGCATATGATACTCACTTTGGTCATGCTAGCACCCCTCCAGATGGTAATTTGCATGGGCGGCAATTTGTGAAATTTTCAGAAACCTTTTCTCCATTGAGCCTTGTTGATTTTCTCTTATGCAGAGGCTTTCCATGGCGGCTTTCTTGTTAATTTAATCTCCTTTTTTCTTGTTGGTTGTTAGCTTGTGTGGGAGGAAGGGGAGGTTTACTACTCTGGCCCCTTCGATCTATTTTGCATGTATCAAAGCAATGAACTTTTCCCCTTCTTTTTTTTTTTAATATGTTTTTCATTCCATTTTCGTTTCTTGTTTCCTTCCTGGGCTTTGCTGTTGGAATTCCCCCAAAGCCCCCAGGAGATAAAACATGGACATAGGCGCCCTGTCGCTTTTTTTTTTAATTTGGTTTGATATATGGACATATATATACACACATATACACTACCTTTCTTTTTCTTTTTTTTTTTTTTTAATCTCTGTCTGATTACTTCTTTTTGGAAGTATTTTGATTCCCTTTGGATCTTCAAAGGATTAGCGAGAAGATTTTGGTGTTTTTAAACAGGCCATGTTTAGTTCAAGTCCTGAATTGCATGCCTGAGAGGCTGTTATTGAAGGTAACACATGGAACTGACCCTGTGCATCCCCGTGTGGCTTGGTTCAACAGCTCTGTGTGAGGAGAATTTATGGGGCGAGGACGGAGTATTTGTTTATGGGAAAGTTGCCCAGAGGTACGGAGTACACAATGTATTCACTGGATGATCAATCTCTGCTGCAGTGGTATTTAGATTTTCAACAAAAGCACCAAACCATTTTAACAGATAATGAAAGCAGCCCATTTTGTAGTGTTTCGCCCGAAAAAAAAGAAAAAAAAGGCATAAGCTCCCTATTATTTCTAGTCCAACCCCTCACCAATTTAGTCCACATGTAAAATCTTCACGTAGTTTGAAATTTTAATCTCAACGTATTAGAAATCAATAAATTCCTCTCAAAGTGGATTTAAATCGTGAAGTTAATATTTCTCTTGCTATTGAAGCTCTTGAATCTAGTCAAATTAAATCAGAACGAGCCGCCGCGGCCGTGTATGGCATTCCTCGAAGTACGATCCGCAGTCGAAGAGCAGGACACACAAATCATCAAAAAAAGAGCATCAACGTTCCTGAACAAGAGCAAATTTCTAGTTGAATGGATAATGGAGCAGCACCTTCAAGGGTTTCTCTCTCACCCCCGGAGTCCATGGACTGTCAAGCCGAATCCTTCGAATGAACAATATAACAATCCACCGGGTAAAGATTGGGTTAAGAAATTCCTGAAAAAGAAATCTCCGGATATCTTCGGTTGTTGGGAGGCGAATAGAGTCCAAAGAACCCGAGAATACTGAGTGCTCAGCCTGATTTAATTCAACAAGTCTCTGACTTTCTTTAGCAAGTGATTTGAATCTGCGATGATTTCTACGTGTGGACCAAATTGCACCGGAAATAGGGTACCGAACTTTATCGCAATATTATTATTTAGACCCTTCTTTGTAACCGCTATGCATGCATGTATGGATGTACAGCACATGTACGAGGTACCTACCTACAACAATCAATATAACATGCTTCTCCCAGAGCATATCAGATATTAATAGTTAATGCATATAAACATTCAGTTTTGGAAAACTACGAGCTATTTAGATGAAAGCCACTCCGTTGCTTGACGACAAACTCGTGGGGCCACGGTTTCTCGAGCCCGCTCGATCTCTATCATCATGGTCTTCGAGAATTTCCTCTTCTACACTGTCCATGTCAGAAGAGATGGACGGCGGAGCGGAGGGAATGGAACGAGGATCAGGCGGCAGTGGAGGAATTGAAATGTTCGGGTTTGTAGTGTAAACATTTTGTGGAGGGTCAAAGAGGGATGTTCCATCGGATCGGGTAGTTTCGACGGGTATCGGTGGTAGATCTCGGCCTTGGACGAGTGGTCGCTGGTAGGAGGCGGGCGGGTGAGCGACGTTATCAGTTCCAGCCGTTAAGGAGCGTTCATTGTCCGGATTATGGAGGACGCGTAGTTCAGATATTCCGGCGGGGTTATCTTGGTCTGTAGCTGAGAAAGGATCGGGTGCGGAGGTACGCACGACATTATACAGATGATCGTCTCCTTTAGCATATGATGGAATACGGTCGGATGAACGGTGATATTCTGAAGATGACGACGACGACGTAGACGAGGAGCGGCGCGATCGGCTAGGATAGGACATACTACTTTCACCAAACGGCTTCTCATTCATTGATTCAAGGATGGATGGTGTTGGCGATGGGGTACGACTCCGATCATGAGGGATCTCCGTGTCCATGGCCCCATCTCTGACAAGTCCAAGTACTTCTTCTTCGGTTGCGTTTTTTGTAACTCGTCGCTGCTGTGGAGGCTGACGGTGGGCCCTGAAATTCGAAAACCCAAGAAATCTGTTGTCTCGGCTAGGAGACATTTCGCTGGAGATATCAGCACGAGCGGAAGACCCTTCGCGGTGGAAAAGTCTCTGGAAAGAGAATTGGCGATGTGCTGGCGGGGTGGGTGGCGATCTGCTCCTTTGTCTCTGAGGGCTATCATCGATGGTCTTCACGTCATCCGCAAACCTGACAGATCCTACAGTGCCGCTTCGCATTCGCTTTTGACTCTCGTACTGGAATGGTTCTAAAAGAGTAGTGGCAGGGTAATTTTTGACTTCGGTGTATCTATGCTGACCATCGACGTTCTTCCGGGAACGGTCGTGAATCGATTCTAATTCGATAGAGCACATTCGAGTTTCGGTGCTTTGCGAATCCTCGCTCGGCTTCCTCGAAGAGCGACCGCTTGATGTGCGGCTCCGAAAACTGTCCAGAAACGACCTCCCAGTTCTTGATTTGGGCTCTGAATCTTCGTCGTCTTCTGGAAATCGCGACATCCCCAGAGGTGGACGAGGCGTTTTTGTCCGCCGCGGTGTGGCAGTTGGTCCGGCGCTGAGAACGGTTCTTCTTCTTCTGAGGCCATCCCATTCAATTATTTCATTTTCTCCAGGTGACCATGACTCATCGAGCTTCCGTTCGCTTTGATATCGCAGTGCTTCATCCCTTTCCATCTTCTGTCTCGGTGTTGATATGCGGCGGATAATCGCAGCAGTACCTCGAATAGCATCTGCTTTCGGCTCTGACTCGGGTTGCTCCTGCTCAGCAACTTCTCGAACTTGATCCAAGTCGCCCTTGAATATGGCGGCATCTGGCACATCTTTGGCAGATTTTGACAGCTGCAGCAACACGACTCCCGTACATATTTGGAGAAAGCCCATGACGACAGTGGTTATACTTATCGGAGAGCCTTTGAAACCTTGGAATAGAACGGCGGATGTAATAATTGTGGCGCTGGTAAATATAACATAGTAAGTCGGAGTAACCAGTGCGGCATTAAAAACATTCAAAGCTTTCTAGTTCGAACGGTCAGTCATTAACTAACGGCCACTGACAAATAGTAGCAGTATTTCCGAGACAGAGCCTTACATTTAAATAGATGATCTCGGTCAATAGGGTTATTATCACAAAACCTAACAGAACGTAAAGGAACCACTCCTTAAATTGCTGCTGTCCAGATATCTGGGCAATAATGGCTGCACCCAAACCCTGAGTAGCAACAACACTCAATGCACCAATTAGACTGCAAATAGACAGATACACGAACATGCTTCTTTTCCCGTAGCGGGGACCAGCCCAAATCGCCACGACAGTACAGCCAACGATGATGACTCCGGCATAGGTAAGAAATACGGGCCGAATAACGTAGCGTTTCATATCCTGGATGTTTGAAACCGACGACTGCTGTGGTGCATTCATTGCAATCACCACCGATCCGATGATACAGTTGAAACAGCCGACTTTTCCCACAAAGCTTAACCGCTCCTTGAGAAAGATAGCTGATAGAATCGTCGTCACCACCACAGACAATGCACCCAATGGTGTCACCAAAATGGCATCCACGAATGCATACGCCACAAAATTGCATATTTCTCCCAGTATCATCAGCGTCATGCCAGCCCACCAGTAAAAATTCTTGAGATATCCATAACCCTCCCCGGCCTCCTCATTGTATTTGACATTTGCCCTGAGTAAGCCGACCTTTTTCAGGACGAATGAGACGCCAATAAATAGGCCCGATGCCACGGCCAAGGAGATGCCAACGGCTTTGAAAACGGGTGGTCGACTCCTGACATCGCCTGCCAAACCCCCGGCCCGCGCAGCCAGGGATATAGCATCCAACAGCTGCTCAGGCATCGTTGCGCTGGAATTTGGCGCCGGCGGCCTGATCGTAGGCCGTGGCGGCCGTTAGGGCGCCGATATACGTTAGAGGGTTCGCCGTGTTCAAACGTTGGATAAGAGGGAGAAGGATAGATATATCTCGTCTCAGACGGTGGCTTGTTGGGAGAAATTTTGCGGAGCAAGCAGATCGACAACCTAATCTCATCTCATAGCGGTAACATAAGAATCATATAACTCGTTTCTACAGACATCGTGGCTGAAGCAGAAAAACGCTGCGTCCAGCGCTGTCAACATCAGAGAGTTTCTTAAGTAATCCATCTTATCTTATCTAGGTGGCTGGTAGTGGGTCCGGTTGCTATTTTGGGGTGGCTAGGTAGCTCTAGACCACCAGCCACAAGCGCTTGGTCGGTGAAAACAGAAAAACAAAAGAAATGACCAACACGATATGAAAAGGAGGGAGATGATAATATCAAACTCAAGGATAGCGATTCGTACTAATCTCACTGCTAGTTATCAAATCCGACTTTCCCAGGGCTTCAAGCTCACAAGGGCAAAGAAGCCGCTGTCATGTCGGTCGTTTCAGACACCTGGGAAACACTGAATTGATTTTGTGCCTTGCGATGGGCCTTGGGAGACACCTAACTCATTGGGGCGCAAGGCATATCTTACTTCGCTCTACAGATACCAGCTGCTTAGCAGGTTCCGTTCATGATGTTGCCAGTGCTCTATGCTAATTTGTTGCTGAGGTTCAACGCAAATAAAGGGAAGGGGGTGTGCAACGTCTGCGCTGACAATCCTTGATCTCCTGGCCCCTGGATTGGTCATGTATGCTGTAAAATCGCCCTAGAGAAATGGACATATATCAAACTGCACTGCAGCATCCTTCACAAAGGTGTGACAAGAGTGTGGAAGTTCTCAGCTTGCACTCTGCTATCATGCTCGGCGTCGCATAATGAGTTCCCATGGTGATGTCGTCCTTTCACCCCCGCCTGCTTATGTCGTCAACTTCTTTCATTCTCTTTTTTCTCTCCTGCTGTTTTCACTTTTCTAAGTTCTTTCATTCTGCTATGAGCTTGCATGGCAGATGTTTCCTCATTGCTGCTTGCACATTTGTGATTTTCGTCTCATATACTGCCCTTGTTCAACTCCTGCACTTCAGCTGTTGACATTCTCTATTTCCTCCTGAGGTCCCGATCTTTAGGGCCTTTTTCACTTCATCCAGGTGAGTGAAGATGGATGATGAAACTGAACAAAAGCAAGCTCTTGCCAGGGACATCAACCATTTGGTGACTTTAGCAAGCACTACCAATGTGGAACCACTGAGTGAACGCCATCGGGCTTTTGCCAACTGTCCTGCCGACAAATTTGCAGAAAAGTTCACAGTCCAGGATGCCGTGGCAACAATTTTACTGGATGGTCGTCCTGGAGAACTTTATGCAGTTGGTATCCAGCTTGACCAAGATCCCGATGCTTCGAAGCGCGCGGTTGTCATATACATATCGACAAACCAGAAAGTCACAGCTTCCAAAACCATCTTTCTCGAGGATATTTGGAACCTCCTGCAAAAACGGGCTAAAGATTATGAGCTCTTCGACATTGAAAAGGAGGAATTTGAGCGTGAACACCCCGAGGGAGAGCCGGATGCTCAAAAGGCCAGGCCACCCACCATGCCACAAGACACCTATCATAGTCTGATGCGACTTGTTTACCGTCAGTGTTTCAAGCGGTGGCTTAAGTGGATCCATCAGTCCTACGACGACATGTCGCGGTTTAAGGCTATCATGGTGGACACAGTCGGAGACGAGCTCGAGGACTTCAATCCAAAATTCCACTGGTGGCTTGAGCCTTTGACTTATCTTATCGAGCAATACGACTGGGTGTGCGATTCTGCGAACTTGTTGACCAAGCAAGGCCGTGACCCCGCAAGCATTGTGTTACACCCAGACTTTCCAGCCAAGATGGATCGCTTGGAATCTGCATATCGCGTTTTTGAACAAGGGGACGACGCCTTGAAAATAATTGAAGACTGGGGCGCGATGATCCCTGAACAAGGTATGTGGTGCTTCCAAGCAATGCGCAGGAAAGAGCCCAACAACTCACACTCCTCTCAATTCACAGAGGAGCCTATTCTCTCGCATCTCCGACACTTCGTCGAGCTCCATATTGCGATCAATACTCTGGAGCGCGTTGCTCAGTCTGGAAAGGCACCTCAGATTTTCAGCAACAAGTCTCTTGAAGTTGTGTACGTTGACGACTTCAACCCGCAGCCCATCCCAACCGCGCTGCCGATCGACACCAATGGCTGGGAGGCCGTCCTCACTCAGGGCCTTGCATACCGCAACTTCGCGATCAAGCCGGAATACGAAGCCGGTGTTCAAGCTCACTTCACTGCTCTGGGCGAAATATCATCCAAGCGAAACAACACTTGTCGGGTCACCCTGCACCCCCCCATTCAGCTGCTCCAATTTTTCACGACCCATCGCATCCATCCACCACCGTTTACATGTATCGGTTCCTCCCAGCCCATTTGCGCTGCATGTTCCGCCGTCTTCGCAGCCTGGAACACCCTCTACGAATATCCAAGCTTCATTTCGCGCCGGTCAAGCGGAAATTTCCCGTTTCCGTGGAACGTTCCAACTGAATGGGTCGGTGCAAGGGTTACTAGCGATGTTGAAATCCTAGACGCGATCTACAGAAAAATCGCGGAGAGATTTGGCAGTGCGCTGTTTGAGGCCGGCATGGCTCTTTGGGGGGAAGCAGGATCATCGGCTTCGGGAGAAGTTCTAAATGACCGAGACGCGGGACAGGAGGGACACCGAGAAGTCGATGGACAAGAGGCACAGGAGATGAAGAATAGTCCGAATGAACAGGGTTGCCACCAAGTTCAAGAGTTCCTGGAATGCCAGCAATATAAAGGGGGAAACAAGGGCAACGCAGTCGAGAATCGCGCTTGTGACCAGCGGCAGGACTGCCAAGAAGAGCAAATCAATGGCCAGGAACATGAGGGACAGACTAGGGCGAAAGCGGAGAGGAACCCAAAGAATTAATATGGATTCATCGAAGGAACAACTTCTGAATATGCGCCGCAACGTCTGTTTGCGAGGTGCTTATTCTGAGAGTGATAAAAGTCTAAAACTCAAGGGCGCATATGCGAGGACTTTAGATATGGCGATTTCGAGACCTAGCAAGCACATGATCCGTTCGCCGGGATAACAAAAGAGCCATTAAAAAAAAAGGAGCAAAACACTGACGAAAAGAGAAAAAAAAGGGGGGAATGCTTAACATAGATCTGTACAATTTGAGCTTCATTAGGGAGTTCTGAAATTTGAACAGACGAAATTAGCATTATGCAACATAACTCCATAATACCCCAGAGCGCACAGCATGCTCATCTTTTCGAAAGCATTATGGCCTCCCCCGTAAAAAGGAAAAAAAAAAAAAAAAAAGGCAAAAAGAATGAAAAAGGGAATAAAGCCAAAACATCCCATGCTATTCATGCTGTAAAACAAAAATTCATAATATTCCACCTGAAATCAGAAGGAAAGGAGCCATTGCAAGGTGCTAACTCGGTATTTACAACATAAACACTTTGTGTCTTCATGACATTAAACAACCCTGAGTACTGCGTAGGTGGAAAACCAAAAAGAAGTGAAACTATAAAACCGTAGAAAGTCATTAACCTCGTGAATTAGACGTTGGCTTGCGAAACTTATTCACCGGCGGAGGTGGCCCATCGTCCGGGTACGGTGGCTTCCATTTATTCGAGTTAGGAGCCGTCGTGCCGATTGGTCTGCTTGCGCCTTGTGTTGGTGAAGGCATAGAGATAATCACGTTCTCCGATATATCGTTATTAGGCGTGGTATTATTGACAGTATTTACTGGCCTTGCTGCTTGTGGCATTGGCGTCTTCGGCGGGCGTGGTGGAGCAGCGTCGGAGATAAAGGTATCGCTGCTTACGCGTGGAGAGCTTGTGTGAGATTGATCCATGCTATGTCTACTGCCTGGTGGTGAGACGCTAATGTGGGAGAGGCGCGAGGGATTTTTGGGCTGGCTCGGAGGTGCTGTGAACTGTGAAATGGGAGTTGGATCCGCAGGGAGTTCTATCGCCGGGAGTTCGTAGACCGGCTGTGTATGAGAAGGGTGAGAAGGCCGACGCAACGTTGTGGGTGACTGATTCGGGGAAATTTGCGGAGGATGGGATGGAATTGAAGGAATCGGTCGCTGGGGCGGTGGTGGAGGAGGAGGTAAAGGACGCATCATCAAGGTAGTTTCGCGGGCTTCTGCTGCGGCGATTGCAGCTGCATGGGCCTCAATGCGACGGTGTGTTCGATGTATTCTGGCTAATTTGACCGCTGCATCATGGGTCATCCTCTGAACTTCGTTCTTCGCCAGGTATATTCGCGTATTGGTGCTGATTTCTGCCAGGCGATTCCACTCATTCATTCCGTATTCTCCAACACCGATCTCGACATTTAGACGGCAGTAGTTTTCTTTCGGTACATTTCTTTTCGCGAGATGCTCTTTTAGCATGTATTGGTGGATCGTCTCACATCCTTCGATTTTGGAAATCAGGTTTCGCCGCGCTTCTGCAAACTCTACGAAGACATCTTCCCACCACTCATGCGTCCTATTACTTGTCCCGGAAGGCCGTTTGCCCGTACCAACGCTCACAAAAATGCCGACGTCTCGTCCCGGCCATTCATTGACAGTTGCTTCGTCGAGTATTTGCGGGGATGGGTTGAATTTTCCGCCTCCTTCATCAAGGAAGACCTGCTGTCCTATCTGAATAGGTTTGAAATGATGAAGCATTGCGCCCGTCGCACGCCCTGCTTGCCATATCGTACAGTTGAAGTCGGGAGGAGGCTCCTTTCTCGAATCATACGAACGTAGAAGTGTCGCGGGTCCATTTCTGGGTGTTCCTTTGAAATACGCAGTTATAGCTCTGTCAAAAAAAAAAAAGGGAATCAGTAAAATAAAACAAAACTGACATAATCGACGCTCAAGATCCACAAAAAAGTCTCGCCCATCAATCCCTTTATGACTATTGGGATGGAAAGCTCAAGTCTGGATACTGATAATGGAACGGGGCCACTCACGTTTTCGTCCGATTTTCTCTATTGTCATATAATAAAGCGTCAGGATTTCCCCATCTTGATGACTCATTCATGGTGGAATAAGGCGACCGACTCGTCATGGTCGGCGACAAGAGCGGCGGCGAAGGTGACAGCTGCCCACTACTGGTACTCAAAGTGCGAGATAGATGTGCGCTGGATCGGCTCAGCCGTTTTGGTGGGAGGGCGGATGCGACGCTGGTGGACGACGGGCACGACAAAGCGGTATCCATGTAATTGCTTCCTGAAAGTGACGGCGAGCTTCCATCATTTCCTTCTGATTCAGAGACTGTGTATTCCCGAACGCACTGACGGATTGCTTGTTCCAGCCTTGATGCCTTGAACAATGTTGATCGATACGGAATGCCGGCAATTGTCTTGTCCGTCTCAAAGACATATTTCGTCAGGCGAGGATAGATATTCTTGCATGTTTCTATGTCAAGCCGCAGACGGCCCAGCATCAAAGCGATGAGCCCGCCGGTTCCGGCTCCAGCGATGAGATCGAAGTGGTCGCATGGTTTAGGTATTTGGTCACGTCGCGGTGCGGTTCCCTCCGACTCTACGTATGCTCGGTACATCAACTCTTGGAGGATGATTAGCATCGAATATCCACGCACTCCGCCGCCATCTAAAATCGAAGCGCACAGCACACATTAGTTTAGGTTTCTGGCATTGGCAAGCGCAGGAGTCTGGATGTTGCGCCACCTTTGCGGAGCGAATTAACAAGGACGACTCACCGAGGCACAGTATCCGCAGCGGCGGGCCCTTCGTGGTGTCTTTTCGACGTACCGTCGTCGCCGTGACGTTCTCCATGGTGGAAGAGCGAAATGGATGTCAATGTGTGGAAATGAAGCGCTGACCGTCTTTTCAGCCTTACGCCGCTCCTTAGATAAGCTTCCCCACAGTCCGATGGCCGACCTGAGCACAAAAATCTATGACTCTTGTGTCTCTCCTCTCGAACAGGGGTGATAAAGGCTTTGCAGGAAACAGAGAGTTGAAATTCAAGGAAACGGGCTGGAGGGCGGTGGATAAGAATGACAACGAGATTCTAGAAGGAGGGCGAAGTCTGATTTATTTTATTTTGGTAATGGAACGATCTCGTTGGTTGAACGAAAGACGATGGTGGGAGGGAGCCTGCGAAAGGCGAATCACAACACGAAGAAATGGCCTGCATGCAAGCCCAGGAACAAGGTCGGTCGTGACAGGGCGCTTCCAAGCGACGAGGCCGTTACAGCCCAAAACCCTGCCTACATGCCAACGCCATCAAACCACCGGTCAACGACGCGAAGCTTTGATGATATTTGTACATGGAGAATGCTCAAGAACAGCAGGAGCACATACACCGATGATTCATGCAAAAAGCCGGCTAACGGTTAAAGGCGTCCACGGTTTTGGCTGCGCTATGGTTAACCTTGGAAATCTAAACGCAAAAATGCCTGGTGTTTTTGGAAAGGGATACATTGTTCCCTAGAGCTACCACAATCCGCATTGCAAACCTGCTGTCGACACGTATCTTCTTAGTGGAGAGGCAGACCCTTCTTTTTTTCCTCCCCTAAAGGCCGAGCAGAACGGTTACCAGCTGCTGCAACTCAAGAGCATGCAGCATCAACCATCATGCCGCCTTTTCACTCGCACCAACAATCATGCAAATCAGCCCCGGTTTGTGTGGAAATGCAGTGGATGATGTCATCATGTGGCAGCCTTCATGTTCCAAGCCACACACACAGCCATGTGGCGCAGTCATCTGGCCACAACGAGATCACGTGGAGATAAGCGTGTGCTGAGTCAGCATTCCCCTGACAGCCAAAGCGACCGGGGAGCGACCCGGTTTCCTAAAAGGGCAATTCAATCCGGAGTTGTCCAGGTCGGGTATTGTGAGGCTGACAAAGCAGCCGATACCCCAGAGCCGCCCTGTCCCGGGGCTAGTCGGCCCTGTTGTACCGTGAGCGTTGGCAAAGGTGGGACAGCCCTATATGAAGGCCCCTCTTCGCCCATCAGCCCAACGTCGCCTGATCACAACCCTTGGGTCTCTAAGAACTTACAGCACCCAAAGTATATAGCTCTTAAGTACGCCGCAAGTATGAAGATAAGCCAGGTAAGTAGAATATCATAGCTCCTTGATGTGCCGTTCACACCAATTCTATCTGAATTTACGATCCAATCTATCAATCCCATGTCTAGTAGTTAGGTAGCTGGATGGTCTTGCTTAGATTATGCTCTCCTCCTTCTATAGCTCTACGTCTATCCCATCAAGTCCCTCCGGCCAACTGCCCTCTCCGAATCTGAGCTGACAAGTCATGGATTTCCTCACGACCGCCATTTTATGCTCCTTAAAGTGGAAGAGGACGGCCGCCTGGTCAACATGCACGTCCCGAATTTCCCCCGAATGGCGCTGTTTTTAACGGACATTGTCTTCCCCGACGATGCCCAAGGCCAGGATGGAAAGATCATCGTAACATATCGGCAACCCATGAGTCAGAATGACAAGGATTGCATTAAGACGTTGGATATACCCTTGAAGCCTCGTATTGACAACCTGAAAACCTTCAAAGTTGTTATGCACCAAAGTCCGACACATGCCTATGATATGGGAGAGCAATATAACTCTTGGTTCTCTGACTGCTTCGGCTTCAACGTCATCCTTGCCTACATCGGCGACAACAGGAGAACCGTTCTGGGGAATATGTCCCCAAATGCGGAACAAGAGAAAACCCAGAGTGGCTGGTTATCGCGTGTGGCCGAGAACGTCACTTCTCTTGGTGGTTGGGTCGGAAAAGATACAAATGATCCAGACAGTATCACATTTGCGGATGTGGCACCATATCTCGTGGTCTCCGAGTCCTCTTTGGACAATGTGTCGGCCAGACTGCCGGAAAAAATGGACATAACCAAATTCCGGCCCAATATCGTTATTTCAGGTGCGCCTAAGGAGTTTGAAGAAGATTATTGGCGCGAACTCAAGGTGAAAGATGATATTACATTGGTTTTGACGAATAACTGTGCGAGATGTATTAGCATCAACATTGACTTTGACACTGGAGTCCCTGGGACTGGAGAGATGGGTGCCGTCTTGAAGAAGCTCATGAAGGATAGGAGGATCGATCAGGGGACAAAATACAGCCCTATATTTGGACGCTACGGATTTCTAGGCAGAGGCTGCGAAGGTTCCCATATCAAAATTGGTGATGAAGTCGAAGTCTCAAAAACAAATTCGGAGCACACCAAACTCGGTGAGTTGACTATAAAAGCTTCTCTTTTGCTACAGCCAGCTAATAAAAGCGTCAGAGTGGCCAGGGTTGACGAACTAATAATATCACTATAGTTTAATAAATGATGTTTGGAGATACCTCAATTAAACGGGAAAAACGATACTCATCCTTTACATTCCAATCAGCTACGGATCCGTATCCACCTTTTTATCTGTTGCCTTAATGGCTTTTGTTGCTTGCAAAGCGCTGTCCCTTCCCAAAAATACCTACTCTGCTGCAAACGATCCACTAACTCAATCTCCTCCACAAGCTCCTTTACATACAACTTGCTCTTGTAGACCTGGCTCACTATCTTCCCAATCGCCTCAAATGCAAATGCATCCTGCAGCATTTCCACTAGCCAAGCCATACCTTCAGCGTCAACATTCCGGTCTCAATCGCTGTCACCTTCCTTTTCCCGCCAGCACCTGAGGAGAGCCGGAGCAGAAGTCGAAAGCAACACATTTTCAAACTTCTCTTTGATCCGCATGTATATCGCTCGCTGAAGCTGGATTCTGCGGCATCATCCAAACCACTTCGCAGCTCCAAGCGAGATGTCTGGCGTGGAATCAATCAGGGGAATCAAAAATGTGTGTAGCCTACCAAAGCAATACTTCTCAAATGGCTCTACACCCAAATTACCGGGTTATCAAGAGATCTCGGGGAGACTAGATTTCCAAAAATAAAGTATCAAAAAAGGTCGTCCATTTTATACAGGTGACAAAGTAACAGCACATCTCGCATCTTGTTAAGAAGAGCATGACAAAAAAAAGGCCAGGATACAGGCGGAAAAGGGTTAAGTCGTCATCATCCATCATCCGTACTTAAGAAACATACGTATCGCTCGGATCACACTCTAACTATTCCTCAGTCCACGGAAGGCTGAATGTTCCCACCCAGTCCTCAACCTCTTTTCTTAATTGTACAATCTCCGAGACCTCCTCTCCTTGTCCGAGGTATTCGAAGAATGCCTTCAAGCTCGTGGGGTTCTTCCGATTCTTGGCCTCCGCTTCAGCTCTGGCGGCTTTGTCAAGCTTCTGCGTGATGATGACAGCGCGGTCAACAATATCAGCAACGCGAGAGAAGTCCTCCGGTCCAAAGCCACGGGAAGTCATGGCCGGTGTGCCCATTCGGAGACCACCGGGCTTCATTGCAGACTTATCACCTGGCACGGTGTTCTTGTTACTTGCCACACCACAGAGCTCGAGAACTCTCTCCACGCGTGCGCCATCGACGCCACGGTTCTTCAGGTCGACGAGAACAAGATGGTTATCAGTACCACCAGACACGATATTGTAGCCCAAGCCACCGCTATTTGTAGAGTTACCGAGGCGGGCTGCCAAGGCCTTTGCGTTTTCCAATACACTTTGCTGGTATGTTTTGAATTCTGGGCTCTGGGCTTGTTTCAAAGCAACGGCAAGGGCGGTAATTGTGTGGTTGTGGGGCCCACCTTGGTGGCCAGGGAACACGGCGGCATTGATGGGGTTTTCCAAATCATACATGATAGGATTTCCTTTAGCATCGTGTTTACGGACACCCTTCCGGTAGAAGATCATGGCGCCGCGTGGCCCTCGGAGCGATTTGTGTGTCGTAGTTGTGACGATATCTGACTGTGGGAATGGCGATGGAATGACACCAGCAGCAACCAACCCAGAAATATGGGCCATGTCACTGAGCAGATATGCTCCAACGCTGTCAGCAATCTTTTTCATGCGGGGATAATCAATCAGCCTGCTGTATGCGGATGTTCCTGCAACAATGAGTTTTGGTCGGTACAATGTGGCCATATCCTCCAGTTTGGCATAATCTATGAGACCAGTAGATTCATCTAGACGATAAGGAAGCGTCTCGAAGTACTTAGACACTGCGGAGATCTTTTTTGTGGGTGTTTGGTAGCCATGAGAAAGGTGACCTCCGTGAGGGAGGTCCAAACCCATAAGGCGATCGTGGGGCTGGAGGACGGCGGAATATGCGTAGAAGTTGGCGGGAGATCCAGATAGGGCTGTGAAGCGTAAGATTTTTTGGATGCACGACAATGCTAGGACGTTGTTGCGGGCGACTCACGTTGGACGTTCACTCCCCACTCTTCTGGGTTCAACCCAAATGCCTGCAGAGCGCGCTGCTGGCAGAGGCGCTCAGCTTGGTCAATGAATTCGTTCCCACCGTAGTACCGAGCACCTGGGTATCCCTCAGAATATTTATCTACGGCCAATTGGTTAGATTCCGTTAAGCAAGGCGTGCTGGAGCCAACAACTGACTTTGCATCACACTGCCAAGCGCATCGAGGACAGCCTGGGAGGTGAAGTTCTCCGAGGGGATCAGGTTGATAAAATGTTTCTGCCTGCTTTTTTCCTGCATGGGAATTAGGATCGTGTAAAATCAAACAGGCATAATGGCAGGGGCACATACATTCTGGATAATCTTATACACAGTTGGATCAGCTTGCTCGAGTTTCTCCGCTAGCATCTAGCCATGATAGTTAGCGACATCTTCGAAGGTTGCGGCTAGTCGCATTCATACATTCTGATGGCCATCAGTGTGGACAGACGCAACGCTCTGCCATTGAGCAACTCGTCTTGCAGGATGACTCCATCTGAGCCCACAGGCCACTCTCGAATACCCGCCAGATAACCGGAGCAGCTTTGAAGCTTGGCGACCGCAGCGATTGACCGACATTGGCACCAGGATTTTATCTCTTTTATTAGTTTTAGCAATTAGATACTCCAGAAAGGAGCTGAAAAGGACAAGACAGGTCGGCGTGGAGGAATAAAAGCACAATGGATTCGCAGCAAAGCGCTTCCCTGCGCTCTGTAGTCGCCCGCCATGACAGCATTCTGGCCTGCTTGTCGGCCGAAGTGGCTTTCCCGGGGAGCACCTTGCCCTCCCGGGTTTAGCGCCCCTCCACGTGATGCTGCCGGGCGTGCAAACCTTCCCTTTCCCGCGGGTATCTTCGCTGGCCTTTTTTCTCTTCTTTTTCTTCTCTTCTTTTCCTCACACAACTAAATCCAAGATGACGAGATGGCCTGTTCGGCAGTTACCAGCCCTCGCCTTATCCGTCTCTCAAAAGCTGATCTGGCGGGCGATGCTGATATGTCCTGGGTCCACTTCACCATCCTTTGAAGGGACAATTTGAATTCATCTGATTGGAAAGAAAAAGGTTGTGTATCGTGTCTTGAAAGAAACGACACTTGCCACTGGGTTATTATAACATCTCGAGACCGTTTTGTCGCGAAGAGTTTTCTAGTGGCATGCCGCAGACATGACGGGAGGGATTCGAATGTCGTTGTAAACCCCCTCGCATCGAGCAAGCTGAGGGAGCAAAATCTTTGTGCTAATCTAGTCCATGCTCACTCTCGTTACCAGTTAGCCCAGTTTGACATGCGTTCGTCGTTCAATTGTTACTCAAGAGTGGGCTTGAAAATTCATAGACTTCAGTGATTTGTCAAAGAGCAAAGAAAGAGTTCTCGGAGAAGAGCTTTTATGGAGCTTTTTGTATAAGATTTTTCTGTCCCCTAAAAGTTGTGTTCTGCTGCATCTGCTTTATGTGCGTACATAAAAATACATACAAGATGAGATCTTCAATCCCTTTAACCAATTAGTGATTATCCTGGGCTGGTGTTTAACTTCCTGCAACGCTCTCCCGTCTTGGAGTATGTAAAAGCGTTTGAAAGACTGCTGTTTATTATTGAGTGATCTTTTACCTTGTGTAGAGTAATGAGAGCATCTCAGGCTACCCGACTCTTCCGTGTGAACCCATCAACACTCTCTCTGAATGAAACAATGTCTCGGCTCCATAGCAATATGGGGAAAAAAAAGGAAAAAGAGAGAAAGAAAAAGCACGCAGATATGAAGGCTGGAAGGTTCTGTGGATTGTTGCTTCACCTCATCACAAACCCATCACCCACTTGAAATTAAAGTTTACTACTTCCCTTCCTTTGCAAACATGGTTGTGTTGTGATGTGATGGACGGATGGCAGGTCACGGATACCCATCCAACACCACGAACACATTCTTCATCGCACTCCTGTTCATTGGGACAGATAATTTTGGTCACTTTTCTCACAGCCTATTGTTATGTTCATGTGGAGGAAGCGCGCTTTTTGCGGACATACAGCCCATTCTTTCCTTTGTTATTCTTTTTTTTTTCCCTCTCTTTAGAACCATCCAAACCAGAAGCAGACGCTACTTTGCATGAACAACAAATATGAAAGGCATTCTTTCACGCCCAGAATGTTCCACCCGTCCCGTGCCTCCCCCACATATTGACTGACAGTAGCTAAACCCCCCTGGCGTACCTCATGCCCGGCTAGACCGGACTCGACAGCAGGGCCGCGGATTCTGGATATGCAACATAAATTCGCTTTCATTATGTGTTTTGTGGCACTGGACGTCCGCATAATATTTTTATTTGATGATCTCAACGCTGGAGATGTACCCTAGCATGCCATGCCATTTCAGCATGACAAAATAAACACTTCGCATACTCTCTACAGAGTAAGTCCTCAAGCCGCGAAGTTATCAAAAATCAAAGACGTGAAAATTTTCTGAAGCCACCATCATCCGCTTATTTCGATGCATGCGGAGTCCTCAATAGGCAGGTGAGCGATATAGTTATCTCATCTGCATGCAGCGAGCCATGGGGCAAAAGTGGGTTGCTTATCAGCTGCGATTTTCCAGAGAACAAGCTCCGCAAAGAGATAAGCGAGGCCCTTGAAAGGGGACATGATGCTGATCTCGCCGTCCGTGGATCGCGACTAGACAATCTCTAAAATAGAACGCGTGTGCTCCATGCAGAGTCATCCGTCATCCAAGAGACGAAATGTGCAATGCATGCTCTCCAACAAAAAAAATTCTCCGAGTGAGGGTTAGATTCCGGACTCCGAAAGGGAGGAGTTTGCAGTCGTCCAACGGTGAATGGGGAACAGGGGGTTCGATCTGAGATCTGGTTCTCCTGTTGCTAACCTGACTCGACCAAAAAAAAAAAGCCCCAAGCGCTCAGCTTGAAAGCCATGAGCTCATCAACCCACAAAGCTGACGAAGCCTTTAGGATAAACAAACTCAGACTTCAGCTCTGCGATTCGCGGTTCGAGCAGCGATTTTCCATCTTGCGCTGGGAAGTCTCCAATGTGGCGAGAGTTAAAAACCCGCATATTTTATGTATTCTTATGTCGACTTCCAGAGCAAAAGAGTCGGTTATTCGATCATCGCGATAAAAAAAGAAAGAAAAGTCGAGAAAAAGTTTGGTAAATGACGCCTTTCGGTGGGGATGACGAGTCGGGAAGAAGGCGAATCGTAAGCGAGATCTTTGGGTGTTGGGCTGTTCCTGACAAGTGGCGCCAACTATCGAATCCCGGTTGATCCTATCGCGGGGACGCTAGCTTGCAAAAAGGAACGAGAGAGCGATCCCGAGCCAGGGGAGGGGAGTCGAGACACTGGCAACCCTCTGCCCAACGATCTGCCAAATCAGGGTCTAGACGCTTCCTAGCGCTAAGGGAATGAAACGATGGTAACTCAAGATTGAAACGGGAGGTAATCCTGCCCAGGGGAGATGGAAAACAGATGTTTGGTTTTCAAAACACCCAAAATTTAATAGGCACACCTCTGTGTGTGTGTGTGTGTGTGTGTGTGTGTGTGTGTGTGTGTGTAAATGTGGGCTCGTTGCCAATGAACATGTCATCAGAGGGCTGCCAGATGTCCAAGGCGGGATGGAAACCTTTACACACACACGGAGAAACTATCGTAATAACTCAACCAGCCATGCGGGTGGAATGCCAATCCCGAAGCCAATGGCTTGCCATTTCCACAGTTGAGTCAGTGCTTTGCTGGAGTTGATGTGTAACTCTCAGGGCAAAACAAGGCAGAATGGATGGCCTATTAGAATTCAGCAGCCAGGCGACCAGAGAGAGACGTGCAGAAGGCGAGAAATTATTGGTGTTTTGATCGAAATGAAGCACCAAAAGCCAAAAAAAAAAAAAAAAAGAAAAAAGAAACAGAGCGCACAATTGGCTGGCTGGCTGTTCTGCGCCCCTTGCATAACCACGGCAGAGGGACGGCGACGCTCCCATTGGGCAGCCCGGCGCCCCCCCCCGCCCCCGGTGACCGCCCCTATTTTAGCAGCCCGCGCAAACCCCCCAAATTCCCTTTAAACCCTTCGCTTCCCTGTCCGCTTTCCCTCTCTTCTTCTCCCTCCTCTTCTCTCTTCTTCTTCTTTTCTCTTTTATCCCAACCTGCACCGCTCTTTAATCCTAAAAGTCCACTCCTTTCCGGTTTATCAACCGAGTCCATTCGTTTCGCTCAGCCAAACCGCTCCAGTTTATACCCTCGCGCGTCTCGCACACCCCGAGCTTTTTAATCTTTACGTTGGTTTAATCGGCAATCCCGACCTTTCTAGACAAGATGCGTTTCTCCATCGCTGCTTCTGCCATCCTGGCCGCCGGTGCCACCGCGAGCTACGTCAACACCAATGCCACCTCCGTCGTCACTGAGGTTGTCACTGCCTACACCACCTACTGCCCTGGCCCAACCACCCTCACCCACGGCACCAACACCTACACCGTGACTGAGGTCAGTTTCGCTCTCGTCCCCTTGTTTTCGCGGCTGTGTTTACTTGCGTTTGGCAAACATTGGAGGCCAAAGATAATAGCAGGATCCCACTAACAATAATTTACACAGGCCACCACTCTCACCATCACCGACTGCCCATGCACTGTTACTCGCCCAATCATCACCTCCACCGTCACTGAGTGCAACGACTGGTGAGTATCCATAGAATATACCCCATGGAAGCTTACCCGTCACTGCTCACTAACTCATTCCTCCAGCCCCCCTGCTGCCACTGGCACTGGTGTCATCCCTCCTCCAGTCAACCCGCCAGTCTTCCCCAACGGCACTGCCGTCCAACCTCCCCAGCAGCCAAGCGGTACCGGAAACCTCCCAAGCAACACCATCCCAGCTCCCCCTGACTTCACCGGTGCCGGTTCCCGCGTCGTTGCCGGTGCTGGCGCTGGTCTTGCTGGTGTCCTCGGTCTCGCTTTCCTCTTGTAAATGTAATCCCTCCTGGAAAGGTACGGGGCGGTGTACGATGCTTGTAAAGAGAGCAGAGAGTGGTGTGTGAAAATGTGCATAAAAGATACAATCTCTCTTTTTACAATTGGGAAGCGATAAGGGGAGTGGCGTGTATGTGTGGAATTATCCCAATGTTCTCATGAACTTCTCAAATGTATCTACAGCAGATGGGCAACTTGGCGGCTATTTGCTTGTTGCTTTAATGGTAACATTGGTTTTACATAATATTTATGCTACCGTTAACGTGCTCTCTATCTCTATTTTGGGAATTTCTCGGCCAGCAGGTAAGGAGCACAACGAGTATTTTTTTGGTCTTATGCCGATACCAATGTTGATCGTCCGCAATCGCATAAGTTGCCTAGTTTTGAGGCACTTAAAATCGTCGTTGAGCTGTGTGGACCAGGCGATGTTGGCGCGGAGACTCCTGGCCCCTAAGAATGACCCGGAAAAATCTCACAATACTCGTAAACCTGGGAGTCCAGAATCCTCCCATCCATCCTTGCCCGGGGCGGGGCGCCGTGTGACAGTCAGATGGATGATCTTTAGGTAGACACTACACCGATCGACAGCTCCATCACGGAGCATTCGGGTTCGCTGCAATGTGCTCCGTGCGGGTGTGCAAGCCGGGATTCAGCCGTTCCATTCCCGATGCTCAGATCATTTCAAAGAGGCCATTCGAACATACATCTTGTTGTACGGAGTAGGTATCCAAAGCACAGGTGCTTAGTGATACGTACCCAATATCCGGGACGACAATAACGCATTTGGTGGCGAAGCAAGCTCCCAAACACTAACACGGGCGGAAATACGAATCATGTCCCTTCTGGGCTTTCCCGTTCATCTTCAGCGAATCCAAAATCCCATACCCCGTACTCCGCCCTCTGTACAATAACGATACTCACTTTCGCTGTTCGAAAGGGGGCGGGCGTTGGTGCGGTGTTCGTGTCGATCGGCAGAGGGTTTTTCGGGGTTACCGGAAGGCATTGAAGAGATGACTACTCTGTACCGTATGGCATAGACGGCATTCTATGTGATGGGTTCAGGCACGCTTGCAGGATCGGTATTAAAACAATATCGAGCTTCTTCGGAACAGCAGCCGTGTTGTACAGAACTACATCAGCACTCGATTTCCGAACCGCATAGTGGAAGAATATCTGGCAGCTGTTGGGATTATATTGCCGCGAGGATATTCCGGAACGGGTAGAAATTGAGGGCAGGCCCAACCGTTGTTTATCATATGCTCCGCACAGATCTTCGGGTGGCGTTTTCGTGCGCTGAGTTGGTTTTACTCCATTCGCCTGCCTTTGAGGCGACTATGAGGAATGGACTAGTGATACGATCAGCGACAGACCAATGGATACACCGCCCTCACCTTCTTCTATCAACGTCAGGCCTTGGGCTTCAACAAGCCCGACCTCGCCTTGATCTTCCCGATGTTCTCATTGTACGTCCAGCTGCCGGATGTGCTTCATACGTATCTGAAAATAATGGTCAAACCTCACTTCAGCCGACTACCTTTCGCAATTTGCCAGATCAGTCCGTTGTCCAAAGTGGCTTGAGGCTCTTGCTTTGAATATCTATATCTTGTTGAAGCGATATTGAGCTCGTGGCCTTCAATGTGTATCCGCAGAACAAGTGGCACGCCCGAGACAGACGCACCGTCACAGTGCAAACGCGACATATTGCCCAATATTGCTGGGTACCGGAACTTTCGAGGTTGCTAACTGGGCAGTAGCCTTGGGGAGTGCCTTTAACCTGGCATAATGCGTTGATCAAACTAGCACGATTGAAAAGCATCTTTGCTATGGAAAACTGTGGATACTCTTCAGCTCCAGTGGCGGTGGATGAGCCTTTCTTTCATTTGCAACAATCAGGCCCGGTCTCGCTGTGATGAGGCATCTAGACATATAGTAAAGACTACAAGCAGATGCACGCTGCTCGTCGTGCTCCCTGCTAGATAACGCGCAGGATACGGGTTTGGATTCGTACACTCTGTAATGCGGTCTTACCCACTTTTTTTTGACAGAGAACCAAATTGTTTCTAGCTTCAAGGGAAGTTCTTCGCGAATACTTTCATACAGGCAGACGCCGGCGGTACTTTCAATGAACAGCCCTTATCCGCATGCATATTACGGGTGCGGCCAAACACACGCGGCAATTCTTGTTGACTCGGAGCCTGCGCGGAATGCCTTGACTATCAATTGAGCTCAGGAGGATTGGCAATTCCTGTATTCATGACCCCCCAGACCAGCATGAACATGCTTTTAGGGGCACATTTTCTCAATGCCCATAGGGCTAAAGGGAGAACCTAAGCTTTTTGGGACTAGACCGGGTGGATGGAAGCCATGGCATCCTGCAATTATCTAAGATATGGGCGGGATGGGAAATGTCTCATTATTGGGAGGAAGTAGTAGGAATTGAGAAGAATTAAGTAGAATAGAAGGAGTGAACAAAGGATATTTGTAAAGGGAGAAAGGAAGAAGGTTTGAAACCTCTGCACTCCGTAGAGAGGGTAAATAACTGGTTAGCTAACGGGCGTAGGATTTAGTTGAAGATCATAAGGATGAGATGACATCGAAATAACAAATTGTTTCCATCCGGATACTCACCATTCTGCTCTGGAAAGACGCATTGCTCAATACCCAGGCCGTGGCACAGTTGGTATTTAGCTGGACTTCGCGCTACGGATGTGCAACATCAGCGCCATTTACAGCAAGCCGTGGCTTTCTTCCTCATAAGTACCATCTCCCCTCCCATGAGGTGTAGGTAGGACCTAACTATATAATTAGCCACGATAGTCGCCACCCTTCTATGAGAGTACGATTGCATGGCCATACTATTTAAAGCGAAGTCGTGCCCAAGAGACCAGCACAACAACATGGCAGATGGCGGTGATGTGCTGCCAGATTCTGAGTCGACCTGCGACAGCAGTTCCCAAGAATATATCAAAGACCCTAGTAAACTTACCCCCGAGGAGCTGGTCATAGAGAAACAGCTTCGCTGGAAGATTGATGTATTGATCATGCCTACGATCATCTGTGTCTACTTGATGAATTACATTGATCGGTTTGTCTATCGATTTCCGTCGTTTCATTCGCCTTTCTAACAATAATCTAACGGGTGTTAAATAGCAATAATTATGCTGCAGCGCGACTACAGGGCCTTGAGAGGGATCTGAAATTGACGCCGTCACAGTACCAAACTGGCCTCTCCATCCTGTTTGTCAGCTATATCCTCATGCAAGTCCCATCCAATCTCCTGCTCAACTACGTTGGCCGGCCGTCTCTATATCTAGGATTTTCCACGATTGCATGGGGCCTTGTTTCAGCGTCTACCAGTCTCGTGAAGAACTATCCGCAAATTTTGGCGTGTCGTCTTATCCTTGGATTCGTCGGTACGTTATGCGCCAGCATCGCTCCGTTTGACTTCATCAAGGCAGCTAACCGTCATCTCTGTTGACTAGAAGCCCCATTCTTTGCTGGCGTCCTGTTCTATCTTTCAAAATGGTACACCAAGAAAGAGCTGACTCTCAGAATGAGCATCTTTTATTCTGGCTCATTACTTAGCGGCGCATTTGGAAATCTGATTGCCGCAGGTATATTGAATGGGTTATCTGGAAGCTATGGCCTTTCTCCATGGCAATGGTTATACATCATTGAAGGCATCATCACCATTGCCATTGGGTCACTCATTTGTGTGATTCTACCAGATTTCCCAGACACATGGAGGCTTTTAACATCTGAAATGAAATGCGTCGCAAACCGGCGGCTTGCGATCGACGCCGCTGAAGCCGACATCGATGGTGAAGGCGGCATGAGTCAATTAACGGGTTTCAGACTGGCAATTACCGATATCAAAACTTACCTCCTCGCCATTGCCTACATGTCCATCACGGGAGCCAGCGGCTTCCAAAACTTCTTCCCTACACTCACAGCTACCCTCGGTCACAACGAGACAATTTCTCTCCTACTCGTCGCTCCTCCTTACATCTTCACGCTCGTATACAGCATTCTCCATTCCCGCATGTCCGATCGTCTTGGAAGTCGGTTCTGGTTCTTCATCTATCCCATTCCCATTTCGATCCTCGGATTCATCATCTTCATGACCACAGATTCGTTTGGCCCCCGGTATCTCTCGCTCTTCATCATGTCCTTCGTCTTCACGATGATGTCCACATGCTATTCCTGGGTCGCGGGGGCTATCCCGCGGCCGCCGGCAAAACGTGCCACTGCATACGCGTTTATTAACTCGGTAGGTAACTCGGCGAGTATATGGACACCGTACACGTATCGAGATCGAGATGCGCCCCAGTACCGGTTGGCACTGGGGCTGTGCATTGCACTGCAGATGCTGGCGGGTTTGATGGCCGTGATGCTACGGTTGCATCTCATAAAGCAGAACTGTGCGTTGGAACGAACGGAACGTGAATGTGGAGGGCTTGTGGATGACGAGAGGATGAGGTTGATATCTGCTGAGACAGAAGGGGTTGAAGTGGACATACCAGCGCCTCTCCGAAAGGGATTTCGTTATATGATTTGACCTGCCTGGTCGTTCTATTCACATAGACCCTCCCAAAATCCACTATGACGATGATAGCATAAGTCCATGCACAAATCTTATCCGAATCTCCACATCGAATCCATGGCTCCCCGAGTCCAGGAACCCGCTAGACAGAGTTTCTGTTTTCCTTGTTTCCATCGGGAGTCGGAACAGAGCCGGCAAGTAAGCCGAATATCAGGCGATGATGCATTCCGATTATATCCATGCAAGTCCTGGGAAATGTTCTGCATGCGAAATTGACCAAAAAATCATTATCTATGGAGTGCCCCATAAGTATACATATTTTGGGACCATCTTATGCCTTGAATAATGAACCGATCATCCTGCTTGAGAGTATCATCACAAATACATAAATGCGTACAATTAAAACAAAGCTCATGAGGCTGCTAAAAACATAAGAATTTTACAGATATCAAGAGCAACACACGCTAGAAAACATTCGCACAAACTTCAGCAAGTGCTTGAAATATTCGCAATGCTTTGCACAAAAACGGGTAAATCTAAAAAAAAAAAATTAAATAAAATAAAAAAAAACAAAGGAAAGGAAAAAGTCAATTTGGAGGTATAAACTAAACTCACAAACCATTCACAGCCTACTTCTGGTCTGCATTTTCTCTTTGTTGGCAAAATACTCCCTAATCTTCTCTCTCGCAACTTCCACGATCTCTGCGTCCTCCACCGTCGGTGGCACGTTGACTTTATCGTCGAACTTGCCCACAGACGCGTTCTCGATCAACTCTCGCAATACTCGACGAAGGGTTTTCCCACTTCGTGTCTTGGGAATCATGCCTTGGCCCTGGATGATTCCGCCGAGAGAGGCAATGGCACCGATTTGCTCACGCACAAGAGCATTCACAGAGGTGAAAAACTCTTGCGATGGAACTGCGGGAAGCGGCGCCGACGGCGCATCGCGTAGGTGGATAAAAGCGAAAGGCATATGCCCTTTGAGGGAATCGGGGATGCCGACGACGCATGCTTCGGCAATGGCGGGATGAGAGAGAATGGCTTGTTCAATTGCACCTAGATTTTCAGGTTAGCTTGCTGATGCCTTTTTTCAGGAGATGAGGTACAACTTGGAAACGGGGGTGGGGAGCCTTACCTGTGCTGAAGCGATGGGCAGCAACATTGATAATGTCGTCAGATCGCGACATGACATGAATATAGCCAGACTCATCTATCATCCCTGCATCGCCGGTGTCTAGCCACTTGCCATCAAATCGTTTCAGGTACCCCTTAAAGAAGCGCTCATCATCATTATAGAGGGTAGTGAATCCTGTTGGTGAAAGCGGAAGAGCAAGAACAATGTTACCCATTGTTCCTCTTGACACTTCATTCCCTTCATCATCAACAACACGGACATCAAAACCTGGCATAGGTTTCCCAGCCGAGCCTGGTTTGACCGGAAATGGCTTATGCGAGTCTCTGCTGCTATGGTCTAAGCCAATTGGGCTTCTCAACGCCAGGCCAGACATCGGCGAGCCGGATTCAGATGTCCACCAGTTATCAATCACCATTGAACCAGGTGCACCATGCTTATCTAGCAAGTTCTGATAAGCGCGTACAATGCTTGGCTCACTTCTTTCACCAGCCAAAAATATTCCTCTTAGGTGTCTCAAACCTTCACGCTTGCCCACTTCCTCAAATAAGCGTGAATCAGGATCATCTTTGCGAATTGCACGGAGAGCAGTTGGGGCTGTGAAGAGAATATTGACTTTGTGTTCCTCCACTAGTCTCCAGAAGATACCGGAATCCGGCGTGCCTATGGGTTTGCCTTCATAAAGGATTGTTGTTGCTCCTGCCAGAAGTGGTCCATAGAGAATATATGAATGGCCGACAACCCAGCCGATATCTGAGGAACAAAAGATAACGTCGCCTGGACCTTTGATGTCAAATAAATATTTGATTGAAAGGTTAAGGCCAACAGCATGTCCTCCAGCCTCTCGGACTACTCCCTTTGGTAGACCAGTTGTCCCTACACAACAAACACATTAAATCTGACGCACTTTCTAAAATTTTTAAGAGAAATACAAAAACATACCGCTGGTATAAATGACATACAGACTGTCATTGCTCTTAACCGGCACTGCCTCTGCTCTGATTCCTCTATTTCTGGCGCTTTTCACGATTCTTTGCCAGTTTCGCTGGCCCTCCAGCTTCTGCATCGGGGCCCATCGTAGCTGGTCCCGCTGCCAAACTATGACCTTACTCGGCTTAAATGAACTTTTCGCGATGGCGCCTTCGACCAGCGGCTTATAATCAACCACACCTTTGCTGCCTTCAACACCGCACGATGCAGTCATGATGGCACGTGGCTTGGCCGCCTCGATTCGCTGCGCCAGTGAAGCCGCGGCAAATCCGCCAAAGACAGCGGCGTGTACCGCGCCCAGTCTTGCAATAGCAAGGCAAGCGTACAACGCTGCAGGGATCATGGGCACTATGAGAGTAATCACAGTTAGTTCGGACGCTGTCAAAGACGAGGAAGGGGGAGGATTTGAGGAAGCATACTGTATATCAGGACCACATCGCCCTTCTTCACACCCTCCTCCCTCAAAGCGCCAGCCAGCACTTCTACTTCTTCAAGAAGTTGCTTATACGTGATTTTCTGCTTCGACCCAGTGACGGGCGATTCCCAGATGATGGCTACATTGTCTCCGTTGCCGTTACGGACGTGTCTGTCGACGCAATTGTACGCTGTGGATATCTCGCCGTCGGGGAACCAGGACCAGTGCTCGTGGCTTGTGCCGCTGGGCAGATGCTTTGTTGTTCGGCGAAGACTTGCGGATGGGGGTTTGTGCCAATGGAGGTGTGCTGCGTGATGGCCCCAGAAAGCTTCCGGGTCGCGAAGGGACAAGGAGTAAGTCCTGTCCTGGGGATGAGAGTCCATCGTTGTTGCGGTGTGGTGGTGGTGGAGTGACGCGGCAAGTGACGTTCCCCGTAAATCGCCGCGCAGGCCTGGAGACAAACGGGTATGGACGGACGACGCTCGTTGCGATGGATTTTGCGGTGATAAGAAGATTGCAGGTTCGACAGCGGGGAAGCGGGCCTTTTTAAGCTTCACATAGCTATATGTAGCAGTTGAAAGGAAGCGTGGGCGCCGAATGGCGGACAAAGTGCCGGGGAGTTGTCGCACGAAGCGCTGGTGCAATCACTGACAGCGATGGGCAGCAATAACCTTATTGTACCGCCTTGACGGACGGTGAATGCGGGGGCTTTCTCCAGGGAGGATCTCAGCCCATCCAGAGATCAAGATTTGAAAGGTTCCGATGGATGGGGGTGGCTGACAGCAGAATAGTTATGGCGGCGGGCGTTACATCGTCAAAGGACATAGACATGGATAACGCTATTTATACCGCCTGCACCACTCATGGTAAAACTTCCCCTCGGCAATTCGTTGCTGCCAGGGAGCGCGGACGACTGTAAGTTCACGTTGGAGTCCCAGCTCCAGGTACATCTGCTGCACATGCTCTGGTAGTCATCATAGGTAGACACTCGACGGAGCAAAGTAAGCACGTCATCTGCAAGAGGGTTATTCAATGCCGTCGCGGTGCCCGGACGAAGGGGCAAACTGTTCAAGGGGGGCGAAAAACCCGCTCAGGCACAAGGAGTTGACGTGAACCTTACTGACAAGCTAGTTAACTAGTAACTAAACAGCAACTTGCTCAACAAAACGCCGAAGCCAGTTAAAAAGTCTCGGGCGCGTCCAAACATATCAAAGTACAGCAACATAAAGCAGGCCCCTTCACCTTCCAGTCAGGATTCTGTATAGTTACTATTGTTATTTTTTCACTATAGTTTTATGCAGTCTGGGATAATGAAGACTACTTAACAGCCTGCCTGTCGGGATTTACCAAGTATACAGAATACACATAAAAAAGAGAAACACCCTGTACGAGTTTGACCGAAACAATATAGAAATGGACAAATGAATTTCAGGACAAATTCGTATAACTCTACGTTTGAGAGAGAAAATGTTACATCCTCCCCTCCATCGCTTCCGTCCTTACTGTTCCGCGTACATACTCCCGAGAGTTCGGCCAGCAGTCCTCTCTCCCTTTTTTTTTTTTTTCGGTCGCGGAGAAACGGAGATCACAAGCTGTTCGTCACTCAACTCAAATAAGCGCACTGCTTCGGATGCAAGCCGAATTGCGGCCCTCAGATCATCACCTTAACCGTAGACTCGGCCGGTAGCTCTCACCCAAGCCGGCTACGGTCCGGTTCACCCTGGATAGACGGAGGAAAGGGGACTCTCTCTTTTGATGGGGTCACATGCGATAGCGAATTCAAAATAAATAGTCATAAAATACTAGAAAACTACGAGTTAGGAATAAATAAATAAGAAAGGGATGCGGTGTCATTAAGTCAAGTACTTCGTATGTGCACATACATATATAGTTAGTACCTCAAAAAGCAAGCCAAAAAAAAGCAGAGAGACCAAGAAGAACTACTACTGGATAATCGCGGGTATATAGCTATCATTGGTATCAGAGGGGCGATACAGAAAAATTGAAAAAAAAAAAAAAAAAAAAAAAAGGAAAAAGAAAAAGAAAGAAAGAAAAAGCAAAAAAAGGGTTCTACTACTGCTATCTTCAACAACGCAGTGGGGGGTTTACCCTCTGATACAAGGGGACAAACTGTCTAGTCGTCCACAAGGTGTCAGCCATCATCCAACCATTTCCCTCGAATTTGTTGCAAAAAGGAAGAGAAATGTAAGTAGCCTTTTTTTTTTCGCTCCGCCTCATCCTCCTCCTTCTTTTCTTTTCTTTTTTTTCCCCTTCCCTTTTCATTATCTCTGAGACCTCCTTTGAAACCACAAACAGCTCCTGCATGACATTTGACTGGAAGACCAAACATTCAGAGAAATCACCTCTATCGTAGTTGGTATATCAAAAAGGAGATCCCCCAAGAAAAAGAAAAAAAGGCAAACAGTCCAACAGCCCGGGGGTTCCACGATATAAACACTGACGGGATGCGCAAAAAGAAAAAGCAATGAAAAATAACAAAAAATAAAATGGAACCCATGACGCCTCAGCTAAGGAAAAGGGGAGGGTGAAGGGGAGCATAAACTTAAAAAAAGACCCAATATAAACGAGAATGCATCATTCGTATCCCAGAGCAAAACCGGTCATTGTTCAATTCGATCATCGCGTCCCCAGAAAGGATCTGGGGTGAGAGAGGGTAAATAACGGAAAATTTGCTTCAAACTGCGCCGTCATAAATGCAGGAAACCGTACCGAGACAAAATCTGGGAGAGGAATGAAGCTATGCGCATCCAAGATGATATCGTAAGGAGAGATGGGGAAATTGTTCCTTTTTTTGGTTTTGGTTCCTTTTTTTTCCTTTTTTTTTTAAAGTAGCAAAAGAGAAGAGAGAGAGAGAGGGGGGGGGAAGCGAGGCGACCACGAAGGACTAGGGAGTCGGGATGGTAGTATAACTATTAATGGAAGTGCCGGGAGCCAAGCAATCAAAAGATCCTGCACTTCAAGCCACTGCGGGTCTCCTTGCGGTTTGTCCCAAAGGACCTCGTATATTTGGCGCCAGTGGGTGCGCATGCAGCACCATATGCGGTGCCTCGCCTGTCTAGATGCCGTGTAGAGTGCTGAGTTTGCTGAAATTGGTGCTGTTGCTGCTGTTGTCGGAGGAGTCGCACAACGTCGAAAAACGCTTTCTCAACGTTAATGCAGTTCTTGGCGGACGCCTCAACGAATTCGCAGCCAAGGTCCCTTGCCAGCCCGTACCCTTCCTGCGAGGAAACAGCCCGCTCAACTGCTTTATCACACTTGTTTCCGACCAGCATGACGGGGACGGGCTGGGGTGGCCCTGAATTGGAGCCATTCATCTGGGATGAGAGGTAGCCGGCGCCCGTTGGTGAGCCGGAGCTCGCGGATTCCTTCACAAGCTGGATTTGGTTGTAGAATTTCTGTATGCTGGTGAACGAAGACCGGGAGGTAATGCTGTACACGAGAACGAAGCCCTCGCCATCTCTAATCCACTGGTCACGCAGCGACGTATACTCCTCTTGACCGGCCGTGTCCAGTACCTCCAGCATACATAGTTGCTGATCGATCACGACTTGCTTTCTATAGGAATCCTCGATGGTGGGATCATATGTTTCGACGAAGTGATTCAAACACAGCTACCCTCGCAATTAGTCGATGCGAAATGCGAAGGGGGAACGAAAAATAAAGACAAGCATGAAAATTTAAAAAAGAAGAGAGACGATGCGAACCTGAATTGTAAGTGCTGTCTTCCCAACACCTCCGTCTCCCAACACCACCAACTTATATAACTTCATTTTTCCTGTCATGGCTGCAACGGCTTTCTGTTCACTGTAGCGAAGGAATTAAGGAAGGATCGATGAGAAGAGGGCCACGTCAAACCACAGCAAACACTGATAGTCGAAGTTGGAAGCCAAAAATTCTCTCGACTAAATTTTGCAACGATTGAAGGGTGTGTGATTTGCACGAGGACCTAGGGTAGCGGCGATAAATGATCGATCTATCTTTGCAGATTTGTCAGGAACAAATTCGCCATGTTGGAGAAAACATGAATTTCTTTTTCTTTTTTTCTTTTTTTTTAATGAAGAAAAAACAAAAGCTAAAAGCAAAAGAAAAAAAAGGATAATAGTTGAAATGCATCCTGCTGAGGTTACAACTTCTGAAAGAGATAGACGGCGTTGGGTAAGAGAGAGAGAGTGTGTGTGTGAGGGAGAGGTGTAGGTGGTTGCTTCGGACTCAACCGAGGGCAGGCGATAGGGAGACAAATAGCAAACACGGACCAGGGAGCTGCAGATGGGGATTGATCCTGGAACGCAGGGCCGGGTGAAAGCATAGCAAACGGGAAGAGAACCTACCCTCGGCACCAGCAGCGAAAGAATACCTTCAAGAGGTTACACACAGCAAAGACGGACTCCTCAAAAAAGAAAAAGAAAGGGCGGGCGATTCTTTTCTTTTCCAAATGAGTCGACGGTTGCAGCAAACGGATAAAAGAGGGAATTGGCGAAAATGAGAGGATTCAAGAGGTCGAACGGAAGAGAGAGAGAGAGGGAGGGAGGGAAGAATGAAGATGAGAGAGAGGAATGCTGCGTTTTGGGGTGGTGGTGGTGGTGGTGGAGGAGGTGGAAGGACGGGGAGGCGTTGAGATAAGCCGGGCTTGCGTCTTTGCAACTCTTTCGGTGGCTGATAGAACCGCACGCACACGTGAGAGAAGGCCCGCGAAAGCCGGTGGCGAACCTAGTTTAAAGCTGCGCAGCCAGAACGTAGTCGGGTGCAGTGTGGGTTCGTCCTTTTTCTTTTTTTTTTTTTCCTTTCCTTTTTGCCTCTGCTAGTTCACAACGGAAGAGAGGAAGGCAGAGCGGAGGGTCGCCGTGGAGGAGGAATGGATTATGTTTCTTTTTGTTGGCGTCTTTGAGGAGCGTGGACTGCTCAGACCGGAACGGTGAGGAACAGGGTGGAATGACGAGAGACACCAGGCTAGCAGCAGTGAAGCATGGATGGGCTGTTAAAAGAAGAACAGTGGATGAGCGGGGAGGAACCCTCTGTGGGTTGGCGTTCGATATAACTATGTATGGTCGAAGGATGCTCGCCTGTCTTTGGCTGAAATGCGATCTCGGCCACTTCGGTGCGAAAAAACCACGTGGGTCTGGCTTTTTTACCGTGTGGTGTCGCTTGTTGGTTTGGCTGCTGTGCGGTGATCTCCTTAACACTGGAGAAGAAATAATTGCTTTTTTTTCCCTCTCTCAGGAGGCAGATCGACACGAGAACGAGATGGGAGGGAGACGCAGGGAGTAGAGAGAGAGAGAAAGAGAGAGAGGAAGAGAAGGGGGGGAAGAGCCGGAAAAGAGTCAGCAGCAGATCCCAGCAGTTCCTCCGGCGGGCGCAATTAAGAGCAGCAGCTAGTTATTTAGTCGTAGCATGTACAGAGTGTGTACAGAGAGTACAGACAAACATTTTACCATACAGGATTGAAAGTGGATTGGAAGGGGGGCGGTTCTTTTTTTTCTTTTTCTCCACCAGCGGAGTCCCGACACCCGTATCTTCCCAGATGCTTTTGAGGGAAAAAAAAAAAAAGGAAAAAGAGAGAGAGAGACAGAGAGACCGACCACATACGCGCGCATGTCGGGGAAGGGGGGGGAAAGAAAATACGGCTCGAGCTAAAGGGCGACATGTGGTAAGGAGGAGTGGGTTAGAACTCCGGCTACGCTGAATTATGGACACCCGCTGGCTGCTCCAATTGGCCCCGAATGCCTGCGGATGGGGAGAAGCTCGAGGAAATTCTCAGACCAGCGGGAAGCGAGTGCCCTTAGTTGAAACTTTCTACAATCATTCTGGAGCAGAATTGTGGATTGGCAGTCGATTCTAGCCGCTTTGGGACTTTGCTCGACGGATGCTTCTTGTACCAACATCTGTACTCCGTAGTTGAGAGAGGTAAACAAGTAAATAAATAAATTAAAAAAAAGGAAAAGGAAAAAAGACGACGTCGAGGAGAGGGGGAGGATAATTTACTTCGTCTGTATGTGTAAAAATTCTATGTCCAAAAAGGCCATTGTGCCCAGAGCGCGTCCACTCCCTAGTCGGCGAAGGAGTCGTGGGCAGAGCAGCAGCGGGCCGTGTGCAGTTTGGACAACGAAGCAGCGAGACTGAGTATGTAGCGGTGCGGGCGGGACTGACACACAGGAGGGAAAGCCGAGAGTTTCCTTCAACGGTTCTGGAACAGCAGGCGCAGAGCCTGTTAGTCAGCGACGTTTGAGAAATGCGCATGCTGACTGGTTATCAAGCCTGTCCCTCGGGGAGGGAGCAGCCAATCACAGCCGGTTGTGGCGCTGCACTTTCCCCACAAAGCCCAATAGGAAGGTTACCGGCTAAGGAATTAGCGGAAGTATTCCACGCCCGCTCCTTCCCTTCCCTCCCCCGGGCCAGAATGTTAACGTATTATGTCATCCAACTGCTTGCTTGCTTGCTGCGGCTGCTTGTTGTTGTTGTTGTTGTGCAGTGAATGGACAACTCAAGGGAAAAAAAAAAAAAAAAAAAAAAAAAATGCAACTTTCCTGCAATGCAATGCAAGGTTAATGCGGTGCACGAGGCAATCAACCCGGCCGAGCCTGCCAAGAACGCTGGCCGCCTTGGAGATGGCGCCTCGCTCTTCATACGAGCTTGATGTTAAGGTCTCGCTGTGTACCTTCCACTTCCCACCACACCCCCCGGCGCACGCTCCGGAAACCATTGGATTCGCCGTGTTTGCTGCTCTTGGGGGAGTACTGCATGGCCCGAATTCATCCATGTACGCATGTACACTGCCATCGCCGGGCAAGCCTCCAGGCGTGAAATATCCGAAAATGCTGCCGTCAGCCGCCCGTGACCGCTGCTGCACTTGCGGCATTGATACTACGAAGTCGGTTGTGGGAAAAAAAGAGCATAATCGAGACGATCTTCCAACCGGCCTAGTCCTCCAGCGGTATCCGATGCACATATATACTTTTAACCTGATTCTTATTTTTTTTTTTTTTATTTTTATTTTTTTTGTTTTTTTTTGCCCCATGCGAGGCATCTCATAAGCATGCACGGCTACGGGCCACCCCATCGCCCTCGATTCTGGCCCTTCTCCCAGCTTCCCCCGCAGTGGCGAAATTCTCGCGTTTGAGCTTTGTCCAATCAGCCGCACGTTGCACCCGGGCTTTTGCAGTCCAGCACGGCAGAGCATGGACAGCTTTCAGGCACCCCCCGGCGGCCAAAATGCGCCCGTTGATAGGCCACCTGAGAGTTTGGTTAAGACTCCGGTCGCCGCCTGGGCAAGAGAGTCTTCCTGCTTGGGAAAAATGCAGCTTCGCCTTTTCCTTCCAAATCCTCTTTCCCCTCAACTTTCTGCACGAGGAATGCCGATCATGCTTAAAACTTAGGCGCTCTCCACTATCAAATCCACCACACTGATCGCCAGCCTCCAGGGGCTTGGTTAAAACAAAATTCTTTTCGTTGTCGAATTTTCTCTTTTAATGAGTGTATCAATAAGCTTTGGCCTTCCCCCTTCCCCCTCTCTCTCCCTTTGTAAATCACTCTCGCTTGCTTCTGGGTTGAAAATCCAGAAGGTTCCTCCTCGCTTCCGTGACATTCGCTGGATCCCTCTTCCGAGACTGCGACCAGTATTTGCCGTACCTGCAGAGTGGAAGCCACCCAACTTACGGAGTACAGAGTTTTCGATTACGATCCTTGAGATGCCATGCAGATCGGGGGAGGGATTGGCCAGGAGTCTGCTCTCTTCCTCCCCCAGGGGGTTTACCTGCATCTATCCACCCGTGTTACAGGTCTGTTTAAGGTCGAGCACACCCCGATAGACTCCGCTCGTACTCCGTACATCATCGACATCATATTGGTACCGAAATGGTACCCTGAGCACCAGCGGACCACCCAGGCCACAATCATAAGTGGCTAACTCTACTGGGAACAAGTCTTCGGCTGGAAGAACGCTCGCCGTTGCGAAAGCCCTTTCGCAGTCAAAACGGGAAAGAAGCGGGTTCATGTCGGAAATGTTAGCATTGAGCGATTGCATTGTCTGCGTATGCCATCCTTGCGAGGTGGTACGCCGTGCTCTCAGAATTATTTGACACCCGACCACGATCCAACACCCAACACTTTTAACTATAGGGCGGAAACCCGGTATCGAGAGAACGCGAGATGGATGTTCCCCAGATCTCTCATATTTACCTGCATGAACCATGTTTGTACGTGTACGTGTTCTGTTGCATTTGGTTTGGAGGCCTGCAATGCAGCCTCTTGAGAATGCATAAAACAATGCGAGCACCTATGCACCAATATGATCTGTACTTTTGATTCCTTTTCTTTTTTTTTTTTTTTTTTTTTTTTTTTCCCTGGCCTAGAGATATGCACGTCCACCTAACTATAACAACTCTAATAAGGTGCTAGGAACAATTGTCCTCATGAACAGCTTCCTAAAGAGATTGTTTCCAGGGATGGTATGAATACGGAACTCTGAAGTTTGGCTAGCGATATCTAAATTGCCAGAAATTTGGTGCAAACTTCAAGGCTAAACTCTGTGAAGGATTTCCCTCGCTCCAAGCTTCCGCTTCTTTGATAATAAGGTTAACCAGCCCGAGCCTGCTGAGTTCCATCCTTGCAGATATTTTGCCATTTTCCCTCCGTATCTTGGGTTGGGAAAAGTGCGTATGTAGGTACAGTGCGGAGTCCCTTGACAAATTTTACAGATACCGCTGGCTCTCACCATATCTTGGCGCAATGAATGACAAATGGATGCGAACCCGGGTGTGCGGCTATGCCGCCATGGAAGATACATATGGCTGAGCTTTGGTGAGACAGATCAAGCAGAGCTGATTTCATCCGCAACCGGCAAAATCCAGCGACCTGAGCCACGCCAGTCTGGGGTTCCCTGGTCAGAATGGCCAAGTAGAAAAACGTGGATGAGTGTGCGCAGTCCGGGGTGAGCGGTGGACCTGCCCGTTAAATCTACCCGTCGTGTATCACCCGCTAATGCGACCTTGGAAAGGAAAAGCGCAGATTAAACCTGTGCTTCCTCTTGACATTGGTCAGTTCGACAAATTACCTTTTTTTTTTTTCCCTCTCTTGCAGACTGCCGCCCAGTTACACTTTACTTCATGTTGGACTTGGGAGTGCTGCTGCTGCCCTTGACCAGGTTGGATTTGAGAGTTCGATTCACGGAAAGGTTAATGTTACCCATCTGATGTTGTGCGTTAGTTAACTGTTTTGGCCTGGAGAGAAAGGACCTGTATTTTGAGCTTTGAGCGTTTTGGGAGTGGGGTGAACAGGGAGCACAGCAAAGGAACAGAAAATTGCGAACCCTTCTTTTTCTTTTTTCTTTCCATTTTTTTTTTTTTTCCCTCCCACCTTTAGCCACCAAAGTTTGCTGGAAGCAAAAAACAAAAAGAAAAGAAAAAGATTTTTTTTTTTTCTCACTCATCTTGGCCCCTGTCCCTTGTCGTCTTCCACGCTGCATCTATCGTGTCCGCCCACACAAGGGACACACACATTCTTAACTCAACCCTGGAGGAAAACGGCGCGTAATTCTCCGGCTTACCTCGCATTTTCTCACCTCGAAGTTCCTGTGCCGCGTGTGTTTTCGCAGCTGGAATCTCGTTCTGCTTCATAGCCCCGGGGCTCACTCGACCAAGAAAGTCTGGCCCAACCTCTTGCGCTTTTTGTTTTTCTTTTCTTTTCTCCCTTGTTTCTCACGACAAGGTATAACTAGGTACATGCGTTCGGGATTGTCTGAGTGGTTTACCACATAAAGCGGCCTTTTTTCTCCTTCCTTTCGTTCCTTCAATTGCTCTCTTGAGGTGGCCGCAGTTACCCTGGTTTTTGGAGCGATTGTTGAAAAACGGATTGGGGAGGCTTTCATTTCAAAGTTTCTTTGTTTTCAGAAGTCCTGGATGGTGTACTTCTGCTGTAGAACCCTGGAAGACTATTCTGGTGAGCAGGTGCTGGGCCGTGCGAATCCTCTTTTCTTTTTTTTTTTTTCAGATTGCGAGAAGATGATTGCTCGTATACTCGCTTACGGGCTCATCACTTGATCTGCTAGATGATCGGCGGTTGAAGGCCCGAGATCAGAGGCCAGGGTCCTCTTTGAGTGGAGCTCCGTTCGTGATGCCGGTGATGCTCGCCGCTAGAAACTTCTATGGAGTTTATATGTTGACGATCGCGATGTGGGAGGCACTCAACGACTCGCCAAATGGTTGAATTGTGGAGTTCCATGTGCAAACGGTCAGCAGCTTCGAGGATTCATTAATGTATGGGCCTTTTCTTACGACGCTTTGCTCTGTAGGTTGAACGCTATATCAATGTTAACTGGTTATATGAGGGTTAACTCCCTCCGTGCTCTTCTAGCTCTCTTTTCCAGAAGCGGAGACACATTTCCTAATGCCTTTTTTTTTTTTTGGGGAAAAGGGGGGGGGGGGGGGGGGGGGGGGGTTGATTTCCCACATATCGTGATATGTGGAAGGCCTCCGTACGGCAAAGGTGCGTGATGATGGTGTTTATTTATGCGTGAGTGGAGATTTTGTGATTAAGCATTCTATGATGGATTCGTTGAGGAATCTCCTGTTCTACATACAGGTCTGGTACTCATATTCTTGCCGTTGACACTGTTTCATATGAAGACCTAGAGGAGCTATTGAGAAGGCTACCAAAGGGACTAGTTTGCAGTTTTCTACTTTGCGATCTGCTAACATCCAGCAATTCAATTCAACGACGCTACAAGATTGATCGACCACTCTACGCATCTGTGATGGGCGGGAGGATGTGTGGTGCCGGGCCAGCAGGCACAATGGAGAATGGGACCTGCATTCGCCTGTTTGTTGAAAACAGATATCCAAGTTTAAACTGCAAAAAAAAAGCACGATCAGTTCCGGCCATGAAGAGGGTTCTGAAACCGTTTTCATAAAAGGGGAGCTAAAAGAGAAGCTTACGGCGTCAAAATTAGTTGTCTTTTTGAAAGCTCCTCCGTTTGTCTTCTCTGACTCGTCCCAATACAATCGTCTGAGCCATCTATCGATGTGCGGATAGTCGTGACGAATCATTTTCAAGTTGCACCGGAAGGTATGGTAGTATGCGACATCGAACCGTACAATCGTTGGATACAACCGAATGTCTGCCTCGGTGATATGCTCCCCGAACAGGTACGGTCCATGTCCCCGCTCACTCAGATGCTTTTCCAGTCGATCCAGCGATGCGAACAGAGGGTAGATGTTCTCGTCATACGCTTCCTGGGTGGTCGCAAACCCTGTCTTATACACCCCGTTGTTCACAGAATTATAAACCCAATCATTCATATCATCAATCTCCTTCCTCAAACGTTCCGGATACAATCCTCCACCGGGCCTATTCGCCTCTCGCAGCTGCTCCGGCAGCAGGTCGTCAAACTCAGTATACAGCATCCGAATAATCTCGCTACTCTCATTGTTCACAATTGTTTCCTTCTGCTTGTCCCACAGCATCGGCACCGTGTATCGTGCCTGGTAGTCCGGGTCTGACTTGAGATATAATTCCTTCAGGTACTGGAAACCGTATATGGGATCCTTTTCAGCGGAACCGAGCTCGCCTGTGAACTGCCATCCTTCAGGGCTCATTCGCGGATCGAGGACAGCGAGCTGGATGATGGGTTCTAGGCCTTTGAGGGAGCGTACAATGTTGGCGCGATGGGCCCATGGGCAACCGTATGTGACGTAGAGGACGTAGCGGTCCTTTGCTGGCGGGAAATCGGCGCCGGGGGAGCGGGAGATGGTGGAGCGGAAGGAGGCGACTTGGCGGCGGAAATGGCCGTCTTGGCCGGCTTGTTTGTAAATGGGAGCGTCCTAATTCTCATAGGAGAGTGGAATTAAATTTGGGGATTCTTGGACGGTTTTCAAGGTTGAATTGGTGGTGCGGGTGTGATGGCGGTGTTGGATTGGGTACCTTGTCAGCCATGCCTCGATAACGCAACAATCTCACACTTTAAAAATCTGCCTATTTGCTCGTCGCTGGATTTCTTTAGATGGTTCGCAAAGTAGATTTCAATGGCATTGATCTCCGATCTACATCGAGAGGCTTTATATACGATGATATAGTATCCTCTGACATCATTCCAAAAATTCCATTGCGATCCGGCTGATGGCGGGGCCACATATCCCCCACATCCCACCCCCTTGGCCACCGCGCTTAAATTCCGCTTTGATCCTTTCTCAGACGGCTTGCTTAACAATCATCGGGGTGCTGGCATAATTGGAGTCCGGCGTCAGCGCATGTTGGCCGCCTTAAACTATAGTGGGACGAGGGTGATTGCAGTGGATGCGCTGCTATGTGGAAGGCAATATCAGCGGAATATACTAGAGGAATAGGGGTTGCTTGATGCAGATATGAAAGTACATATGGAGTACGCGCATTGTCGATGGGGTTATGAGGCACTACCGGTGTGGCTATTCTAGAAACAACACCTTGGTCCGCTTTCGGAATAAATAGCTTACGTGACACTTGGCAATCGAGATGCCCCGGAAATGGGTTGGACTAGCCATACATCCTTCGATCGAGGCGGACAGGCTACTTTGAGAGGCCTGGATATTCGCCATTACCTTCAATAGCGAAGAGGAATATTTAGTCAACCCCAGTCAAATTACTGACTTCCAGGGCTAACATTCTCGGAGATCATTGCATGGTTGGCGTTTTATCGGCATTTGGGTGCCATATTTTGATGAATACTCATGCAGGCAGTGCCATGTGCTTCTTCGGTTAAACCTGAACGGATGGGCCGTCTTCACATCACCCATCGAAGTAGAAGAGCAAACGTCTCAGTCAAAAAGCCGAGGATTTCGAGGCGTGGACCACATCCATGTGTTGGAGTGGAAGATTCTCAGGGGGTAAGTCCCTCTTCCTCTGGAGTGGTCTTCTGGCATTTGAAGGGGGCCTCGCATGGAATCCCATGCCAACGAGGATAGTAAACGTGCTGGGATGTCGGTCTTCGAATCCTTCCGAGCACTGTTTTGACCCTTGGACCCTATCGACCTTGTTGAACGTTCTTTTCACCTGAGGAGTACTCTATACGGAGTACATTGTCCAAAAATGGGAGAGATCCCATTTTCTCAGGGATCGATTAGGAACCAAGGAGTAAATATCAGAATCGTATCGCAACCGAGCAAAGGGGATAATGTTGCGTGTCGCGGAACCCAAATCCCCGGGGCTCGGGCCTCGTCTTTGAGCCGGGTCTACGCCGTTACAAACCATGCATCGACCGCGCCGAGGCAAGTGCGGGACGTCCATACATATGTATGTTCATACAGAGCACTCTGGGGCTCTTTGTTTTTCCCGATAATGTTAGCGTGAAACAAGGTAAAACCGGGGGGAATTGATCAGATAAACCGAAACTCTCATGATCTCCAAGGCAAACGAGCGACATGCCTTTCTTTCTCCCAAGGCAACACATTATTCCCTTTATTTCCGATTGAGACTGGTCAGTGCCGGTAGGGCTACCTCCGCAGATCTCTTCCAAGCATAGATGAAACAACAAAAGATCAGGGATGTGGATACAGAAATAGCAGGCGAAATGGAGTCTGGGTTGCCCCATATGGGCATCTAATGGCATTATTTCGCATGGAAACGGCGTCTTCAGGAAGAATCTGACGGATCAGCATCGGATTTTGCTCAGTTGCAGGAGAGGTATCCGCGCCAAGCCGCCATATTTTAACTCGCATCGCATCGCATGTGCATGCCGACGAGTGGGTGAGAAACTGTATTTTACAAAGTATGTTCTCCGGAGGAGCTCAGGAGAGTGTCTGTGCGTAGGGAGCGCATTTGCGAGGTTTCTCGGCCAATTATTTACACGCATCGTCTCGCGATGCATCGCATTGCAAAGAACTGGAAAGGGACGATCGAGATGGGACTCATGCAGCAAGATTCCACGCGGAGCAGAAGGCTGGAAATCAGACCCTGACATTCGTCAGCTGTCCGATGTTCCTGGTGTTGCTGCTTCCCCCTTGTAAGGTGTTGAGCATCGAGTTGCTCTGTACGGAGTACTTATGCGTATTGCGCAGCGCGTGGTAAATTTGCTCCAACAGCGGGCCCACCTTGTTGCATCGAAGCTCAAGGAGGCGTCGCCACAAGGCCCGTGACGGACGAGTGAGAAACGACGAAGAAATGAGAAACATCAAGCTCGATCTCGTTCTGGGCTGGGCATCCGGGGAGCCAGCGCACGATTCCCAGTTTTTCGGTTTCGTTGGCGTCCAACGGTCCACCCGCGTTTGTGAGTTTTCGATGGCCGTTTTTATGAAACGGTAACGCTGCTGTTTTTCTGGTTTGGCTGTGGCGATTTGCTTAAGGAGGATATTTTCATCGCATGAGAAGTCGTTCGGTGAGCAGATAGAGCAGATGAAGCGTAGTCAATTGAGGCTTTGGCTATTTCGCGTCGACGGCTCAAGAGCCCGCTGCAGTGCGTCGTGTTGGGGGGTCACTCAACGCAGTAGCGCGGGACTGGCTCTGGTTCCGGGTGAGCTGCGCCGTGAACCCTGGTCCAACCCCTCCATACTTCCGGGCCGCCAAAGCATGTGCCCAATGCTATTTGCCCGCGAGGAGTCGATCGTTTTCTCCCCGAAAGGTGAATGACAGTGCTCCCAGTGGATACAAGGGCAAGGTATTATTTATCATGAACGATCGAGGCTGACTAGCGGCGGTGATCGCTGAACTTTACTAGGGGGCTTTTGATGTTCCCTCACGCGGGATCTCGAGTATCTCTCTGTATTTCTTACCGATACAGCCCCTGAGACTAGCCTGGATACGGCGAATGAGGAGGAAAAAATTTACCCAACGGCCAACGTCCTCGAGGCCGCTCTCGGTGAGAACGAATGTCTTCTTTCTCTTTCATTCGAGCAGAAGAATGTTGACGTGCCATCCGTCCACATTCTTCCTGGCTGAAATAGTCATAATGGGCTGTCATTATCGCTGTCAGGAGGAATGAGCGGGTCCCGGTTCGTGTACAACATCAAGCTGCGAAACTTTGTCTCCATCCAGCTCGAAAGCTACCCGTCCTGCCACTCACCCTTCAGCCCTCCGTTATTGCGATGAACCGCTCCCAAATTGTACTGGCACAAAATTTCCTGCTCACTCAATCGACATCAGCGAGAAACGGCTTATGGGTAAGTCTTTCAACGCTTCTGTCAGGTCCCTTCTTTTCTCATCTTCCTGCTCCTCCGCAATCCCTGTCTTCGATATGTATATAGGGCTCTTGTTATGCCTCGATTTCGTCAACCTGCCTGCATGCCACCCGGAGCTTCTCGACCTTACCGGGTCGACCAATGGCTCACGGACTTTGTCCAGCACGCTCTTTTTTTGATCCTTTTACTTCTGATCTTCAGCTCGCCAAACCCCCTAGCTTCGTGCGTCGCGTCTTACGCCTCGGAGACCTGGTGGTGCTTTATTCCGCGCCTCAAGTGCTAATTTGCTTCCCCAGTTTGGTGCAACAGACATAGAATTTGACTGTGCACAACACGCAGGGGTGTTCTTTTCTCACCTTGCCCCATGACGCTCTTCCCGTTCGCCTCCTGAATGAATCCTTTCGTTGGTTCGCTTCTTTGGCACTAGCCCCCCGGCTCTCGAGACTTGAACTTCTAAAAATACTGCCATTCGCGCTTTCAATCTTGAATTGAGCTCCCGCTGTATTTGAATATACGCACCTAATTTTCCCTTTTTTTTTTTTTCCCCTATACTTCGCACGATTTTCGGCGTTCAACAAGAGTTTTGTGTCTCCATCACTCGCCATCTGCGCTGATCAGTAGATAGAAAGGGTGCCGGTTGAGTTTGTGCCATGTTGCCTTGAGCATCCGGCACGTGTATTCGATGTTATAAGTGGTACAATATCACGGGCGATGTACTGATCTTCATCTCGATGCAACATGGCTACCAACTGGGAAAGCGAACGGGATTACTTCTCGCAGGACCCTTCCAGCCCATCCGATTCTTTCTATAAAACTCCTCCCGCCTCGATCTCCCGGCATTCGTTGCATCGCAGAGATTCCTCTCCCGGCCCATCGTCGTCACCAGCTCCATTTCCATCAGGTCGCCGAGATGCAGAATCGAGACGCAACATACACCTTGTAAACGATGATACAATTTCTCCCCTGGATCCTCGCAGGTTTACACCGACCTTACACGCCTCGCTTGTCTCGGAGATATTATCGTTGCGCCGTGACTTGGAAAGTAAGACCAAGGAGATCGACACACTCGAGTTGAGTCTGGAAAATGCAAGAACAGAGGCAGAATCACTTCAAGAGACCGTTTCCAAGAATGCCCAGGAGACTCGTTCTCTTAAACGGCAGCTACAGCTGCTGGAAGGAGGCTCTAACTCGGCAATAACGGACCTCGCAAAGGAGAGAGACGAGGCTTTGGAAAACATATCTGATGTTCGGAAGAGACTTGAGGTATCACAGAAGAAGGTTCGGGCCCAAGAAGAGCAAATTGAACAGACTCAGTTGCTATGGAACCAAGATAAGCAGAAGTGGGATGAAGAGCGGCGGAACCTCGACAGAAAAGTTCATGTGGTCGAAGGGCGATTGAAGCTTGTTCTCAGCGAAATCGCTGCTGCGGAGGCTTTCAACGCAAATCGCCCAGAGAACGAAGAAGACCTTGATGGCTATAGGCGAGATGGGGCCATCACACGAGCCAGCGACGCCGCGACTGTTAGGTCGAGCAGTGCAGCAGGAAGACACAGGAGAAGTACTGCCAGCATTGGCAACGACGGAGATCTCCAAAACTTCCGATACTCTATCATGAGCCAAGTCAATGGTCACACATCAAAGGCTGGAGCCCTGAATCTTGCAGATGAGCTTGCGTTTGACGAAGAAGACGAAAATACAAGCTATAGCACCGAGGATGAGCGTCCAGAATCGCGTGATACTCTTCCTGAAGAAAATTACATCCCAAATCAGTCGCATCCACTGGACTTGAAAGCCCGGAGAATTTTAGGCCTCTCTTTGGATGCTCCTGAAATGCTTGTCCAAAGATCTCTGGCGACGAACGACGTTATGGATGATGATGCCAAAACAATCTCGGGCAACACGAGATTTGAATATAAGGACATGGGTATTCAGTATACTCCTCCCCCATCTCCTAAGCTCATCCCTGACGAACCTCCGGTCGTTTTCCAATCTTGCGGTACGCAAACGGAGGAAACCGACACAGTCGAAAGGGACCAGGACCCAAAAAATGCGACTATTCCTCGAGAAACAGTGGACCAAGGCACAACTACAACTCCTGTTGTGATGATAGCTTCCTCATGCCAAACGATAGAGGAAGTAAAGCCTCAAGCCGAAATACCCACTGGCGAAGTTTCAACTACACCAGAGACAGCCTCTGCCAGCACCCAAACCGACGATGTAGAGGTCAAAGAAACCGTGCAGCCCCGGCTTCAGATGCCCATTCCAATGATCACCGTTCATCCTCCTGGATCAAATCCTCCATCGCCAAGGAGCAGCGTAGTTCTGCCGCCGCAAACAAAATCTGCCGCCTCCCAAACTGATTCCGAATTACCCTCGAATACTCGTTGCTCCGGGATGCAAACGGAAGAAATACGAGTAGATAAACGAACATTAAACCTTCGAACCGGGCTGCTACCATCGGCTATGCCCGATAAACCTCTCAGTTCCGATATGTCTGATGTATCTTCTAGCCTGCCAGTTTCCCCTTACTTCCCTCCACCTCCAAAATCGCCTCGAAGGAAACTTCGTAACCCTCCACCAGTTGAAAGTCCCCCAAGAATCATCAAAACGCAACACTTCGACACGTATCAAGCCTACCCAGGAAATAATGATAATGGCCCCCTTACTGAAGATGAGCACTCAGATATCCGTCGACCATTTAGATCGAGCAGCCTCTTTGCTGGTTTTGGCGATATGAGCGACGAAGAGACACAGCAAAAACGGCAAGAGTTATTTAGTGATGACGAGCTGTTGAACCGGCCAATGGCGTCGTATACCTTGAAGTCTGGGAAATTGGTCTCCAAGAACACTCCCAATATCCTTAACGATAACCCTGAAAAAATACACGATGGTCAATATTCTCCCAGGGAATCTATAGACAGAGAAGTGAAACTCCATCGGTCTGCTACTCGACGTAAATCGAATGCAAAACGGCCAGCGAGAGCTCAGTTGAAACAAGCTTCGACGTTCAAGGAACCAGATATGCGGCGCGCTGCGATGATTTCTAGCTCCACGGCTGCTCATCAGTCATTTCGTCCACGTAGCCCTAGTGCTCCAAGCATTGGTAGCTCAGGCACCCAGAACCATGCTCTCCCTCCATTTCCTGTACCTGTTCGTTTCAGCTCTCGAAAACCAAGAGGTAGCAGTGAAGGAGCGCAGAGCCCAACCCCATACAGGAACGGAAACATGTCAGACCGTATGGGAGATGGCTTCATCCGGAAAACTCGATCAGCGGCTGTCGTTGCTCGAACTCAACCCAACGGATATCAATCTCCGCTTACCATTTCAACATCATCAGTTGCTCCAGACAGCCCGCAGTATCCACCAATGCCCCTTGATGAGATAACAGCTCAAAGCAAGAAAAGCTTGCAGAAACGTACAAATCGCCAGCCCTCAAGCGCGCATTCTCATTCTCCAGGGGATTCAAATGCCACAAATGTGCAACCGACGAGCGTCGTCGATGCTATTACACAGACTATGGTAGGGGGATGGATGTGGAAGTATGTACGCAGGAGAAAGTCGTTTGGTATGCCAGAGAATTCAAAGGACGGATGGGAAGCAGGCAAGAGCCCAGAGGAAGCAGCTGCAGCGGCTGCGAATACGGGTGTCAGGCATAAGAGGTGGGTGTGGCTGGCTCCGTATGAGCGTGCTATCATGTGGAGTAGCAAGCAGCCCACAAGCGGCCCAGCTTTGTTGGGTAAGAGTGGTAGAAAATGTGAGTGCTCACTGCAGCCGATTGGCATGATCCGAGATGTGCTTCTTTACATGCTGACTTCTCAAAAAGTGGTCATCCAATCCGTCCTTGATGTCAAAGATGAGAACCCGCTGCCCAAGGGTGCCAGTCCACAGAACCAGGTTAACCGCTCGATACTAATTTTGACTCCCCAGAGAGCGTTGAAATTCACCGCCATGACGATAGAACTCCACTTCATCTGGTTGACTGCTCTGTCTTTCCTCAGCCACTCTTCGATGGCAATGACTGATCTTGCAGCTTTGCCTCCAGTGCCCCAGGAGGAGTATACTCCCCGGCAACCTACAGCTGCACTCCGACGTAATCCAATTCGCGATTCTATAAGGGTGGCAAAAGGCAAAAGCCGTTCAAACGGCAAGTCCAAGCGATCTTTCGCAGTACAGCAGGCGGCTGTACCGGAGGTCCCGCACATCGAAGGTTATGGTGATGAGCCCGTTGCTGATGCCGCCGATCCTCCATACGTCCCGAGATTTTCATCGCATACAAGGAAAAGGAGCAACACCGCTCCACGACCCGTCCCTAATGCATTCCGGAGCTTTTCCAATCACACGACAGCAGCGGCGTCCACCTACAGTGCGACAACCGCTGGCTCATCGGATCTCCAGTCTCCTTCATCTATAGGCCCTCCCGGAATCCACAGCGGTCAAAGTAGCTTCAGCCATCGAACGTCGGAAGCCAGCGGGCCCATCAGTGCCGGAGCACCAAACTTTTTCGACGCTGTTGGCACGGTGAGAATGGAGGCTTTTGTCGACAGATCTAAAGTATCTCGCCAGCGAGGCTATCGTAACAGGTATTATGGCAAGAAGAGGAACCCTGTCTACTGGCCACAGAGTCCTGACACCGATTTCCCACGCTCTGACGATGGGAGTGATATCTTCTTCCGCCACGATGACCCGTTCAAGGGATTTTGATATATATTCCTTCCTCAAACCACACGTCTAAAAAGTACTTGTTCAATTCCATCTTGATAAATTTGTCCACCACGTATGGACACCACTCTGAGTAGACTTTGCGCACGGGGCTCCGGAGCCACTTGCCCTTCTCCCTTCCCTTTTCACCTTGGCCTTCTATTTGGGACCTGACTTTATTGGGAATATCCGGACTCTCTTGGTACGCTGAGAATCTTTTGCCAATCGCACAACATTTTTGAGTATTTCCTGGATTTGGAAGAATAACATCCCTTCGTTTCCTCGTTGTTGGTTCTCAAGTGGCGGGATTCTTGGTTCATCACGCATCCCCAGAGCCCCAACAGGTTATTATTGCTTTTTGTTCTGGCAGAGCTATTATTTTAGTAGCTATATATTTTGATACACCCTGGTCTAGGTTTTCTTTTTTTTTTTCGCCGTTGTCCCTTCTTAGCCTGTGGGAGGTTTGGTTGTGTATTATGTACTTCTAATTTTAAATTCAAAGAGCCACGCGGAGATCCGGTGTCATCCATTCGTGTCCTTACAAGGATCCGGCTTTGATTTCTTTCAACCTCCGCATATTAGGGTTGCTTCTCATGCATCCGCAAACACTTTGCGTTCTTTCTCAAGGTAGACACAAATCCATGCATGGAATATCACAATCAACACCATACACTTATTTTCGAAGGTCTATCTGATTCCCATTCATCCATGTCTTTGGTGCTCGAAAATCGTCGAGGCTCAAAATCGTGTCTCGCGATTTGGCTGGCTACCCTTGAGAGACGGACGTATCCTTCGAAGAAAATGTATAATCGCTCACCATTGCGCCATTGAGGATTCCTGCTTGCACCAAATGTTTTGGTGCACGAGGTCAGAAACAACACCCTTGTTTGAGATAGTTACGCAAAGCACAGCAGTGACGGATCGCAGCCGCTATGAAGACGCTCCCACAGCTGCCCCAACCTGCTTCGGCAAGGGGTACGGTTCTTCGATCGGCATCAATTTCTGCGCCTCCTCGATCTTCCCAGCAGCAACCAGCTGCCCCATCTTGACCATGCGATCTGTAACATCCTGAATCGACACGATCCACTCATCCACATAACGATCCACCGCTTCCCCGCTCAATCCAATCTGTATCGACCTATACGACAGTGGAGTAAACCCAAAATCTCGCTCTGGATCCCACTGTACTCGGACGCACGTGTTTTGTTTCCTGTGCTCGAAGGCATGTTTGTCCGGGTAGAGTGATTTATCGTGCGAGTTCACGAAGCTGTTGAATAGAGCCCACTCGAAACCTTCGCGGGAGATTTCAATGGCGAGGACACGCTCCTGGTTCGGCTTTGAGGCCCACCCTGACCGGTAGGCCATCCAGAGAAATGATGGCTTGATCCATGTCATGCGCGTGCGCTTGAATGGTGGAACGAATTTTCCGGCGCGGAGAGCTGGAGAGGCGATCTCGGCAGAGTACGCTTGGTAGACTGTGATGGTCTCCGCGGTAAATTTTGCGCGAACAGCGCGGTAGCCTTGTTCCCTGGACATTTTTAGTCCTTTCCAATTCTTTCACTTCTGTTGGATCTCTTTTATAGCGTTTTGTGTAGAAAATTATCTGTACAAGGAGCTGGTTGCCTGCCTTTGGAACGATTTTATATCATTGACTACAGCTTTGCGGCTCCATTAGGGGGCGGAGCAGACGCCTTTCCGATTTTGGTCTCCGACTCAACTCGTGTCGGGTAAGCAACCTATCGTGGAATCATCCTCGGCCAAAGCCAGGGCTGATTGTCCAAGAATGCAATGCAGACTTCGAAATGTATATGAAGATCTATTCTCTATCTAGGATATTTGCCTGTAAGTGAGTAGCGCCCAGTTGGGTAGGTCGGAGAGTATCCAAAAGACTGGAGGCCGGAGAAACATTCGCAAAGAAAATACGGTTTATCGATAAACAGACAACTAAACAACAAAATTTGCAAGCGGAAGTGCGAAGACGGTATTGGGCTGAAGCTGACGTATACTTCGTGGGTCCTAATTCAATTTTCCATTGGGATCGGGTCTGTAGAGGGAGGAGTATGTCGGTAGAGGTATCGTCTCGTCATCTCGTCTGTCCAAACCCATAAATGAACCCGCCTATCTTCCACACAGGAAGCATGGTTTGACTCCCACCCACTTATTCGAAAACTTGCGCACTCTGTGACACCATGCTCGTTTATAACTTCGCGGCGTCCTTGACATCTCCAACCTTCAACTTGGCTCCATACTTCTTCAACACCGATTCATTGTGGTACTAGACCAACCAATCCTATTAGCGAGATCCTTTCAAGGAGCTCTTCCCTCGGCGTCTTCCGATCAGACCACTCAAGTTCAATAAGTCAGGAGACAAACCTTCCAGAACTGCCTTGACGCATCTTTGCCAGCAACACGCTTCAAGATCTTCGCACCACCGGGGTGCTCATCCACAAAGTTGGTAATATCGTACACGCTGGAGTCGACAATAATGTATAGACCTTTATCGGCGGTCTTGTGCTCGGCGACCTGGGCGGGAGTGAATGTTTTCGACATCTTTGCTCGTTTCTTTGAAAAACCAAAAGAAAACAAAGAGACAATTCGCGGTTCGGAGATTTCTAAGGATAGCAGTCTGTCGATCGGGCTTTAGAAGGTAGAGCTGAGTCCCAAAACGCCGAAGGAACAAAAACAGAACGGGCAAGGATATCTCAGACAGGGTGTTAATAATTAAAATGACATTGTAGGGGGTCAAATCCCCCATTTTTCTCGGGCCGAGCGCTTGATGCCATGCCGTGCTAAGGATCTCGGGCCGAGCTCCCTGATGACTGCTATTCCCCTTTTTGGCCTAGTTCCTACTTCCCCTTTCAGCCTAGTGCCACACACAAATGTTGTGAAAACATCATACACATGCTTGCCTACCCTTCTTTTTCCTTCCCCCAAGCAATACATTCATGTATATAGAGTCTAGCTAGTAGCTTCAGCTCAAGTGGCAGAAGACTTCCCATGTGTTCTTCTTGTGGACAGCCCACAGGTGGATGATGGGAGACAAGTCTCTCCTCCAGCTCCTGCTACGGTAGACGATACTGCCTCGATTGAATCGGATGAGGATACGGGGAGTGACACTGATGAAGAGATGTGGAAAGCTTCCTTCGGACAAAGTATTGCTGGAGGAGTAGTCAGAGCCGAGGCAACATGATGATGGCCTGGAACGGCAAGGCTAGTGCATACAATTAATCATCTTTATACTATTCTTAGCACTTATTGGTCCGTCCACGGCGGTGGTTATTGTTATTGCTGCGCCTGCAAACTCCGCTCGAAATCCGGCATCACCCACTTGACTATCCACTCCGACTTGAGTACCTCTTCAACAGTTGGCCTGTCTTCCGGCAGGTAGGCCAGCATGCGTCGCATCAAATGTAAAAGAGCAATGGTTTCTTCCTTGCCAAACTCTCCCATCCCACGCTTCCGACGAGACACCTGTACAAAATCCTCAAACGCCTGGTCAAGAGGCGGCCACACGTCCCTACCTTCTATCGGGCGCACATTCTCATCAAAGAATTCACCCCTCTTCTCCCAGCGGTCCCACCAGCTCAAAGGCATGGGTCCTAGCTCATCGATATGCTGGGCTGTCATCTCATCCTCAGTCAGCCAGTCAGTACTGAAAATAGCTTTCATACCGATAATCTCCCATATGGCAGTCGCCAGACTCCATATGTCTGAGGAGAACGTCAATGGGGCATCTGGTTCAAAGCGAACCTCTGGTGGCTGAAAAGCTAGAGGGATATTGCTAGCTTTTCCAGGGCGAATATCTGTGCCTGGGGCAAATGCCTCGCCAAAGTCACTCAGGAGGACGCGGACATCGGCAAGGGTAAACTCCTGCGCTTTTTTACCAAGGTATAGCGGCAAGACCGCTTTGAGTGGAATGTTTGGTGGAAGTGGTTCGCCATCTTTACGTCTAACATCCACTGTTGCAGGTTTGCCGTATTTTTCGTACAGCTGGTCAATTGAAAGCGCATCGAAACTCGATGGTAGCTTGACAAAAATGTTCTGCAACTGGATATCTAGATATAGACCCAAGTGATTAGCTGAGTAGGTACAAAGAAAAGGGCGAAATGTCCTGACCAACCTCCGTGAACATAGCCTCTTGAATGGATATATGCGAGAGCCAGAGCCAGCCCACCCGATAGCGCTCGCGCGACGTCAAGAGGAAAAAGACGGCTGAAAGAAACTTCGTGGAGATTGCACCGGGCGGGAGTGGTTGTGTAGCAGACATGCGTCCCATTAGGGCCATGTACCTCAAATTGATCTAGGAGACAAGGTATTGAACCGTGTCCTAGACGTTGCTGTCTAGAAGCAGAAGATGGTAGCGGCGCAGAAAGTGCCCGGAGACTTCTTGTTTCACGCAAAAGCGCGTCCTTTCCCCAGTGTGCGATGCCGACTTTCAACGCAACATAGTGGTCGTAACGAGAGTCTCGAGCAAGCCAAACAGTCGAATACCCGCCGAACCCAAGTTTGTCAACAATGTGGTATCTGTCGTGGAGGACATCGCCAATCATAACAGGATGATAGCCCCCGGGAACATAATGCTCGAGTGTCTCTACACCATCGATCCACTTGTATTTGATCAAATTCGCTTGATCATGTGACATTGCTCTGAACTTGGTGTAACCAATGCCGACTTGAAGTCTCCGGGAATATAATGGAGCAAAGGGACGAAGTAATGATAATGATAGTGTAGAATAGCGAGCCATTGAGCATTTGCAGGCCCTGCAATGGAAAGACTTGAAGCACAATGTTTTGTCGTTCAAAGAAGGCGAGAAAGCTCCCAACGCCGTTTAAGCGCCCTGTCGAGGACGACCTGATTGACCCAGGCGTTAGGCACCCTAACCCCTGCAGCCCTAATCAGAATTTGCTAAGGGTTTTACCCCTGCACGCTTTGCCATGTCGTTCTGGCCTATCTGCCAGTGCATGGCTTCTGCTGTGCGCCATGGTACAGCCATCTCCACCGCAATTTTAGCCCACATCTCTTCTTTATACCTACATGTCAAGTCAGCTCCTCCATATCTCTCCGGTCTGTCGCCGGGGCCTTGACTGTTTCAAAGGGCTTCTCACCTTTCATACAAGCACGCCAGTCTATCCTGCTTTGCGTCGTCCCATTCGCTTTGTTCAAGATGGTTCTGGTAGTGCAGTCGACAACTCATTGCACTGCGTCCAGGAAGCCCCTTACTGACGTCCTCCCATTTCGTTCTAGATCCTCGAAGTCTGATAATCGACTCATCCTCTTCTGGTGACCATTTTGACCGTCGTTTGCTATTGTGTTGGCCGGCCGGGAACTCTGTCTGATGTCTTCTTGCTGGAACCGACAATTTCACCGTCTCTTGGGATGCATCTATCAGTTGTGGGATATTCGAGTCAAGTGTTTTCACACTGTCGCTGTCGGGTTCGGTATCACCACCAGAGTCTCCAGGCAGACTCACTACACCCTGAGGAAAATAGAATGCTCTTCTCACAGATACTAGACAGCAAAAGGTCAGATCCAGATTTTGGTAGTGTGTTGGGTCATTCTTGCCTACCTGGACTTCCTGCCATGGAGTTTCTTTGTGCAAAGGAGTCCAGGAAGATGCCGACAAGGCAAGCGGGTATGTTTTGGATGCGATATTCTCATGCATACGCTAGTTATAAGAATGAAGAGTGGGAAGATGGCCAGGTATAGAAGCGCGAATGGCAAATATTGAAACTCGACATCATTCCCCCGAAGCAGGTACAGCAATCCCTGCTCCTGGCTTAGTCGTTGCTAAATCATAGCTAGAATACAGAAACATAAAAAGCACATCAGAAGGCTTCAGCCCATCGTCTGCACCTGCGCAATTTTCCATGGGTAGTATGCTAGTCCCTGAGGCCTAGCGTAGCCGCACATTGCGCGAGTGTCTGGTCGAACGGGTGGAAACCCGGAGGCAGAGCCCATACACAAAGAGGCCAAGGCTTTCTAACAAACGAATCAAGGGGGAAATAGGTCTGAAGTCGAAGTGAAGAGCTTGCTATACCTAGAAGGGAATAGGATGTCTGTATTCCTAACACAGGTCCGTATTCAGGAGCGGTCCCTTCCATCTGCACGGCGTTGACGAATAGGCTTTTTTACCCAACCCTTCCCTGACTCCCCCTCTAACTTCCCTCGCTCCCGCTCGTACCTCCATTCGCCTTCCACAGTCACCAGTGGATTTGGGCATCGTCCAATCTCATGTACACAGTGCATAGTGGTTTGACCCGCGGTAATCAGTGCAAGGCTAAGTTGAAGCAGGGTTCATTTTGGAAGTGACGGCCGAGGCAGAAGTTCTAACTAAACCCAACAGGGATTAGTCTATTCACGACGAATATGAAAAAGCACCAATCAATTTGATACAACTTTGGCGGCCTGGAGTCCTAAGAAGTCTAACTACATCAATACATCAAGAATCTCCAGGGCCCTATCCAGCTTGTTTCTCGCTGAGGAGGTTTCGTGCCCATTTTTTGGCACCCTTAACAGCATCCTCAGGACTCCCCATGTGTCGCAAAAGGTAGCCTTGAATCTCCGCAGCGGTGAACTTGCCCCCAGGAACTTGACTCGTAAATTCCATGGCAAGGTCTGGAATTCTGTTGTTGCTGATCTCGGACGATATCTGATTGGAGGGATCATACACAGACAGCTGAAGAGGTCTCTGATCATATCCTTATCCGCATAGCTGAACGGAACCTCCATGTCTACCCAGCCAGGGCGGATGAGTGCCTTGTCGAGTTTCTCCCGATAGTTGATGGTCACGATCAGGATGTAACCTTCTGGTGTCGCAGGGCCATCGAGGGCATTAAGCAGAGAAGAGAGAGTCAAACCGCCTGAGGTCTTATCTTTCATTTCCGCATTTGCTGCTGAATCACTATGTTCGCGAGAGATACCAGAGCAATTGACGTCCTCGAGCAGTACAATACAATGTTTTGGGATGGCATGGAACAGGGCAACAAGTTGTTCTTCATCAAGGCCTGAGGAATTTAGACTGAGCGTGTAGATGTCTAGTTGTAGTTCACTGGCAATGACAAAAGCCAAACTTGATTTCCCTGTGCCGGGTGGACTGTGGAAGAGATAACCTCATTGATAGGGAATAGCATGAGTTTCGTACCAGGAGCGTCCCTTTAGATATGTCTTGATATCGGCAAGAACATGATCTACTAGTCCCTTATCCAACATTAGAGTTGATAAAGGTCAAGGTTGTCTTGATGCGCCTTTGGCCCACTGAAGCCTGCTGGAAAATGTCTGCCCACAATAAACAGCAACACAGTGGATGTGGCATTCAATGTAATGCTGGTTTGCATCATGTACAAACTCCTTGAGATGTTCTATTTTCCAGGCAGTCAAAATAATTGTCCTCAGATCCAGAAACCATGGAGTGTCTTGTGAACCACATTTTTTGAATTTCAAGTGTATCCAGTGTCTGTTGTGCCAAAAAGTCCAAGTGTCAGATGGGGTATAGCAGGGCTTCAAGGATCTGGTGATGCTGATTTCTCACTTCCAGTATGTGTCAAAGTCCTCTTTCTCATCTCCTGAATCAATGTCACTGTTATTTTTGTCATTCTCTTTGTACAATGCCAGGCCATTTCATGGCCTTGTTGATGCAACAACATGGGATACCCTTGTAGAATTTCTCACTGCATAGTCCAGAATGGCATTGTACAGTTTGTTGTTGTACCTGACTTCCAAGGTTACAAAGTACAAGTTTCGGATATGACGCCAACAGGCGGACGTATGTACGGCGAACAACAAGGTAAGGAGGATATATAGCCGGGGCTTCTTCTGGAAAACAGGAAAGATCATCCGCAAAAGAATAGAGTAGCGGGGAGGAAGTGCGTCGAGTACGGCCATTTGCAGTGTTTGTGGCAATGTGAGGGACAAAGCGATCGATGGGCGGGCCATTGCAATCCTGTTTTGAGACTTGAGACGCGGCTAGTTTATGGTTAGAATTAGATAGCAATGAGAGACTGTACTAACGATAAGGACTCACATTTATACTATAATGGGGATGCGGTGTGGCGAGAAGGGCATCAACTCTGGCGGAGACAAGAGCTCAGGCAGGACGAGGAACCAATTCGGGGTGATATGCTGTAGACGAAGTTCATGGGGGAAGCTCAGTATTAATATCCAGGAGATGGACGATTGTCTTCTTTGCCTCTGTGTACTCCCTGTGAACACGTCGGGTGTGGCACGGCGAATAAGATCTTCAGAGCATCAGTCCATGCAGGCGACAAATAAACACGGAATGGAACTGGCATCAATACCATCTACATGCAGGGGAATATGTTGAAGCGATGTTGCTTGGTAAGGGCCAGAGCGCAGAAATTGGGCTGAGCTCGAAACAATGCATCGGGCGGGCCATTTTCCAGGATCTCTTTTGGCTCACTGTGATCGATTGGCTAAACAGATCTCAGCTACATTGTGGCAGGAGGCAATGTTGCAAGCGACTATAAACAAATCCCAAAAATGAGGAATCCATGATCTCTTGTCTGGTTTCCTATATCGCGTGTTGATGAAGCTAAGATCATAGCTAGTACAAGGAATTAGAACGTTGAAGGTTAGATCAGGCCAAGCCGCCAGGATCGGATTATCATTTACCCTAGCTGCAAGACAGCCCTATCAGGTATTGTCTGCTGGTGGATGTCCGTTCAGGCTCTCCTCACCGGGGGATTCGATGCCATGGAACGCCATTATTGCTTTGTCTGGGCCGAGACTCGCGCGATCGATGGCAGTTCGCCGAGCCGAGGTAACGAAACCCACCTATTAGCTAAGCCGGCCCACAGTCACGTGTAAAGAGTTGCCCAATCAGAGGGTTGCTATTGCTACAGAAAGTTCAAGCTCCTGATTGGTTGGGTATTTACACTGCGGCTCGGCACGGAATATCATTCTTCCATCTCTAAAGTGCTCAATCACCTAAAAATTGAGGATATACGGAGTAAATACTCATCATTAGTTAAATACTATAAAGACATGTGGTGAATATTTGGACATTATCATATCTTGCTCTTCTCTCCAACGGCTCCCTTTCCCTTGGGTACCTTTTTATCCACGCCCAAGCTCTCCAAATCCTTCTGTTTGTGATAATGCGGCGCCAACTCAACCAGCCATTCTGGCTGCAAAGGCATGTTGCTTCGCATATACTCCTTGCTTGTGAGAACCAGCTCATGATAAATGACCCATTTAGGATTAACATCAAACAGAGTACTAGATGGATGCAGATAGACAGTCTGCCCGTTCTTAACCGTCCGATAGCTGTCACCACCTCTCTGTAGCCGTGCGGCATTGGGGAAAAAACCTGCTGTGATTGCTTTCTGAATGGGGACAAGGTTGTTGGCACCAGCAGTGTTTACAGTCACTTCAACACGATCACATAATTTGGCCAGTTGATCCCGGACGTCACGAGCACGCGTAAGGCTTCGTTGCTGAAGGAAATTTTCTCTCGCCCAAACATAGCTGAAGTCAGAATCGACCCATTGATTCCAAATATTGAGAAGTGTCAAGTGGTCACCGCCATCCTTTATTGTGAACCGAGCTCGAGCACTATCCGCATGTATCCTTTTGTCCTTAGGCCTGTAAAACAGTGCGCTCGCCTCGCCAAGCATGGCGATAATTGACAGAACCTCTTCAACACACCCGTATTTATCGGCCGCAAGGATGGCCTTGGCCAGCATGGGGTCAGTGGGGAATTCTGCCATTTGTCTTCCAACTTTGGTGAGTTCTCCATGGTCATTCAAAGCCCCGAGTGCATAGAGCTGTTCAAGCGCGCGGATGAGGGTTTCTGCTGGTGGCGGATCCATAAAATCAAAATCAAGTAGATCGTCAATTCCAAGGGATTTCAGAGCCAGCACCACACCACTCAGATTGGTGCGCTGTATTTCTGGCGTGGTATTTGCCTCGAGTTCGTTATGATAAGCCCACTTTGTATAGAGCCGGAAGCATTTGCCAGGTCCAACACGCCCAGCTCTTCCCGCTCTCTGGCCTGCAGATGCTCGAGAGCATGGAGTGACAACCAAGCTTTCCATTCCTGTGCGAGGATTGAATACGTTCTCCTTAACAAAACCAGGGTCAATAACATACACGATTCCGTCGATAGTCAAACTGGTTTCAGCAATATTCGTGGCCAAAACCACTTTCCTCGCACCAGGAGGCGTAGGTTCAAATATTTTGGTCTGTAATTCTGAAGGCAAATTGGCGTAGATGGGACAGATAATCATTTCTGGCATTTTACCTCCTAGTTTTCTCGCTGTTTCCTGGAGATTTTGTTCTGCAGCTTCTATCTCTTCTTGACCAGTCAAGAAAACGAGAATATCGCCCTTGCCTTGGGTAATATGGATTTGAAATATGGTCGTAATGGCTGCCGCGAGGTAGTTAGCTTCTGGTTGGGATGTGTAGTGTATGTCGACAGGATATCTGCGACCGGGAATGTTGAAAATTGGAGCATCATCGAAGTATTTTTGGAACTTTTGCGCGTCAATAGTGGCCGAAGAAATTAGCAGTTTAAGGTCTGGCCTTGCTTTCGCGATGTCTTTGAGCAGACCACAGGCGATATCTGTTGGAACTGTTCTTTCGTGCGCTTCGTCAATCATCAAGGCAGAGTACTGACTAAGGTCAGGCTCCGTTAGTAGTTCTCTCAAGAGCATACCGTCTGTCATATATTTTAGAATCGTTTTATCACTTGTGGCATCTTCAAAACGTATAGCGTAACCGACTTCGTTGCCTACTTTCACTCCCATTTCTTCTGCGACACGTGCCGCGACACTCATGGCAGCTACTCGACGAGGCTGCGTACAGCCAATTTTCATTCCACCTTTTGTGTATCCAGCTTCATGAAGATACTGAGGAATCTGCGTTGTCTTTCCACTCCCCGTCTCGCCGACTATAATAATGATCTGATGATCAGCCACGGCTTGCAGTAACTCGTCGCGAAACTGATATATTGGCAGACTTTTGCGAGTTTCCTCGATCGACGCTGCCTTTTTTTCAGCTGCGTCTATTTGCTGCGCTAATAATCGTTGTTCCTTCGTCAGGGGCTTCCGATCACCCTCCAACTTCGAATCCATAATGAAATTAATCTTTTGGGCGTCATCAAATACATACTCGTAATCTCCCTCGTCAACAAATTCCGCTTTGGTGATCTGTGCCTTTGCTTTTGCTGTCTGCTCATTCTCCCACTCTTCATGCTCCGTAATGAACCGTTCCTGACCGCGTTCATCTCTGTCAACATATCGTTTGTAGAGTGCTTCTTCCTTGCGTTTCCGATCTATTTTCCCTTTCTCCGTGATATAATCTTCGGGTAGCATATAGCCATCGCGATGATCGTCTATTCGCAGCCTCTCCTCTGCAAGTCGTAGGACCTCACGATTTTTCGCGAAATCTTCCTTCTCCCGTCGAGTCAAATTAGGGTTCTCCCTCAACTCAGCGGTTTCTTCGGCGACTTGCTTGCGAAGCAACGCAAGCCTTTCAGCTTCGCGCTTCTTCAGGTATTCTTGGCGTGAACGAAGCCTGAGGTCTGGCATTGCAGCCTCCCTCGCTGCGGCATCCTCGGCTAGAGCACGCCTTCGCGCCACATCACTATCCTTTGTAGACGAACGATCTTCCACAATCTTTTTGGACTTCTGCTCATCCTTTTTCGCTAGTCGTTTCGCAAATTCATCACGCTCTTTAAGATCACGCTGTCTTGCCCTTTCTCGTTTCGTCTCCTCATCAAGATCAGAGCTAACCGAGACTTCCGAGGGTGAACGGCCTCTTCGTTTTGGAGATCCCTCAACAAGATCATCAACTGGCTCCTGCTCCTGTAGCTCCTCCTCCGGTATCTCTTCATCACCCCAGCGATCCTCAAAGTCCCTCTTGTCGATCCGACGTAACTTTTTCGAACGGTGACGCTCTGAGGTTTCTCCGTCTCGGTCCCTTTTCCTCTTATCTTCTCTGTCACTCTGCCGTCTGCTGTCGCCGTTACGTTCAGATTTGTCTCTGCGCCTTGACTTCTCCACATCTATGGTTGGTCCTAAGCCCGGGTGGTCTACCGTGCCATCCTCCATTTCAACTAGTCGGTATCTCTTTTTCGTACCATCGTCGGGTTTGTTCCGTTTCTCCGACTTTCCAGCACTGCCTTTGAGACCGGCTCGAGACCATAGCTCCGAGACGAATGATTCGATATCTCCTGCGCTGGCATCAAGGAAAGGTTCGAGCTTTTCTCGTAGCAAGGTGGGTGATTTCGCGGAGGATGTGGTCGCAAGAATAAAGTCGATAACAGTAGGATCTGAGGCGCCCGTCAGACGCAGAAGAGAATCCGATACATAGGTCCTGGTGTCCATAGTTTGTTCCAAGTTTGGGAATTCGAGGTAAGTTTGGGGTTTTCAGGCAGCTATCGACGACTAAGAGCACCGGAGCTTTAGCGGGAAAGAAAGGCTCCGTATAATTGAAAGATAATTCGGCTTTAGGGTGGATTGTTCGTAAAAATGCCCGGTGTACTCTCAGCGCTCCGGGAGCGCAACAAAAACAGGCAGTGCAACTGAGTGGTACGTTCGAGAGGTCCCCTTTGGGCCTTGAAAAACACTTTCAGGAGAGAATAGAAAACAGCGAATGGTCCAACTGCTGGCTTTTTCCGGCCTTCCCAGAGAGCATCCAACCTCAACGCCGCGTGAGAACCGGAGCTTGACGTTGGAGCTCGTCGGAGAAAATGCCAAGCCTTCCGCCATCTGATCACGTGAGGAGCACATCCGCGCAGGATGGGCGGGCAGACTAGGGTGAGGCCAAGAGATGGCAGCGAAATTTGAATCTCAGACCCCCTTTTGTTACTCTACAGAATACGATTTCCAGCTATGACTACGAGACAGTCTTAATTATTATGTTTTTCACGTGGAGCTCAATGCACTCGATAAGCAGAGAGGTAGCAGGATTGTGGACCAGAAAGTAGGAAGAATGTTGGTTGAACTGGCTGGATCATCATTCATTCTATCAGGGGTTATTGTACAGACAGGATGGTATCAAGTAGTGTTAATTGACAGGTCTAGTTAAAGAAAAGGCAAGGAATAGGCTGTGCCCTAAAAAGTTTAGAAACTTGATACAGAGAATAAAAAGGAAATTCGTGCCCGATGGGGTGACAGAGGTCGGTCGTGCAATAGGAAAAAAGCAGGCAAGACAGTATTGATATTAAAAAAAGAAAAAAAAGGTTCAAGAGAGCCTAGAATGACCTGCCAAGTAGATGCAAAAAGCAGCAAAGGGGAATAATAATCATCTTAACAAAACATGGTATCGAAGTAGAAATGTCAAAGGATGCTTCTTCCGAATGCATGTTGCACGTTAAATGCAAGTGTAGAGGAAAGGAAACTCATTAAATAGTGTAAAGTTGTGGCCGGATCCGCCCCCCCTTTTTTTTTTACCTCCGTGGCCATTGATAAGAGGAAATGTTAGCCGTTCCTAGAAATCCCGTAAAAAACGTCCCAAATGATGTCGAACCACAAAGGTATCCGGTTAAATGTACAGTTGAAGTCCACGAAACGCCCCTGGTAACCCCGCTTGTGCAAATGTCTTATGCAAAGAACGCCGCTAGAAGAGCCAAACTGACGTCTAGACATCGATCATTTCGGCGTCTTCAACAAGTACTTCGTCAGCTGGGCCCCAGTTTCCCTCGTAGATCGTGGCACCGGCACGGCGACGTCGCACCGTCCATTGGACGCCGAGAGATTGAATGACTTGGTCGGCCACAGGTCGATCAATCGGGTCAGGCGAGATCATCCATCGAACAATTTTATCAAGGGCACCCTCACTGTTCGGGTTAATCATGAAATCCGGAGGTTCGGAAAGTTCGCCGCTACGAGCTGACCCCAGATTTGGTTGAGTTTTAATCGGATTGTGTTTCCCTGAAAGCATGTCAAGAGTCAACGGTTCTTCTGCCGAGTACAACTCATCGAATGAGCAACTGTTTGACAATGGGTTCCCAGAAGCGTCACGGAGGATGCTAGTCTCGGAACTCCAGGTCAAACTGGGAACGTCGCTCATATCGCCGTTTCGAAGTTTTTGCCACGATACTCCATTATCAGGCAACTCCACATTGCCAGCAATCTCGAACATAATGAGCCCGAGTGCAAAGATATCTGCTGGCTTATCATATCTTCCCATAAGAACCTCTGGGCCAATATATTCCCGGTCGCCTTCCCCTTCAATACCTTCTGAAGCAGGCCAGCGAGTTGCCATGCCAAAGTCTGCAATTTTCAGAACACCTTCGAAAGTGATCAAAATATTTGCGGGTTTCAAGTCTAGATGAATGAAACCCGCATCATGGATGCATTTCAGGCCCTGTGGAAATGTCAGAAGGAGAGCGATCATTTGGGACGGCATTCACTCTTACGTGTGACAGCTCCAAGAGAATTTTCCAGATACGGAAATCATCAAGCCTGGCTTTAAGACCCACTTGTGAAAGGAAAACATCAAGGCTGCCCTCCTCACAGAATTCAGTCTGAATATAGAGATGGTTATTGTATTCCCAGCTATCAGCAAAGGAGATAACGTGGTCAGAGTTCGTTAGGGCTTCCAGTATCACGACTTCCGTATTTTTTCTCTCACGATCTTTCACTCCGGTAAAAGGCTGCTTAGCCTTTTTTACAGCCCACAGACGTTGCGGGGACGTCGGTTTCCTTGAGGATCCGGACATATTCGCCTGGAAAGGGGTAACTGACTGGCGCTCGGTCACGCAGTATACCTGTGAGAATTCCCCGGTACCTATAAGTTCAACTTTGTCGAACCGGGAAGTTAGACACTGGTCGACGTCTGGTGCGTTGTAGCCGCCAAGTGAAATTGTGGAGCGTTTCCCAAGGTTGGAGAAATATTCTCGCGGGCCAGTTGGTGTAGCAGGGAGGTTAACAGAATGAGAACCCTGCCCAAAGTTATGATCATTATTCGAAATTGACAATCCACTGGGATCAGGAGGTAAGATGTGTTCTTGAGGAGTATGAGGAGACATGTGATCAATCGATTTACGGTTAAGCGGGCTCGCTATATATATATCTCTCAGTAGCTGAACGATAAGGAAAACTTTCTCACTGAGAACTTACAACAGGGTCCGGGGCCAGCTCCTGATTCGAATGTTGACCCGGGTGTATGGTTTATACTCTGGGCTTGCGAACCGGAAAACTGAGATAATGAAGACCCAAAAGTTTTCTTGGTAGGAGTTGGTGGCAGGTCCGAATCCATAGCCAGCTGGCTATCATGGTTCATGGAAGGAGAATGAAAATGAGGGCTATCGTCACCATCTATACTAACAATGCTTCCTCGACGGGAAAGTGCGGGCTTAATAAAACTTCTACCAAAAATACCCATGCCCTTGGGTGCAGGGGTTTTGCCAGCGACGGTTGAGGTGTTGGTCGGGGTCCAAGGGGAGCCTGAGGCCCTGAAATTGGGCGTATCGCCATCGAAACATTGAGCGAAAGGCTTTCGTGTTGGTAACATAGTTGAAGTTCGTTTGCATGGCGTATCTGGCATGTTCTTGCTAACAAAAGACGCATTGTGAGCATCCGGAGCATTTCTATTCTTTTTCGAGATCAGACCCGTAGACATGAATGCCGCTGGCAGCGGCTTTACAAGCCTGTAATTTTCGGGTGTTGCAAATGAAGAGTCGGAGGCATTAGATTCTTCATGTTGGAGGCGGCTGGAAACAAGTGGTCTCGAGGTCCCAGCTGGAAGAGATTTGGAGAAATTGAGAATAGGATGGGGGCTTCCAGGCCTAGCAGGAACCGGTGCATGGGTGGGAGAGTCATCTGCCAGACTGGAGCTTGAAGAAGACTGTGTGATAGTTCTTGATAGAGGGTGTGCACTGGGTATGGGCTGTCCGAACCCCGTAAACTGCGAAGGAGCTGGAGTAGAGGTGCTTGCAAAAATTCCGTTTGATGGGGTAAAAGCGTCACGTTTCGCGGGAGAAAATATGTTGCTTTCGAGAGACATGCGCTGGCGACTGCGCAGAACCATTGGGGTCGTTGGTGGGATCTCAGGACTTTGGTCAGGAGTAGTCTTACTGCGGGAAAAAAGGAGGCGATCGTTTTGACGCTGTTGAAGAGTAGATCTTCGCAAGGAAGATGATCGTTTTGGAATATTGGAGAATAGGGATGGGGATTGGGGAAAGAGAGGGGTATGATATTCGGGCTCTTCAGTGTCGTTCTTCGACTGATCGTTCGAAGCCTCGACGTTATTTTCAAAGAGATCAAATTCGGTGCTAAAATTTGCAACCTGGACACTTCTTCGTTTGGCCACAGGACTTCCGAAATTCTGTTGATCCAGGTTCATGGGTCCGTCCCCGCGTTTTAGTGGGCTAACTGAACCGAAATTTCCACTTCGCCGTTTCTCTATTCTCGTCGGTGCTAGTTTTGGTACGGAAACGCTCTCGAGCGGCTCTGTTGGAGACACGCAGCTGGTAGAATTTTCCTGGGAGGTGAGAGGTTCCGTCGTTATTGCAGGAAGAACCGATTTATTCTCCAAATTTTCCTTTGCGATGCCTTGGGAAGATACCGCATTTCCGTGGTCGCGAGACTCGGCGAGGATACGTTTTGCGGGGCTTGACGGCAACATTCTCAATCTAGTTGAGGATAGACTACCGTGTCGTCGAATTCCGGGACGATGAAGCCTCGCGCTCGGTGAGAAGGGGATGGCAACAGGCGGTGAGGTTCCTGTAGAAACGAATAATAGGTTCCCTTGAGAGGACGCTCGCTTTGACGGAGAGAGGGAAGAAATAAATTGCGCGTGCTTCACAGGTGAAGTATGCAACCTTGACGGCGAGAGGAGTCTAAAGTCAGCTCCTTTGGAGGGCGATCTGGAAAGCGAGCGACGGAGCTGGTTCAGCGCAGAGCTGGTGTGTGAATGGTGAAGACCAGATGGTGAAGGGAAGTGTAGAGTGCCGCCCGCGTCACGGTGCGGTGAGAACGAAGCAACCATTGTTGGCTTTGGCCACCCGACTGAAGTCTGAGCAATGAGTGGAAAGCAACACTGATATTGTAGTTGCGCTCAAAGAAACACTCAGGATCCCATACAGATCAGGACTTGAGGAGCGTTCAGAGGTGTGCAGAACAGGGTGTGAAGGAAGAAATGTCACAGTTAAAGCAATATCCACACTAATCTTCTGACAGAGTTATCAATCCTTCAGATTGTCTGGGAGCATCTGAGATTGTCAACAATGGATCACGCAAAACAAACGGGTCAAACGAGTGAATTAAGGCCAGCAAACGCGTCACAATGTAATGGAGGAATCGAGTCCGGGTGTTTCCTCCATCCGCACAAACTCTCAAACGTGCCACCGGGCTCGGTCCACGTTGCAGGACAGCCTCAAGCCCAATAGCCGTCTCAATTTTCGAGGACTCTGACGCAAAGGATCCTGGCGTGGAGGATCGTGGCTCAAACAAGCGCGCGTGTTGAGGTGGCGATCTGAACGAAAGGGCAATAGGGCTCGAAGGGTTGAAACGCTTCGTGTCGCAAGCCTGGAATTTACCGCTGTGATAATTTGGATCAACGCGAACTCGGGACCAGCGTGGCGCGTCACGAAACGATGGGCGATATTGGGTGCCGAAGAGTAGTGAGCTTGGATGAGGGAACGAGTGCGGGCGTACGGTGGGACGGCGAGGAGCACAGGGTGGACGAGGTGAAGCGGACGATGCTGCCCGACATGGCGAAGTCTGGATCACGGGGACGGGGGGCGAGAGGGCAGCCGCTTCTTATTATTGTTGTTGCCCGCTTGGGAAGGAAGTGGGCTGGACGCGCGAATCACGCGTTTGTTGTGACCCGCCTGATTAGGCTAGTGTGTCTTGGCGCGTTGATAACGGGCTGTTTGCTCTGTTTACTGCGATTATCTAAGCACCCCACTCCGCCGGAACTAAGCCAGTGACGTCAAACTCCCGCTGCCCGCTCCCACTTCGGCGTCGGTGGGCGGAGATTGTGGACCAAAACACCAACAAAAATGAACCGGGTGGACCAAGGGCCGCGAGGGGCACGCTACTATCTTTTGTATTTACTACGGAATATATCCTGCTATATGTGCACTATCTACCTTAGTTGCCAGCCCATTCTCTCATTCCTCACTTCGTGATACCGCAAGTAACTCCTGCTTCAGCTCGCCAAGTATTGTATCAGAGAGGCCGGAATCGAGTCGGCTTTTGGGGCCAAAAATACCAACGTCCAACGCATTGTTCCGAATGGCGACTTCAATATCAACTGAGGGCTACATCGTTCTCTGTGTTAGCAAAGGCACTCCATTTGGGGATGTAATCGAAAAACATGTCTCTTTTCAAGCTTACCTTATACGCCGCTTCGAGGCTTGGTATGCGATTTTCTGATCCGGGCTGTTCGTTGTTGAGCGCGGTCACCGACCCTAGAGGTATCTCAGTTGTCCTTCTTGAGTTTGATGTCGCATTTGGGATGCTTCCATTTGCTAGAGCCTCCGGTATTTCCGATTCTTCGAGAGGCGTCAACCGGTGCAACGCGCCATCGCCATCTCCGGTGGGGTCTGGGTATCTCAGGAAATTTACCACCGTGTCCAACGTGACTCCAGTCCATTCTGCAATTTCATGCAAGGAAACACAGGAGTTCTGCGCATTGCTGATCTCATGCAAGTCGCTTTGAATAGCTCGCGCCAGCTGAGTCACGCTGCGGTTTGTAGGGTTTCCAATGCAAAGTGGAACAATATTCAGGGTGGGGGCGACAAGCTCCGGAAGTCCGTCCATTGCGTGAGACCTGTTGGCAAGGTAGAGACCAATGACCAAATTCTCTAGAGCAGAGTGCGACGGGCTGGAAAGGAACCTTATGTGCATCTTAGCATACACAGCCAAAAATAGCGCTTGAATGGAGACGCCAAGTTTTCGACTAGTGCTATCTAGCGTTCCAACGTCTGCGATAAGAGAAGGGCGATAGTTTTGTGTCATGCCGGGCCAGTCGATCAAGGTCTCCTGTAGAGACTTGCGTTCCAAGCTCGCTTTTGTCAAGTACGTCGTCCAGAATGCTTTCCGGGCTTCTAACGGTGAGCTGATAGTATTGAAGGCGACAAATTCTGATATATCCGTTTTCAATCTCGACGATATATCTCCATTGGGACAACCAATCGAAAGGAGACTGACAATGTGTTCTAAGCTCACAGCGTCGTAAAGTGCGTGATGTATATGCAATCTTACAATTGTTTCCGAACCTTGTCGTGAGGCATATAGAGTCACGAACTTTGAAGCACCTTCTTGCTGCCTGTCCAAAAGGTCTCTCAACTTGTCTCGCCAGGCTATTGGATTGTTGGTAGCTCTGAAAACTACCTGCACAAACGGGATATCATGGTTTCCTATTGCGAAAAACTCCGTGCGAAGAATTGGGACCTGGCGAATGACCTTATCCCACCTCCTTTCAAGCTCCTCTGCTGCTATATCTCCTCCCACACGATAAAAGAAATCAGGGAAGAACACTGCCCCATTTGAGCGTTCCCACATCTTTAACATGTATACCTGACCAGAAGTTGCTGGGAACACGCCTTCGATGTCCCCTGGCTGTATGTTATGAGAGCGTAGCAGAGTGGTGATATCGACATCCTTCAACGCCCCGAGGCATATGGATTTAGAGTCACGTACTTCCTTTTTTGCTTTGGCAATTTTCGCAACCTCCGCCATTTTTCGAACGGTACCAGCGCGCAACATGTCACTAACTGCAAGAGTGATTGATCTTTTCCGTAGCAAGGATGCCACTTTAATTGCGCTAATGCTGTCGAGACCAATATGGAAAAGGGTTGTATCCTTTGTAACTTCAGCTTCTGAAATGTTTGCCACTGATGACAGTATCGATCTGATAGCCTCTTCCAAAGGTGTCCATGACTCTGCTAGTGAATTCTCTTTATCCAATGGGTAAGAGTTCTTAACCCCATTCAACGAGGCGGTTGAAAATGTTAAGCCGCAGATTGTCGCTGATTCATCTCGGAAATCCACAGTAGGCTCGTTGGGGTTGTGAATGAGCTCCAACAAACAATTTTCAATCCGATCAAGGAGGCTTGCCGTGTCGGAGCTGCTTAACACTGAGCTCTTGCACGCAACCCGCCAGATAACAGAGTCATTGGACAGCTCCATCTCGGTGCATACAGGGTATTCCACATCAGAAGAACTCTGAACAGACTTATATAAGACCTTCTCCTCTCTTCCAGGTCTTTTCTGGTATATAAACAGTGTATCAAAGAGAGATTTTGCTCCAATTCTGGACAAGGCTTTCACTTTCCTGAGTGGAAAGTGCTGGTTATTAAGGATCAGGCCCAACATTTCCTGCACATACTGGAGCATCTCACGCCGGGAGCCGTGAAGGATTCCACGTATAGCGACAGAATTCATTGTGGGGAACATTACTTGCTCACCGTCAACAGTGTCTCTGCCTAGCATCACGGTACCACACACAACATCAAGTTGGCGCAAATAACCCGCAAGTACCATCAACCAGCAGGTCAACCCTAGGGTCTGAGGTGTAATTCCCTGGCTTTTGCAGAAGTCTATAACATTCGAACAGGAAATTTTAACGGCAATTTCATCCCGATGGATTTCGTCCGTGTTTGATCCAGGCTTTTCTGGGAAAGATACCGGCCGAACTCCCTCCAAATACCCTTTCCAGAACTGCAGGGCTTTCTCATTGCTGGCCGAATTGATAATATGTTCTAGAGTACTATGATACGATGGCCGTTGGTAGCTGTTGTCGAGGTAGAGCGTTGCGATAGTTTGGTGAAATAAGTCGAGTGACCAACCGTCGTATAGCGCATGGGCAATGGAAATAAGCAATAATCTTTTGGCTCCACTTCGCAGAAAGCGTAGCCTAAACGGAGGAGATCGTAAGCCGCTCTTGATTGCCTCTAATTTCTCTTGCTCAAATATATCATCGATCGACCTTCCAGCCATGTCTATTTCTTTCCAATTTAGTTTGAAGTTTGCCGAATAGACTAGCTGCGCAAATGCGAAGGGCAAACTCGGATCTGAAAATTGCGCGAAAGTCGTCCTCAGAATGGGACTTTCTTCAACTGCCTTCACAAATGCGTTCCTTAGTTTATCAACGTCCACATGTGGCTCGATTTCTAGAACATCATGGTTGAAATAATGGGAGTAATCGGATCCAATCATTTCCGCAAGCATCCCTTCTTGCAGTGGTGTTGCAGGAAGAATATGATCTATACCTTCAAGGTCCACATTGTCTGCCTCTAAACATGAGCGAAGTGCTTTTTCTAGACTAATCAGAGTCTTGAACGAGTCATCGTCTCTTTGTATATCGGCAACAACTTCTTTCATCATAGATTTGATCGTTCGACAATGCATGATTCTGCTGACAGGGAGGGATATGCCCAAATTCTTCATCCTTGAGGAAAGTTTGATTGCATCAATGCTATCCAAGCCAAGTTCCAAGATCGAAGTATTCTCACTGACCGCCTCATCGTCGGTATTGGCCAGCCTGGAGATCTCCTGGCGAAGTTTCTTGGCTTTCGCACTCCATTCGAACTTGGAGGTACCATTTGTCAAAGGCCCTTGGGCCGAATCGTGCTTTTCCTTAACGCCATTGCTAGGTGCTGTATGATTGAGGATTGATATATCATCCGAAGGCTGGAGCTTAATTGATTGGTCGTCCAGGAATCCCAATAATGTGTCCTTGAATTGACTCAACAGTTTTCCAGTTGCTTTTGAAGTCAGAATCTGTCCTTTTCCAACAATACTAGTGGTCAGGGATTCGCCTCCATCGTCTCTAGCTTCAAATGCTAAAGGATAGTCAGCCTCAGCTTGAGTTTCCGTGGGGCTCCAGAGTGAACTTCCAAGCCTACTGGCATGCGCAAGATCTTTCTGAAATACGAAGAGGCTGTCGAACAGAGGATTGTCGGCACTTCGTCCTGTCCATTTCATAATATCCCGTAATGGAGTGTGCTGGAATGGGATAGCAGAAACATGGAAATCATGACAAGCCTGAACAAGTTCCGATAATGAATCCAGGCCGAAGAAAGGGACATGGCATGGAATCGTGTTGAATAAAGGCCCGATAGCTTTATCTGCACCATCAAAATCCAAGGCTCTCCCTGAACTCACAATTCCAAGAGTCGGAACGAAGCCAAAGTGCTTTTCAAAGACGTACAGCCAGCAACCATGGACTACTGCTTGTTCCGTAACATTCAACCTTCGTCTTACCTCTTCGAGTCGCTTCATTGCGGGTATCTCAATAGCCAGGATATGTACTTCACTTTCAGAACTATTTGGGTTGGAAGGTATCGTTCGTGCTGAAGCATCTCGCAAATGTCGGGTCCAGAAGGATTGCGCATCGGGTTGCCTGCAAAATGGACCGAGCGGCAACACATCAATATAAGACGGCGTTTCTGTGTGCGCGACATTGAAGTATGCTTCTGCAACCCTTTCAAGAAGAAGTGGAAGGCTGTTCCCGTCGTATAGGCCGTGGAAGATGTTCAAGCACATTACTCTACTGGATGGCCCAGATACAACCCCAATTTCCCAGAGCCTGTCATTAAAATGATGAAGAGTGGATCTCCACTTCATGTACCTATCCCGCGAAATATTAGAAACCTCGGAAGAGTCCGTGGTCTCAAATTCGAACCAGGGAAATTTATCTTCTCTTAACACCACTTGTGCATAACCATCTGCTGTGACGGGAAATTTTGTGCGTAGAATTTGGACAGTCTCCTGAACCTTTCGCCAAGCGGCCATCAGCTGGACAATATCCACATCTGGTAACAACTCAAAGGTAAAATTGAGACGTATGCACGGCTTGCGCTCTCAAGACACTTGTATATCATCCCATCTTGCAATGGTGAGCAAGGGCATACAGCTTCAATAGCATTGATAGAGACACAGAGCTCAGTAGCAAGTGATGCAAGATGCTTGTGTGCAAAAGCGGCAATTGCTTGTTTAGCATTCTGGTATAGCCGGCCATCGGAACTTTCACTACGGTTGGACGAGCGCAATATTTCTGAAAGAGCAGAGATTACGGGGTCTAAAAGGATGTTTTAACAAAAATTCTGGGAAGACTCGGGGAGGGTAAAACATGTCGCCTTACTTTTCATAATGAGAGCCGACTGAGCAGTGCTGAAACCTGCTTCTTTGAGGGACCGAGCCAAAGATATGACAGAGATAGAATCCAGTCCGAGCTGGAATATATTGGACCACGGTGAGATAATCGTTTCGTCACAGCCGGCCAACCGGGAGACAATCGATATAATCTTTTTCGTCTCTCTTGATGCATTCGTGGTATTTTCCTCATTTTGTGGTGAAAGCTTCTGCATTTGCTCCAGAGTCAGGTTCGCGTAAATTTCCTTCAACTTTTTATTTTCAATCTTATTATTTGGAGACAAAGGGAATCGGGTAAGTGGAATAACATGCGTTGGGACCATATATCCTGGAAGTTGGAGGCTGCAGCATCTTCGGATGTCATTCAGGGTCTCGTGGACATGGTCTCCCGTGTCAAAACCAAGAATTGCCTCCTTTTCAGAAGGTTCTCCTCGAGTGATGAAAGAAACAAGCTGCTCTTTACCCGCAAACAGATGCTTTAACACCATTGTCACCACCTCTCCTATTTCCGCTGAAGCTGACTTGATAACGTGGTTGATTTCGTCGATCTCAAGCCGTTGACCACGCAGTTTGACTTGATCATCCATACGACCAAGGAAGCAGAAACTTTCGTCATGAAGCATCCGTACAAGGTCGCCGGTACGGTATACCCTTTCACCCCACTCGTCAAGATATTGGAATCTCTCCTCAGTTAATTCAGGCCTATTTAAATAGCCTCGACCTACGAGAGGGCCAGACACACACAGCTCACCAATGCCCCCTCTTAGCACCGGTATATTAGTACCCGGTTTGAAGACGAAAGAGCCCACATTATCAAATTGAGGTCCAATGTTGGACGGTTTGTCCCATTGCGTTACTCTTGGAAGCATGGTACACCCGATAGTAACCTCCGTGGGCCCGTACCCGTTATATATCACTTGCTTTTCTCCCCACGTATCTAAGATCTCTTGTTTTAGTGCCTCACCGCCGGTGATAAAGACGCCACGGCAAAGCGACGGCACTTCGTCAGGCTGGAGTAAACGGGCCAAGCTCGGCGTTAGATCGATATGCGTTATCTCCAGCTGTCTAATAACCCCAGCTAAGTCCTCGAATAGGATATCCCTGGGACAAGAAGTGACGCAGATACCGACGCTCCAGCTCCAATATTGCTCTAAGACACTGACATCGAAGTGGAACGATGCAAATTGGAGCCAGCGGGACGAATCATCCCAGTGTCCTGCAAATAATCTTTGGAACGAGAGCATTGCTTGTATTGCGTTGCTGTGTGTTATCTCGCAACCCTTTGGTGTCCCCGTGCTCCCTGAAGTATACAAACAATAGCAAGTATCGTCGCCACTGATTGAGTGTTCAAGAATCGGAGAGCTGCTTGAGAGACCATTCAAAAGTCCTGCTTCATCTAGTGCTAGAACTTTGACGCCGTCTATTCCCATTAATTCTTCCTTCTTATCAGATGTGCATAGGAGAAAATTAGAGCCCGAATCTTCCATGATAAACTTTTTCCGCGCAATAGGGGCCCCAGGATCCAATGCCACATAAGCAGATCCTACCTTCAAAATAGCGAGGATTGCAAAATATGCTTCAGGGCACTTGTCAAAACAAATTCCGATTAATTTTGATTTGGACGCCCCTAGCTGCAAAAGGAGGTTGGCATATTTATTTCCTTGGTCGTTGAATTCTTTGTATGTCCAACTCCTGACTATCAGTTTACCCTCCACTTCGGAAGACCTAGAGGCAAATTCAAGAGCTATTTTCGAGGGGCATTTACTAGCGTTGACCTCAACAAACTGATGCAAAAGATCAACTGGAGCCTCGATATAGGCATCCTTTCTAGGCAGGACGCAGGTTATTCTTCGATCAGCCCCCATAAAGTGCGCGCAATTGGATTCCGGAGAAAATATAGTATCGAAGAGAAGCCATTCAAGCTGATCGATCAATATATGCGCTTGATCAACTGGTAATATATCATTTCTGAATGTAACACAAAATTCGAGTTGATCCCCTTTGGGTATAAGTTCAATCGAGACTGGATACTATTTATTCAGTTAGCGTGACTATAAATTATGACAGCTAGTGGACATACATCTGTTGTAGCTATCTCTTTGGTAACAGTCCAAAATTGCTCATCATTTGTGGATGACACAAATTTCTGGTGCACGAAGAGGGTGTCAAACAATGCAGTGTCTGAACCGGTCATGCGTTGAAGCTTGGATAAAGGAACATGCTGCCCTTTGATAAGATGTGCATTTAACTTCATCACTGCCTGGACAAGCTCCGTGTTACTTCCCTCCACCCTGTAGCGGGATGGGACAGTAGTTAGACAGGGAAAAACAACATCTTGAGCCGCGGCGGACATGTCCCGGCCCGAAAGAACAACGCCGTAACCTATGTCAATTTCGCCGACGTAGGAAGCTAATAAACGAGCCCATGCTGCTTGCCCAGCGGCTTGCAAGGTGACTTCAGCCTTGGTGCAACCAGTGTATATGGTTGATAATGACTCCGAAGAAGTCTTAGAGACGGTGCACATTTCTCGTCTATCCGTCCGGATAGGATTCAGGTCAGGAAATTTTGTAACAGGCCAACCTTTGCAGAGTTCTTCCCATATTTTCTCCGTGATTTCATCTTTCTCAGCACCCTTGGTTAAGATTGATCCTAGAACTGGGGATATGGGGATCGGGTCGAAGAGAATTCCACCGTTATACTGGCGAGCAACTTCTGATAAAATGAGATTCAAAGAATGAGCATCATAAAGGGCATGAAGCGCAGAGAACCGAATAGTTGTATAGGTCGGAAGTGACTGTACTGTCAAGAACCAGGCTGGGTAATGAAGCCGATTCAATATGTCGATGCCAGTGGGTTCTTCGTGGTGCAACAGCTGTCCATTCTCAGACACATAGTCGTGCCATGGGAGGTCTAAAGTACCAGGTTTATATGTTATCATTGCAAATGGGGATACTTCATCCTTGACTTGACAAAATCCGGTCCGAAGCATCTCGTTCCTATCGACTGCGGCTTCCCATGCACTTTTTAGGGCGTCGATATCTAGCGGACGTGTTGATTGAAGACACATGTGGTTGAAATAAAGATTGCCTCCTGAATTAACGAATAACGCCAACATACCCGTTTGGACTGTTGTGCATGGACGCACCGATTGAAGTTTCGCCTCAAGTTGACCGATTTCTGTACAAACAGAAACCCAGTGTCGAGCTTGGAATGGGTTAAAATCAAATGCTTCCATGATACTGCATTCGCCGTTTATTGTTGACTTTTCTAGCCGAGAGGCAATCTGAGAAATTGTAGGAGCCTGGTGACGGTTAGTATTTTTAATATGGCTGATCAAAGGAGTACTTACCTCTAGGATATCACCAGCCGAAATTTCATAGCCCTTGGCCCGTAGGTTGGCCGCAATTTGAATTGCATTAATACTATCAAGACCCAATTTATAAATTGTCGTGTTCAATTTTATATGCTTCCGTTCAACTTTTGCCAATTCTGATACTAGCTCCCTAATCTCCAATGCTTTGTTTGACCATTCCCTCAAATCATCATTCATAGTTTCTTTCTCGACAATAGGTCTTGAAATATTGATAAAGGGAGGAATACCACTTTTCACAACGCTAGTATCGGTGGCCCTCGCAGATGGATATTGGAGAGTGTGATGGATCGACTCAACATATCCACCAAGCATTTGACGAACAGAGTCTAACGAGGTCTTCGATCCGTCACAATACAGACACACCTGAAGAACATCCTTCTCAGGGTTCGGCACGATTTCACAAATGAATGGAAAGTCCATATCTCCGTGCTCATCAACCAAGGTCCATATTTCTTCGTTTAACCGCTGGGGTTCCTTCTGAAGGAGGAGTAAAGTGTCGAATAGCCGTGAGCCGCTTGGACTGAATTGAGATTGTAATCGACGTAACGACGTAAGTTGGTACGGAAGCACGTCCGCTTTAAATTTTCGCAACTGTAGCATAAGATCACTATTGACTGTATTGCTATCCAACTTGACCCGTAGGGGAAGGGTGTTAAAGCACGGGCCAACAATACGCTCTGCGCCATTTACCGGTAGGGTTCTGCAGCTGGCAACGTCACCGAAGCAAATATCCGAGGTCTCGGAGTAGAAAAATAACAGCTTCGCCCAGGCAGCCTGTAAAAGACTCAGGAGGGTGATAGAGGCATTCTTGCACGACTCGGCCACTTGGGTAAGTGGTATATCCAAATCAATGCTAACACTATGGAACTCTTTATGTTTCGTGGCGGATGCATTGGGAACCGGAGAAACAAGGTACGTCGGAGAGAACCCAGTCAAGTGGCTGTTCCAAAATTGAGTCGCGGCTTCAACATCTGTCTTGATCATATGCTCGATGTAATGGTCGAAAGGCACAACAGGTGGCAAGGCCATATCGAGAACAACTTGCTCAACCTCTTGAAGCAGCTGCCCCATTGCCTCTCCATCATATAGCGCATGGTGAATTAACAGGTGCAGCTGGGATTTCCCAGTGGTAATGTTGTGAAGCTCTATAAAAGCATATGGTACTGCCACTCCGCTGGCAGATAGAATGGAAACCTTTCGACGTTCGATAATGGACTCCACATTCGCACTGGAACACTCCATAAAACTCCAAGGGAGGTCTACGGTATCCAACACAATTTGTGCAAAAGCATGCTGCGCATCATTTGTAGACTGAAACCAGGTTCGCAAAATATCGTGTCTTGCAACCATTGCTTCCCATGCGAACTTCAATCTAGACATATCCTTCCGCACTTCAAAGATGAGATGATTGAAATAAGATTTTTGATCGCTAGATACCATCTGCGATAACATAGCTTCTTGCAAAGGCGTGCATGGCAATATCTTTCGTATTTTCTTTTGAGCCATGTCCACGTCGTGTCTAGCCTTCTCAATAAATCCAGGAGAGAACAGCACTTTGAAATTCGGTAAAATTTCCTGTTTCGTGGTAGCGGTGTCAGAAACACGATCTATGGCAGCAGCAAGTCGGGAAACCGTGTCGTTCTTCATAATGACTGAAACGTCCACCTGCCCGAATCCTGATAGTTTTAGTTGTCTCGATAATGATACTGCTAGGATAGAATCCATGCCTAGGCGATAGAATGAAGAATGACGGCCAATGTCAGTCGCTGGGGTGTTGGTAACAGCAGCGACAAGTTGCACAATTTTTGACTCCGTCTCCGAAAGCTCTTCAAAATTGTCGGAGATCTCAGCGTTATTGGAGAAGAGATCCAAATAGTCGGGGGCAGCGTTAGAATACATGTCAGCGAGCAGCCTCTTATCAACTTTTCCGTTCACCGTCACGGGTATTGTCTCGATAGGTAAAATGAAAGACGGAATCATATACATCGGAAGGATTTTGGAGATCGTATCGTATAATTCTTTCGTTAAGATCGAGGAACGCTTTGGGTCTACCTTTATATAGGGGGAAGAATCTGCCACAGGTACCCAGAAGGAGACCAGTAACTGACTGCCGCTGGGTTTGTCTCCGCATATCAGAGTTGTGCAGCTCTTCACGACTCGGCTCTGAAGGATCGCACTGTTAACTTCTCCAAGTTCAATTCGCTGACCTCTGAGCTTAACCAAATCATCTCGACGGCCTACAAATGCAAGCGAACCGTCAGGAAGCATGCGGCCGTAATCTCCGGAACGGTATACTTTTCCATACTCTGGATGTTCAACAAACTTTTCGCGGGTGACGTCTGGCATATTCAAATAACCCAAAGCCTGTCTATATAGTTAGCTTACGCATCGCGGCTCCTAATTAGTAAATATTCTTACAACTTGCTTTCCACCGAAACACAGCTCGCCAACTGCGCCTCGTGGGACTGGAGAGAAGGTGTTCCCCTGGGAAAGGACAAAGGCAGAGGTGTTTTTAAAAGGCTTCCCTATGTTACTTAGGAGATCAGTGGTGCGCACACGTGGTTTCACAGTGCATATATTTGTCGTTTCGCAGGGACCGTAGCCTAGTGAAAATCTATGAGTAGTGGGTAATTTATGTGAAAGGTTTGGGAATACCTTGATAAACTCCAACATCAGCCCATTCTTTCGCCACTTCAGGTGTCAGTGCCTCGCCCGCGGTAACCAGAAATTGTACCTTGGGCACATTCCGGGAGCGCACAAGCGCAGCGACGGACGGCGTAAGACTGAGGTGCGTTACTTCAAGAGTGCGGATAGCCCCCTCAATATCTCTGAAAATAATATCGTTGGTTGCCGAACAAAGTGTCATTCCCATAGCCCAGGTGAAAAAAATTTCAAACACGGAAACTAGCATCGGTAAGTGAAAGTCTCGTGGAGAGGATGATGCACTGACCATCAAAAGCTGGGGAGCAGGCCTGAAGCATTTTCGATCCAGGCGGTGTCGGATAGATCTCGGATAAAACAGCGATATTTTCTCGCATATTCTCGTGTGAAACCAGCACTCCTTTAGGTACACCCGTGCTCCCTGAAGTAAAGATGGCATATGCCACATGCATTCCCTGTTCTTTCTGAGAGATTCCACTGTTCTCACTTTTCCGTAACAAGTTGCCGTCCGAATCAAGGACCATAATGTCGTGCGGTAATTCCAATGAAGCTAGAAGATTAGGACTCGTAATACATACGCGACAACTGGCTTCAGAAATGATAGAAAGAGCCCTCTGCGTGGGAGTTTGAGGGGTGATGGGTACGTAACCAGCACCTGCGTCGACAACAGCTAGGATAGAGACATATAGCCCAAGTGACTTTTCTAAAACAATTGAAACTAGTGATCCGGACCCTATCCCAAAGGAGCGAAGTTGTTTTGCGAGCCGACCAGAGCGAGTATTCAATTCGGCGTAGGTCAATTTCTGGATGCTCACGGCACCAAGATCCGGGTCGAACGTCTCCAAGAACTCAACTGCGGTTCTTTCAGGATCCAGAGCCGCCACTTCTTTTACCCCATCTGAAAGGCTTTGAGAGCCAGGGCAGGATGTGAAGCGAACATTTTCTGCCGATAGAACTGAAATCGGTAGTTCATCGTTAACATGTTTAAGGCTCAGATCCGGTTTATGTATGAAAATTGAAGCTAATTCCTCAAGTTGGCGGAGGAATATATCAACCTGCGCAGTTGACAGCGTGGACTCTTGGAAAGTGGCTTTTGCGCAGAGTACATCGTTCTTTATTTCAACTTCCAAGGTGAGACAAAACTCTAGGAAGTCTGCCGACGCTACTTGTTTGACAATTGTGGAAGATTCTTGATGTCCGTTGAGTGTGTCTTGCCACACAAACAGAGTGTCAAAGAGCGACAGGCTCGGTTCAACTCCCGACACGGCCTTGATATCACGGAGAGGTAGCAATCCGTGGGTAAGAGATTTTCTGTTAAGGTTGTGAATAGTCGCAAGTAAATCCTGCACGTTTCGCAGGTTGCCAAAGTTGAAGCGGACCGGAAGAGTGTTGATGCACGGTCCAATCACATCCTCGATACCTTGTACAGGAATCGTCCGACCCGAAGACACAGAACCAAAAATAACATCTGAGGTTCCATTGTACTCTCCAAGGAGATAGCCTAATGCCCCTTGAAAAAAGGTTTGACGACTGATGCGAAGATTCCTAGTAGCAGCGTCAAGATCGTTGATGTCGATGCTAAATGTGCGCTGTGTCACACCTAGTCCGTGAGGGATGTCGTTGTGATCCTGAAAGTTCGGCCACGGTGAAGGGGAGATTCCCTGAAGCAGATCACGCCAGTAATCGATAGAATCTAATCTATTTCGGGAGCTGAGAAAGCTAGAGATATGATCGACAAAAGTCCGATATTGTGGGCGCTGCTTGCATAACTTCTTTTCTAGTGACGTCCCGAGGTCGTTCATAACATGTTCCCATGACCATCCATCGTAAAGTGCATGATGGATATGAACAAGAGCTCTAACATCGCCAGAAAGACTCTTGAGTTGAATTTGAAAAGGGTGGAGCATATGCTGTGGAGTTTGGAACACCATGTCATAATGGAATGTGTCGCATTCAACGAAGACAGAGTCATCAAGGCTTTCCCAGACAACCTGTGCATATGGGTGTCCGGGCATGTTCACTTCAACAAAGCCTGATCGCAAAATCTCGTTTCGGTCAGCAACCAGACGGAAGGCACTGCGTATTCCGATTGGTGATATGCCATTCCCAAATTCCACTTCAATCCAGTTTGAATAAGCCCTCTTACTTTGCATAGATTCCGCGATCATGGATACTTGCATCGGACTACATGGGAGCACATCTTGGGGCGTCGAAGAGTGTCCCAGCGACGAGAGTGTCTTGTGGGTGATATCGACCACAGGGTCCCATGAACTTGAAGTAAGATTCGGCGTAAAGTCAGAGGCTCCTTTAACGAGGCTTCTTTCCATTGCCAATGCTATTCCTTGGACTGAGTCAGCCTCTAGGATGCTCGTGACATCAAGATTTACGCTTATGGCCCGCAACTCCGAGGCCAATCTAATGGCCTTAAGGGAATCGAGCCCTAGGGCCGCCAAGCTTCCAGAACGACCGATTGGAGCATGTAGAATATGTTCAACACAGGTACCAATGTTCTCTTCAACCTCAGAGGCGAAAGAAGAGGCAGCGGGGACATCGGACTCCTTTGAGCTGGTGTAGTTGCTTTCGAGGGCTTTCCTGTCAATCTTCCCGGATGGGAGCCGTGGCAATTCATCCATGCAAATAATCTCGGTTGGAACCATGAACTTGGGAAGCCACTTCTCGCACACTTGTCGTACGGCCGCGGGATCTAGGCTCGTGTCTCGGGACACGAAGGCAACAAGGATCCCATCGGCAACACACGCGGCAGCACTTCGAACGCCAGGTGACTTATATATTGTACTCTCAACCTCGCCCAGTTCCATACGCTGACCCCTGAGCTTCACTTGCCCGGAAGAAATCCTGCCAAGGCATTCCAGTTCGCCATTGGGGTGAAGACGAGCTTTATCACCGGTTCGATAAAGGCGCCCGTAAACCTGGCTATCGATAAACGCTTTGCGGTTTTCCTCCGGGCGGTTAAGATACCCGTTCGCAAGTTGGGGCCCTCCGACGGCAAGTTCTCCAATACAGCCCACAGGGAGAACATCTGGTTCTCCATCCACAGAGGCTTGGATCGGGATGATAAAGGCAGAAACCGAAGTGAACGGGATTCCAATATTTCCTACGCGGGAGCCGACCGGAAGTTTGGGAGCAATCGTACAGTGAATTGTAGCTTCTGTGGGTCCATACATGGCGTAAAGGACGCCATCATTGGGACCTGAAAAGCCGAATTCATCGACAACCCGCCTTGTCAACATTTCACCGATAGTAAGCAAAACTTTAAGAGAGGGCACAGCACTCTTTTGGCGAAGTAATTCTCCAGCAACCGTAGGAGTAAGCTCGGCACCATCGACTTCTAAGTGGTTCATTACACCGACCAGGTCATTTAACATGAGGCTTCGCTCACAGGCGACCAAAGTTGAGCCTCTAAATAACGGGAAGAAGATCTCAAATACGGAAACATCAAAGGTTGGGGCCGCAAACTGTAGGAACCTCCTGAAATATGGTATATGGTCATCGTGGGCAAGTATGGCTTGTGTTGCAGCAAGGTGTGAGAGGCCAACTCCCTTTGGTAATCCAGTAGAACCTGAGGTATACATTACGTATGCAAGGCTTTCGGGGTATATTTTGATATTTTCTAGCGTCGCTGGGAGGATGATATCGTTCGCATCATCGTCGGCCAAAATGATGATCAGAGGTCTATCAACCTGGTCGAACCTGCCGGCCAAGCTTTTCACGGTAACGACGACATCCGCAGCAACGTCGTTAACGATGAAATTAACACGCTCTGAAGGGGCGTCAATGTTGAGAGGGCAAACAGCCGCCCCAGATCTGAGGATACCAAGCCAAGAAACGTATAGGTCTGGCGATTGAGGAATCAAGACTGGGACAATCGGAGCTGAGGCGGGCCTGGATCGCAATGCTTCAGAGAGACGCAAAGCCAACTGCTTCGAGCGAAGGTGTAGTTGGTCGTAAGTAAGGAAATGCCGTTTCCTATCCTTGTCGAGAAACTCCAAGGCCAGATCCAAACCCCGACCGGCATTCTGGACCAGATCATGCAAAAACAATGGACCCGGTATCAATTGAGGATGTTCATTAAGGATAGACAATCGCAAGCCCTCCGTGTTGGTGGGCACCTGGAGGGCTGCACGAATGTGGTTCTCAAACTGCGTTCCGATCTGCGAAAGATAGGCACGAGTAGTGCAGTTTGAGGCAATGATATGCCCAGTCCCCTGCTCCAAATAACATCTCACCTCAACAAGGCACCCGTCAGCGGGTTCAGGAGACTACGGTACCAGTCAGCAGTGAGCAACAAATTCATATGGGACGAGTACTCGCATCAAGCGTGAATACTCCGGTATGACCATGTTTGCGAAGATCGTCCACCTCTGCTTTCAGGACGATATTCTTTTCCAGATCAACTTTTACTGGGTCTCCATTAAGGCTGAAGGCGGGGATCTCTTCTCCAGTCAGGGCTGCAAGAACTGCAGCCCAAGAGCAGGCCACGAGGTCCAGGCTGAGCTTCGAAATGCCGCAGTTCCAGTCGATTCTGACTGATCCATCAACCGATTCTTCCACATAGTCGAGTTTTGGGAACGATATGTACGTGGTATCCATGGTTGCAACAGGCAAGATTCCATTGGCCTCTCAGAAATTTTTGGGATGTGTTCCGGATCAAACTTGATACATCCGATCCAATGGAGGTCGAATTAAGGGAGACAGAAAGGAAAGGAAATAAGAAAGAAAGGGAAAAAAAAGGAAATAAAATAAAAGGGAGAGAGAAACGGGAGATTTGGGGTTAATGCTGATTTCAATTGAAATGATATTATTATTTGTTGCTAGTATTCAGAAAAGACTAATTTTGTTGTATAATCGTCGTCCATAAAAGCTCTCTGAAGGAAGAAAACGAAGAAAAAAGAAAGAAAAAAAAGGGAATAGCGGGTGACAGGATGTCACCTTTTCCAACTCCCCGCTCGGCCTTGACTCGCAGCCCGCCCAAGGAGTGAAAATGAGGTCAGTGTTCCGAGCGCTGACGGCGATAAGCAGCTATGCGAGAATAGACTTAGCAGGCATACTCCGTACAGCAGACATTGCTTTGTCACTGCACCCCCAAGAGTGGGAAGCGTGGAGAACACACGATGATCCCAATCGTGTGCTGGACATGGAGCATGGCCTCATCTTGAGTCTCTGGGCACCCGACAAGAACCGAAGTGGGTCTGGAGGTGTGCAACAGGGCAGGGTGGTCGGTCGAAACCGTGGCCAAAGGCGAAACCGTGGCCAAAGGCGAACCCGAGGCGCCGCCACATTGCGTTTCTTCGCCGTTCCAGAGCGAATCGGCCCTTCGCGGGATGTCCAGCAGTATTGGGTAGAACAATGGGAGAAAGCATGCGTTTTCTGCCTTGCTGCTTCAGCCGTCAGTGTGTCGTCGTCCTTCTTCGTCGTCATCGTCGGGTGTGGAATCGTCGTGCCGTGCGACGGGGCGAATCCGTCAGCGCGATTCGCCCGTCCCGTCGACAGATCTAATCTTATCTCTGGGCGCTTCCGCTCACCCTCGCCCGGCGATCTGCTGCTACAATAACCCTAAACCCCCGTCGCCCGTGCACCGCTTTGGCAGCGGCTTGGGGGCCCAGGATCTGGCCTGGAGCCCAGCCATTGTATTCCAAGTGCCGGTCTGCTAAATCGCTCAGTGATCACCAAGCTGGACTGCTAACCTACCAACTCACCCTGGATGCCGCTAAGGAAGTAATGGATATCAATGGCCAATCTTCGCATCGGGACGGGTTCACTGGGCCGCGTTGAAGGCAGATCAGGTTGCGAACAGGAGATCGAAACCCATGCACATCCTTGAAACACAGGATTTTCATCTCTCTCTCGAGACGAGCAAGGATGTGTGGTGGGATCAGCCGCGGTTTTTTCCTTCACAGCGCGACCACGGCCGGTTCCCCCTGGTTGACCCATAATGACGACAGATCTGGAATATCTCTTTTCCCAACAGCGATCGATATCCATATATTTGGCTCGAGGTCCAGGGTGAAATGATCCAGGCGATAGATGCAGTCAAGATTGAACTGATCCAAAGTCGTTGAAATATCTTGTTCCCTTGATCACTCTTGACCCCGCACTCCTTGATTGAACTGCTTCCCCGCATGTCTCCTTTGCTCGAAAGATCAGAAGCCCTGGAGGAGCTGGAGGACCAGGCGACCTGCCCAGACCATCCTGGAAGAATCCAGAGTCCTGACGGTCATGCTTATGGTTCCAATGGAATCGATCGCTCCCTAGAGGCGCACAACCCACGCAATGCCTCATCGCTCGACTCCGCGGGACTAAGTTCCAATCTCGGCAGAACTTCGGCAGAAGAGTTGCATGACCTTATATGCGTCGGATTCGGCCCTGCTTCTCTCGCCATAGCAGTTGCTCTCCATGACAAGGTCCAGGAGCTAGGCCGGGAACCAACCTCTGTGGCACCCAAAGTTACATTTCTGGAGCGCCAGCCTCGTTTTGCGTGGCACTCGGGGATGCTGGTGCCCGGCTCGAAGATGCAGATATCGTTCATCAAGGACCTTGCAACTCTTCGAGATCCTCGCAGTGAATTCACCTTCCTGAACTATCTGCGGAGCAAAGATCGCCTTCTCCAGTTTGCAGGCCTCGGAACTTTTCTTCCGGCACGCTTCGAGTTTGAAGACTACATGCGATGGTGTGCAGATAGATTCTCAGATGTGGTCGAGTACAACCGCGAGGTCTTGGATGTTGTGGCAAGGGACGGTAACATCGACACGGAATCCGTCGATTACTTTACGGTACGATCCAGGGATCTCAAGACGGGAGACACGGTAACTCAAAGGGCTCGAAATGTGGTTATTGCAGTCGGTGGAAAGCCAAGGATACCCCCGGAGTTTCCAAAAGACAAGCGGGTAATGCATTCATCAGCCTATTGCACTTCGTTGCCAGGACTTCTGCCCGACAAGCTCAGGGACTATCACATCGCCGTTGTAGGAGGTGGACAGAGTGCCGCCGAGATCTTCCATGACCTCCAGAGCCGTTATCCAAACTCCAAAACGACTCTCATCATGAGAGACACTGCCTTGAAGCCTAGCGACGACTCTCCGTTGTAAGTGTTTTAGCTCTGATATCACAGGTCAGAAATAAGACTAAACGTGTATAGCGTCAACGAGATATTCAACCCGGAGCGCATCGATACGTTCTATTCTGAGCCTGAGCCTAAACGACGGCGGCTCCTATCGGATTATCGCCACACCAATTACGGGGTCGTCCGTCTCGAACTAATCGAGAAGATATACTACGACATGTACCTCCAAAAAATCAAATGTCCAGAAGAATCAAAGTGGAACCATCGCATACTTTCGTCCTGTGGCGTGAAGATGGTAGAAACCATCGAGAACGGAGGGAAATTACAACTGTTCCTTGACTCTGCCGGCATGGAGAACGATGACCTTACTGTCGATGCCCTCATCGTGGCAACTGGCTACGTTCGGGATGCACATGAAGACATGATGCAGCCGATAGAGTTCCTTCGGCCGAGCGATCATGAGAACTGGAAGGTCCAAAGGGATTATAGGGTTAAGTTGGACGAGAGCAAAGTGGATCATCGTGTAGGAATTTGGCTTCAAGGGTGCAATGAATTAACTCACGGGATAAGCGATACCTTGCTCTCGGTGCTTGCGGCCCGTGGAGGTGATATGGTGGATGCGATATTCGGCAAGAACCTTGAACATACCATTGCGAACAAAAAGTGACAGTGAAAACGGTGTTTCTCATCCTGTGGCTTTGCTCGATTTTCGGGATTACAATGCCTCTTGACCTTCTCTTTTCTTTTTCCATTTTTATTTTCGCAGGTAGTTAAACATATCGCCCTTCGGGTTTAAACAGCTAATGAATATGTTAGGCTAAATCTCGCAGAATTCCCTTCCATTTCTAAGCACCACGAAAGGTAGTAGTAGTGAAACTTTTCCACTCCAGGATATCCTGGTGGTTTGGCTTGATATTCTTCTAAAAACTACGGAGTACGGAGTAACTACAGAACAAGGATTACACATGCCGCCAGTCAAGCAATTAGTCTCTCCCTTGGAGTCAATCCATCGCTCCACGAACGCCTATCCTTCTCCACCGAAGGGAGAAAATTTCCACAAATTCGGAACTTAACCTCTATTTCACCCAGAACAACCAGGGGAAATTTTTTCCGCCCGAACGACGCTGATCATCGTAAAACCATAAAAAAAAGCACAAGGTTTTTATCAGATTCCGATAATCTCATCAGATAAACCAAAAGCCAAAAAAAGGCGGCCTATCAATCCGGGCCGGTTTTATCTGATCCGCGGTCAGGCCCATTTCTTCCCGGAGCACGCCAATCATACTCGTTTCCGGGGAATGGTGGCGGCGGGATGCCGAGAGAAGAAGAACCCTTGGTGGGCAGCGGGATCCACGAAGGTCCCCACCGCCTTCAGATTCTCCGTTCTTCTCCCGTTTTCGTGGGTGTCAGCTTTCTCCCACTCGGAAAACGGAATACGAGGTGTGGTGAAATTTACTTGCGCATGTGGGCCGCCATCGATGGCACGTTTCCAAGGTGCAGATGAGACCAAAGAAAGAGCAAAAAAAAAAAAAAAAAATCTTGACCCCGGTTTGATCCTTCCAGACTAAGGAGAGGAAAGCTTCGGAAGGGTTTTCGTGGGAAGAAATACGCGAATAAGGACGGGAGTACGGATTACTTCGTATGTATGTACTGTACGTACTCAAAGCATCTGTAATTACTATTTGGGATCTATCCACACTTGACAAAGAATTTACACGAAGATGTTGAGTGCTAACGTGTCTATCTGACAGCAGTCTGCCGTCCGAGGCTGTCTGGTCATTTAGTGGCGCCGTACGGAGTACTTAGGCTTCAAAAGCTGATGCTTTGTCGGGAATTACAATGACCACCAGCTTGTGGAACCAAGGCGCGGAAACCAGGCGACAAGGCCGAAGCTAGCTCCAACTTGATGCAGTTATCTCTTATCACCGAGGCTAGGAGCCAACATGAAGGCCGAACATTGCATGACCTTCAATTCGCGGGAACAGACCGGAATGCATGACAAACAAATCATGTCGTCTACACGTCCTCTGTTGCAACACTTCGATAAACCATCCCCGACACACCAGTCCTTAACCTCAATGGTACCTCATACATGTCATTGTAGTTTACAACTTCTCCGTTCAACATGGCGGAACCGGGTGCTCTTCTGCCAAAATAAGGAGCAGGATCACACCAGAAGTCTCGACAGTTGGTGACGATCCCGCGAGAGAACGGGTTTTGCGCACGAGCCGCCCGACGATCTCCAAGGCCTTCTTGAGCCGTAGCCATGAAAGTATCCAACCCCAGCAGTTTCTTCCATTGCGAAAGACAGCCTCCATGGGCATGACGGTGATGCCGCCTATGGCCTGGCGGCAGGATTGATGGGTTGGGACCTTGCCCTGTTGAGTTTAGGCCACCCAGCTCTGCTGAGGTGGTTCCGGTGGTAAGAGCAGATGTGATTGCTCGCGAGGCAGGATTAGCATAATCGAATGCATGTCCTTTCATGTTCTCATATGTAGTTTGGTTTCGTGAGATTTGAACGAGCTGAACAACACATAACATGGTAACCCAGACCAGCTGGAGGGCTATCCAAAACGTGAGGATTATGGTAAACGTATCACGTTTTACCATGCTGCATAGAGATGAGGAGAGAATATTACATTCTGAATCGGTAGGCGGAGGCAAGGCTCCTAGGTCTGCAGAGCGAAATTAGCCCTGGGTATCATGGATATCGAATAACAGCATAGGTGGACTTACAATTTATCACCAGCTGGATGAAAAGAATGATACCGACTTCCATACTAAAAATATACAAAACGAAATGACGAAGATTATTCGTGCCGACGCAATTATCAATCCACGGGCAATGGCTATATCAGGTAAGCAAGGGCCTGCAGGAATGGATTGGCGAAGATACTCACTGATCATGCTTTGAAACGCAACGTCTGCAGCGCCGACAGTGCTTGCTCCTCAAAGGTTTCCTTATCATGCAGAAAACACAAAAGTTGTCTTCATCGAACTGCCATGACTTAAATAGTTCCATTATGCATGTTCGTTGCTGATTTCTGCTGCTGAGTTTGGGCACGTAGCCTGGATCCTCGATCATGGATAGGAAATAAAAGTAGGACGTAAGAGAAAAGAATACGGCAAAGAAGAAATTGAGGAAAGGATAGGTGGAGTAGGTATCTAGGAAGAGTTAGCCACGGTCAACAACTGGTTGACGAAACTGTGACGCCGTACCTGGGAGTACTGTCAAAAGCCATCGAACACCGATCCAGAAAAGCGAGGCTGCAAACACGCCTGCCAGGAAAGGCTAGAGATATCGTTAGATATTCGCAATTATGGGGCGCGGAACAACAAAAAGTCGTTGCCAGAGGACTTACCGTTCTTTGAAGCACCCGAAACTCCGCATGGCTCCGGTTCGCTACCCATTGCGCCATCCATTGCATGCCAAAAATGAAAGCAAGCGTTAATGGTACAGATACATAAACCGTAAACTCGCTGAGTATCCACACAGCACCAAAGATCATAGCAAAAGGCCAAAGGAAGAAAAACTTAGAAATATATCGTCTCGTTCGTAAGATCGTAGCGAGGCCGAGAGGCATCTGTATTACATCCCCGTTCGGGTCATACCCACATTCACTCAGCGCGCGACGCCAAAAATGCGTTGTCTTCATCTCTTCAGCCACTATAGCGGGAGTCTTGCCGTCTCTCGTTTTTGCATAGCGGTCGGCACCATATTCAATAATTTTCTGTATACAAGGTGTCGAGCCTTTAACCAAAGCCCAGTGGAGCGGCGTGAGCCCGCCTTCATCTGCGGCATTCACATTTGCACCCCATCGAAGAAATAGATCGACACACGCCGGAAACCCTTTGTATGCTGCCCACATCAAACCGGTATGTCCCTGGGGATCCGTCACATCCACAGGGATCTCCTGGTGCAGAAGCAGTACGAGGAGGAAGGCATTTCCATCGATCGTTGCCAGATGTAATATATTATAGCCTTGAACGTCCGTTAAAAGAGGATCCGCTCCGTATCGAAGAAGGAGCTCGACGATATAATAGTGACACCGTTGAGCTGCCCACATGGCCGGTGTAGCGACGGATTCACCGCCCTTTGCGTTCACATCTGCACCTGAATCGAGTAAAAACTTGCAGAGCTCATATCGATTGTTAATCGCAGCCCACTAAGCGAAAAAGGGATCAGTTAGTCGTCATCCTCAAATTGCGTAGCGAGCGTGCTCCACAAACATGTAAAGGCGTAATGTCCTCTTCATCTCGATACTTTGCATCATATTTCCCGCTTTCGAAGAGCTTCTGAATAGCACCTATTTCCCCCAGCCGTGCAAGTTGCATTATATCCTCTTCAATCGGCAAGGCTCTTTCGCCTTCGTTGCGGGAATTGATATCTTTAAGTTCAACCTCGTCATTCTGCGTTCGATGTTCGGGAGACGCGTCCGAACCCTTCCGAGGGAGTACGGTTGACGAAGAAGCAGAGCTTCGCTCAGCTGTATTCTGCGCTTCTCGGGCTGAATGTACTTCGGACATCGCTCGTGGGCACCCCGACCAAGGGTCGTCGAGGACGAAACCGCTGTGATGACAGAGAAAAAGGTGAGGCTGCGTTTTGGATTCAGAGCTTGACTAGTCAGATAAACTCATGTCGCCGTGGCAGGGGCCGTCGCACTGGGGTATAAACGAAAGTGATGAGAGCTCCGATGGCAGAGTTAATATCCCTGAATTGAGGAACGGTGACCGAGTTGCTTGAGGACGACACAGCCGCAAATTGTCGTCAAGCAGAGCAGGAATTTATCCGTTCATTGGCTGAGACAGCGCCGTTTCGTGTTTTCATGCGGCGGACTCGGATTTGGCGCTCAACTCGTCACTACGCGTGGCGCTAAGCCGAGCTTGGCGTGCAGCCGCTGAGGCTGAAATTCATCCCGGATGCACAGAATATATATGTACGGAGTATACTCCGTACGGAAGATGCAAACCCAACATTGGACAAAACAGTTTACAAACAATATCATGGAGGATAGCTGCGAGAAGCGTTAAGTTACCGTTATTCCTTGCATTCATAGAGAAGAGACTTCAGTGTCTTTCGCTACTACAGGTAATATCACATTCCCCATTTCCTTGCGCAATTTAAAATATGCTCCTCAGCGATAATTCTTTCTCGAGTCGTAGCTTATAAATACTCGAAGTCATCACGACGTTACTCAGGCAGGAGAGTATCGGCATCAGTGGAATGTTTCACCATCGTGTTTCGATTCGAGGCGTTCGACAGTGATTCGTGATCGAAGCCATTATGGCGCTTGCACTACCATCTGACGGCTTGATAAAGCATCGTCAAGCCGTTCTTGAAACATTGTAATCTCCTGAGAGAGGATTTCATAGTTAACTTTAAGGTCAAAGTCCATCAAATAACAGAAGTCGATCTCAAATCGCGTTAGTTGTGCCTCCGCCACGCCTCCAACCTTGGAGAACCGTTCGTGAGAGTGATGCAGGTCCTCGAGCAACTTCGTAGCTACCCGCAGACCGCCAAGGACTAGCCGATGTGCATTATACGCGGTAACTGGCACTATTTTCTCAACCAGGGCAATTCGAGTGATGAACCAGCTGGTAGCGAGATATACCCCCGTGGACATTGGGCAGTAACGATGGAGTCTGAGAAGATAATCCTTGAGCGAGATCCCTGGAATCTGTCTTGAAAAAAAGTTCCGAACCAATGCCGCGTCTCGTCTCGCGTTGGGCCTTTCTTGATCCGAAGTTTCGAGTGACTGCCGCCGTAGAAATTCGGAATAAGACACATCTCCGCTGATGCCAATAATCGAGTTCACGTGTAAATACAGTATACTTAACGCCTCGATCGGCGCAAGAGACGAAATGTCGCCTTCCAGAGGCACTCCAGGGGCCAGTTCGAAGCATGGACCAGGACCCTTGCCTGTTTCTGCCATAACGGAATGTGGAAGACGGGGCAGGGGGGACGCGTTTGGCCTTCAGACACATGACACGGAATTCAGGCGAATGAGAGGTCTACCAGATGTCGCGTCCAACAATGAGTTTAAAAGACCGTTCCACCACTCAATGCAGTACTGGCCCAATCTGAAAAGGTATAACAGATATTTGGATATCAAGAATGAAGGTTGGAGGGTAGGGCGTCCGGAAGCGATGCCCACCACTTAGATGTGTTCGTTAAAGGGTCAGCCTCCAGGGAAACATGGTTGGGTGGATAAGCATTAAAACGCTAGACGCAATGCGAAAGATCATCGTTAGAAAGCAAATTCGAGAAACACAGATGTGGAAAGCAGTCCTCGTCGTAGAGCAGCTCTTTTTTGGCTTGACCCTGATGTTCTGGCCCCCCGCTGTCGTAAATCTTCTGATAAAGGCCAATTTTTAGCGCGCACGCCAGCCCGAGAGTTCAAACCCCCAACAAAGCACCCACAGGTCTGCTTAAATATCTGGAACCACAACAAGTAACTAGTGTCTTAAGTTCTCTGTCACCTGCAAAATAATATTTGCATCATACACACACACTCACACACAAACTTTATATACCTATATATGTCTTATACCTAGATACATCATTCTCGCCTAGAAAATGAGCATCTCTTCTGTGCTCCTTTCCCTTGCTTCCTCCCCTCCGGGGCGGCCTCGCCTTGTGATGCATAGTGTTTCCAAGCAGTCGCGGCTCGAACACACGGAATGAACAGCTTGAATTCGATAGAGTTGCGTCGGACAGCACGCTATGTTCTTTCCTGCTGCTTGCTGAACATGCCCTGCACCTCCCTGCCACTGCTCACCTGGCGCTACGGAGGCATATTCGTGTGTCATGCCCTGAACCACTGCACCACGGCGGAATATCATCCTCCTCCGTTCTTTTGTTATTTGCCTGGGATGTCATGCTGGTAAGAGGCAAAATGGGCATACAAGGGTGGATTTCAATCTGTCTTGTGTTCTTCTTCTTCCTCCTCTCTCCGGGGACCTTCTCTGGGCCCACGTTGAACAAGGCATTTGCTTCCGAGAATGAGCTGGACACTACACCCCTGCATTCGAGCCAGCAACCAGAGCCTGATCTGCCATCGGACTACGAATGGAAACATACTCTCAGACTGCCCCATGCGTATCTCGATTCAATGTCAGATAACATGCAAATCGACGAAATAGACGACCATTTGTATGGGCGCCCAGATATATTCTCCTTACTCCCTAGCCAAGAGGAGACTCGAGAGGCTGTAGAGTCTTTAGAAATTGGTACCGCAGGGGGAACATCGCTACAAGCTATGAATATACCGTGAGAAAACTACACAGCGAGCCATCTTTCTTTCTTTTTTTATTTATTTATTTGACCTCCGTTCCTGATATATTCATCAGCCAATACGCAAACTGGACCGGCGAGTCATGGTTTCTGAGATTTCGCGGTTATATCTTCACTCAGCCTGTTGTTTCTAACAAGACGATCGAAAAATTCACAAGCCGAGTTCTAGGGTTTCCAGCATGGACTTTAAAAGAGGATCAATACCTGCATGCGATGCAGATGGCTCGTGGAATGTTCGTTTTGTTACAACCTGGGATACGGCTGTCTTGGCGTCTCATATCTGGCGATGATCCACAGCGCACAGGAGGTGAAAGTAGTCGGATTTGGCCTCCACTTGCCAACGTAGTCATTGCACCAAATCTAACAGATTTTGTGGGCGATTACGACTTTTTTGCCGATATCGGCGGATTGCTGGAGGACGACATCCAACCCGGAGGCTCATCAGATGAGATTCAGCCCATCTCGTTCCGTAGTAACGCCACAACGAATGCTGGAATCCCATTATCCTTTCTAGTCCCCCCTTCAGGTTATACTATCGTCAGCGATATCGATGACGTGCTCCGTGTCTCTACCATCTACCACCCCACCGAAGGATTCAGGAATTTACTAACGCGACCATTTTACCCCTGGATGAACATGCCCGACATATTCGCGAACTGGTCGCACTCTTTACCTGACACACATTTCCATTACCTAACGACTGCGCCAGACCAAATGGCCCAAAGATACATGGATTTTATTTTCAATGTATATCCACATGGAAGCTTTGACATGCGGGCAGTGAATTTCAGGCGCTTTCGGTCAAGCTGGTCAGTTCGAAGTGGACTGCTTGAGAAAGTACTCCAGACTTATCCAGAACGCAAATTCATTCTTATCGGAGACAATAGCAACCATGACATAATGAAGAACTACCCGCTTCTTTCACTCAAATACCCAGGCCAAATCCAGTGCATATTTATACGGAACGTATCAGCCACTGATCGAACTTTCCGATGGCCATACACTACGAAATTCTTCCAACCGCTAAACAGAGATAGTTACATGATATTTCGTTACCCGGTAGGTTCATTTATTATCCATGGCAACTAGGCTCGCTAATTGCTTGTTGTAGGACGACCTGGCAAATCTAGATATCGAGAGCGGCCACTGCAATAACGAATCGGTCCCGCAGCATCTTACCTACGGATGGCAAGGTCTCCCGTGGCGATCGTGATTACAGAATGCAATCAATTGTGACAAGATGGCCGCCAGGAGCTAGCCCAGCCCTCAGTGGTCCCGTATTATTGACCTAGTAGAAGTGGCATACAGCACATGAGGAGGTTTGCGAGAGGTGGAGCTGTGCCTTATCACGATGTATAGATTCCTTTGATAGTTGGATTCTAAATTGCACATACCAAATTCACTCGTATGTCAGTGAAGTCATTTTGTCTTTGAAAAGACTATTTTTTCAACCGAGATGCAGTTTGGCACGACTGTTCAGCTACTTTGAGCTTCACAAAATGACGGCTTGGCGCCAAGCATCTCCTCTCAGCTCTAACTAAACCAGTTTTGGTTCGACAACAACAATCGGAGCTTAGGCAACACTGTCCAGATTGATCTCACCCCATGCATTGAATTGCACTTGATAATTACCTTGTGTAGAACAATTTATTCCCCTTTTATAGTAGAAGTGTACTTTTACTTTCTATCTCTGGGAGGCGAAACACGAAGCGATGCCCCGACCGCCGGCCAAAAGGGGCCGCGCGCCGCGTCAAAACGCGTCCTCCGCAGCATCACGACCGGCCACAAGAAACGCGAACGAGCACACCGTCAAGGCTGTGAAAGGAAGGAAATGGCAAGATAAGGAAGAGGAGGTGTCAAGGGCCAGCAATTTCCCACAAGAAACTCCCGCACGCCCGAATCAACCCGTTCTCGAGAGACGGAGCTCCACCAGAGGAAGACGAAGAGCTCAGACGCCTGTCATAGGCCAGAGACAGATTGTTCATCCCGGCTCGGCAACATCTATTTTCGCAGCAGAAGGAGGAAGAGGACATGGTGCTCGAGGACGGTTTTCGGTCGGTCCGAAACAAGGAGATGCGAATTCGTTCATGCAGAAGATTGGGGTGGGAACACCGGCGTTTGAGAGTTCGATGCTGAGTGCGTTCAGGCCGCGGCCGAGACAAAAAAGTATTTTACAGTTGATGGCGGATGACGAGTCGTCGGATCTGGGAGATGAGGAAAATTTTTTGGGCAGTTTTGAGCCGGAGGATGAGTCTACGCCGTTGAATTTGGGGAAGAGAGAGACGTTGACGAGAGAGGAATTGGCTTCATCTGATGGTTGTTGTGATGTTCAAGATGACATTGACGAGGAGCGTATCCCTGAATCTCCACTGAGGAGATTGTCCAGTTTCAGAACGGTGTTCTCGTCGCCCACGAATCCGAAGAAAAGGAAGATAATGGTTGTGGTCCCAGTACTTGCGCCGGAAGAGCTGAGCCAATACGAGTATCACCGGGACACAGAAGAGCCTGTTCCTGATATTGAGAACATTGATGACGTGGAAATTGTTGAAGAAACCCAGCACAGTCCATCGGAAGATGACGATGATCTGCTTCCTCCAATCAGGCGGGCTCCGCCAGAACAATCACCGGAGGCCTGGAGCCAAACCCTAGCGCCACCGATGAGCAGCAGTCCCGCTCGATCTCCCATAAAATCGCCCGCTCGACGAAAATCGTCCACCAAAGGACCAAAGAAAAAGATTAAGGCGGATTCTGAAGCTCAACCCCATATTTCCACGGCTACTCTACAAGCCAGCCTTATGCCACAAAGGCGTCGACGACGGCGGCGGTTGGCCGGCAACAGTGAATTTGATGTGTTCGATGATGACGACGGTACTCTCGAACGAAGTTCGTCCCCTAAACTTAGACCAGATGAAGATGAACTGAGCTACTTACCGGTCCAGTCAAGGCGAAGGGGTACCAGTAAGAAATTGAAAGAGAATAGAGCCGCATTGAACAGACTGCCCAGGCGTGGAGAGTCATCTGGTTCAAAGGAGAAACGTAGGAAACCCGTTGAGGCCCATTTATCGCGACCCTCCTGGGGTAAGGAGCGGGCCACATATTCTCGTCGGCGAGCGGGAGATGAAGAGAATAGTACAATATCCCTGGAAGATACGAGGGATCTTAAAGACGGCGGAAATTTTGTTAGTGAAGAGCTGCTGAAGCAGGCCGCAAAGTTCACCGAAGTGGACCAGTGGTCTATTGATTTCGAAGATGTTGAAGCCGAAAGCAGTCCATATAGATGAGCCTGCGGCTACGTCCTGAAAATCCTACCGGCCGCTGACAGTATATGCACGGAATGGAGCCAATACAAATGGTTTAGGTGGAAAGCTGTCCACAGATGGGCTTTTTGGCGAGTTTTGATATCATTACCCTGTAAAGGACGAACTAAATGTTTGCACCCTGAATTTGATTGCCTGTCACGCATTAGTAGAGATGGTTGGTGGCGGGCCCCCCCAAATGCCCGCCGATGCATTCCCTCGTAGCTTGTGCTGGATCCCCCGGCATCCCGACGCTTGGGTGGTATCCTTTTCCCGCCGAACTCTACCCCCCACGCCGACATTAGCCATAAATATCCACAACACCATCGTTCAAGGTGAGGGGCAGCGGAACAAACCCAACGCTGTCGACCGCAGGGACTCTTCTCATCATTCTTTTTTTTTTTTTTTTTTCCCCCAATAAGTCTGTTTCTCCCTCCCGTTTTCTAGCACAAACCCACCAGAAGACTTAACCAACCAGCCACAATGGATTCGGCTGTCACCGCGGTTCTCGCTGGTAAGTACCCCGCCAAACAGCATGCCCGGCGCGTAGCGGAGGCTCTCAAGGCTTCCGGACACGACGGATCAGGAGTCATCTACCTCGAAGGCACAAAGACTCGCATGGCCGAGGACAGCGATGAGGCTGTGCCGTTCCGGTGAGCACCTTTTGCGACAGCATCTTCTATGTTTGGCGACCCCGCATTGGCCCCCGTCAAAAAAGCGAGCACCAAACCACTGATTGAACGAATACAGCCAACGCCGCAACTTCTACTATCTCTCTGGATGTGAATTGGCGGATTCATATGTCACCTATAACATCGACCAAGATGAGCTCGTTCTCTACATCCCCGCAGCTGACCCGGACGAAGTGATGTGGACGGGTTTGCCATTGAGCCCCGAGGAAGCCCTTAAGAAATACGATGTCGACAAGGTTCTGGCCTCGAGTGAGATCAATGCCCACCTAGCTCATTACTGTACCAACAAAGAAACCGCCCCGAAGCGCGTCTACGCTATCCCCGACCGGGTTTGCGCTGAAACCACCTTTCTCCCTTTTGATGACACCAACTGGGACGCGTTGAGCAACGCCCTCAACCAATGCAGGAAGGTCAAGGATGACTACGAGATTGCTCTTCTTAAGCGTTCAAACGAGATCTCCGCTCTGGCCCACCTTGCAGTAATGAAAGCGGCCAAATTAGCTAAGAACGAGAGGGAACTCGAGGCCGTTTTCCGCAGCACATGCCTGTCTCATGGCAGCCGGGGACAATCCTATGGCCCCATTGTTGCAGCTGGTGTTAATGGAGCGACGCTGCACTACCAGACAAATGACATGGATCTGGAGGATCCGGTAACTGGAGAGCGACCCAGCCTTCTCGTTGATGCGGGTGGAGAATACCGACTATACTGCTCTGATATTACCCGTGCATACCCGCTTTCTGGAAAATTCTCCGTTGAAGCGCGCCAGATTTACGATATTGTTCTCGACATGCAAACCCAGTGTATGGACATGATAAAGCCTGGCGTGGCATGGGACGACATCCATGCTCGCGCTCACAAAGTCGCCATCAGTGGTCTATTGCGTCTCGGCATCTTACGCGGCTCTGAGGAAGAATTATTTGAAAAGCGCATTAGCGTTGCATTCTTCCCCCATGGCTTGGGCCACTACATGGGAATGGACACACACGACGTTGGCGGCAATCCAAACCATGCCGACCCCAACCCCATGTTTAGATATTTGCGTTTGAGGGGGACTCTCTCACCATCGGAGGTGGTCACTGTTGAGCCCGGCGTATGTGACGAATGGACCCCATCTTCATTTCTATCTCTATATTGTCCGTTGTTAAATACTAATGCTGCACAGGTGTACTTCTGCCGATTCATTATCGAACCATACCTCTCCTCACCGGAATTGGGCAAATACATCGACTCCGCCGTGCTTGATAAGTATTGGAAGGTGGGAGGCGTTCGTATTGAAGATAACTTGGTCATCACCCAAGATGGCTACCTGAATCTTACAACCGCGCCAAAGGACCCGGAAGAGGTCGAAAGGATTGTGCAACAGGGATAATATGCTCCGTACGCAGTCCCCGTGCCACCATGCTCCTGAGCTGTTGATCTCTGGTTTGAATATATGTAAACCTCTACTCCGTACGGAGTACACATGTAGATATTAACATGTAAATGGGACCGATCTCGCGTATCCGGAAATTGCAATTTGTGCCATCGAATCACAAGCGCTAAGAAGCGAGTACAGATAGGATTAGTAATGATTTGTGGGCATAAGCTGGTAAAGAAGAACAGAAATAATTAAATAGGGAGGCTTTTGGGATTTCCAGAAGAGAAGGTAAAAGTGGCAGCGAGGCCTATAAGGCTGGAGGACGAATGCGACAACTGAGCTAGGCATAAACCGCTCGAAAGGTATCCACATCAATTATAACGCGCAATAGGAGTATACATAGTAACACATAAGAGTAAATGGAAAGAGATTTGATACACAGCAGGTCTCAAAGATGTATTGAACCTTTCCCCTCAACCCATTCTAGCCCTCTTCCTCGCGCTTCCCTTTACCCCAGGGCTGTCAATCTCGCGGTTAGCACGCTTTTCTTTTTGGTCTAATACGAGGTTGAGCACGTCGAAGCCAAACTGTGGATATTGCAAACAAAGGGATCTGAAGTCTTCTTCTGCTTCGTGTCGTAAAACATGGCTTCTTGTAGCCCAGAATGCGGCCACCGGTTTTCGGATGGAATCTCCGGGGTTGGTATGGGTATAGACATATTTTGCATATTCGATTTCGCCCTTCGCGGTACTATTGATCCTGTGGATCTTTCCTTGCGCAAGAGATTTAAGATTGTCGATACCGAGTTTGCCGGCTAGGGTGTATACCCGTGCGTGTTTAAGGAGTTGGTCGCCAGTCTCATCAATATCTGGAATTGATGGATCCGATTCAAGGCCCTCTGTGAGCGATCCTAGCCGTTTGGGAAAGTATTCGCCTGTGTATTGATACTGGAGAAAGCACGCAACGGCGTCTATGGATTCCTCTTCGAGGACAATACGACGCTGGATTCAGAAGATGGGAAACGTTAGAGGCATTTCAAAGAAGCGCGCAGTGGGGGGCAGCGCGTTGTTCAATACAGTGCTGCGCGCTGTGATGCAATTGACTTACCGGGCCATCCTCCGGAAACTGAGACACAAGCTCCGCAAAATAAGGGCTCGAAGTGAGAATTCCTTGATGTGCTGTCAGGATAGTCTGGTCATCGCCTTTTCCTACAACTAGTTCCACAATTGGAGATTTGAGATAGCTATGTAATGCTCAATTAGAAGCTGTTCATCATGCTTCAATTGTGACCTTGCCGCTAGATAACTTGTGATTTAGGGGTACGACCAATTCGCTCAATGATGGACCAACAGCTTATCAAATAGCGCATGGCATTAAAGTAGAATATCCTTACTCTAAGAATCTGTTCTCCTGGGTCGGCTCTGAAGGCGCTATTATCATCTCGTTGTTCTCCTCTGCAGGAATCACGTCGGTGATGGACTCTACACCTTCGGTAGGCTGGGGCTGGGCAGCCGGTGTTTCGCTTGCACTGCTCATTTCCACATCTTTGCTGACTCCAATACCAATTTCAACTCGGGGTTCAGCCATAGCCACTGCTTGGAACGGTAACTCGTCTTTGGCCGGTGAAATTCAAAGTTTGGAAACGCAACGGATATGATGAAGTGCGCAGGACAGCGGTTTACTTGGATGTGGCAATTTCACAGTCCAATTGACTAAGACGAACCTTAGAGAACCGAAGGGATATGTGCGATGCAAGAGAACTCAGAAGGGTGTTACCAGGGGAGAAGTGTGCCGTCAAAAAGCCACTTGGTGCTCTCTCCATCGCGGACCTGCAGGTGCTGAGAAATGCCGCGCTCCACCGCTTTGCTCACTAGTTAGGTTCGCTGGGCGCGCAGCCCCTGTCCCTGTCCTACCCGGCCACACCTAGCCCGATGACTCAGCATTCGTCCCGTGGAGGCTTCCGGGCGCCGGGGGTCTGGACTACATAAGCGCTTGAGCTCCGGACTTTCAGGGCCATTCGAGGCCGAGAATTGCCTGTTCTGCGCTGGAGCGTCCTAGGAAAGATGTTGAGATTCTAGCCACTAGCATCTCGTACGGAGTAGCGGGCGACTCGCGACGGCAGTCACGGAGCACTCCGTAAAGAGTAAACTTAACAAAGTTGAACAGGAGCCTTGGTTGCTGATCTGCTCGCCGGTTCATCAATCCATAGGTACGGAGTACAGAGTATGCAACATTATTTGAACTCGGATCCCAGGAGAATTGACCCAGGCTTCAGTGGTACCAGGGACCATGCGTCTCATTATTTGCTGATTCCTTTGCGGTATTGGTGAGTTATTGTAATGTACAGGCATATTCAAACGTTCTTTTATCCATAAATGCGTATCTCACGTTCTTTCCGGGGCTTCTTTTTCAACGGATTCCTGCAGAAAAGGCTCTTCAATACCCCTGGCATCAAGCTCAACGAGCTTATCGACCCTTTGGTTTGACCTGAAGATACCTTTTTCCCCGCCTACATGGTGTGCCATTGAAACCTCCTCTAAAGGCGCCAACTCTGTGAGCACCTTTCGCATATACAGAACAATCTGGGAGATGTTATTCCAGTCAACATCCTCTCCCCTACCCTGCGCATCCGTATAAGATCCTTTATACAAGTTTCGCCATACAGCAGCTGCGAGGACAGCATCTCCCTTCACCAGCCCTTCGTCATATGCCGCTAAGACACCACGCCACTGAATGAACAGATCTTTGAGATATTTGACGCGGATCGGACGGGATACAATGCCGTGCATGACATCCATGCGGTCCTCAGCGTGGTTGGAAAAATGGTCGAAGAGGTGGCGGGCGAAAGTCTGGAACGATTCAGGGGATGGGAGGGCACGGAGGCGGACAGTTATGAGGTACATGTGTAAAAATGTGACTTGCGACCATGATGAGAAAGTCGGGAGGAGACCGAGTTCTGTTGCGTTGACCTCGTCAGTCCAAAAATCACTCATCACCCTTGTAAACCTCTCGGGGCGCGCATCAGGTGTGTGAAATTTAACGCTAGAAGACACTAACCTTCGTACCACCAGCCTTCTCCTACTCCCAAATCTTCTCCATTGGCAGTTTTGGGGATTTCAGCACCCTTTTGCGAGATCTGTGGGATCTTGTAGTCCGCCTGCGCGGAACAGGCCTCGAAAAGTTTCTTTGTAATACCATAAGCAATATATGTCTCTGTGGAACGCAAGCCTGAACTTCTATGGCGAGTTGCTAAAGGCGATTTAGGCAAAGGTATTGGATCTTTCAGGGGCGATGGCTTGGGAGATTTCGGAGACGTGGATGCGTAGCGGCGGGACGAAGATCTCGCTATTCGGCTGGGAAACCAAGGGCGCTGTACAATCGGCTTATGTAGAGCCTCAAAGTGAGGTTCAAATGGAATAAATTTCGCATCCTTCAAATCCAGAAAGAATTAGCAACATTTTACCCGATGGGTCGTGGAATCATTCGGCTTCAATATGATACCTGAAGGGCTCGTGGCAGCTGTGTCAGCGACCTTGAGCATTGCGCAAGCGGCCTCACAGCCATTTGTTGGGAGCAAAAATGACAACAAATTAGATTGAATACAATATTACGGTCGCCAGGGAATGACGACTTTGGTTGAAACTCTTGTGAAATAACAAATTCCGCGCCGATGTGAAATAATTTGGTTGTTTGGTAACTAATAATGTTTGCAGTGTTTGACAAACTAGATTGGACCATTAAATCGTTTCCGCCGTTCTTAATCCAACGGCTCCTCCCGAGACTCGGAAAGTAAGGTGGTTTCGCCAATGCTATATCTATCTCAGCGGCGTCCCGAGTATAGTCATTAGCTCTAATCGAAGCCTGTCGACGTGGTATCATACAGGTGAAACGCCATTCAAAATGCAGTCTTTTCTTGCTGCAGGACAATGTGTGATGAAGGATCTTTTGATCTCTCCAGAGGATCGAAAAGCGATAATGCGAAAGCATTCGTATAGCATATTGTTGATAGTATCCCACCTCACTCAGGCAGCACAACCTTCTCCAAGCTACTGGCTACTAATGGGATTATCTCGGTCAATTTGTTGGGGTCTCTCATCATGGCTGGTACATCCTCGCGTGTCGCGGCGAGAGTCTGCCGCTGAGTTAGATTTGCGACTTTTTCCGCGAGGCACAGAGGGATCATGCATACCTGTCGAACAGCATCATAGCTTTCCTCCTTCGAGGTGTATTCTCTAATGACTTCCCGCGTATCCAAATCTATGAAGATCCTGGTATCCCTGAGGCGGAAGAGAACGTTGTCTAGCCGCATGAAGAACCTGCAGAGCAATAATAGGCACGATGGCATTACCCTGATTTTGCAGGATAGCATTGAAATCCCGTTATCGGCCAGCTCGTCTTCATAAAGCATTACATCATCAAAGAAGAGTATCGGGTCTGGCCGTTTTAAGCGGTCAAGCGGCAACGGCGTCGTCGAAGGTTCAAATTCGTTCCCGTTCGAAGTCACAGTTCCCTTATAATCTGTCGTGTAAGACCAATCAAAAGGTTTCACAACTTCCTTTATTCCCTCATGTGTCTTCTCTCTATGTAGTGCAGTCAGCAACATAGATATCAGGAAATGGAATGTGCAAGCAGATACCACGCACCGGCTCTTCTGCCATTCTCTTGAATACGCCACCTTCAATGCACATTGCCCCGTCTTGTCGACTCGGTCCAGGGCATCGAAGGCGTTAAACTTAATCCCCCATCCGGACTGCGGGTGCTCAATCGATACTAAATTGTCGCCAAATATCATCTCTGGTGGGGCAATTCCAAGCTTGTTTGTCATCGCATCAATCGGGCCAGCCTTGAGAATCGGTAATTTGCGAGTGGTTATCTTAAAGCCATTCTTCTTAATCGAATTGAAGTTTGGAGTCTCGGGAGATGGAAATTGAGTATCGAGCGGGCGATCCGGGCTGGGGCGCGGGGGAAACACCTGGTGTTCTGCCATGCTTCCTTGGAGTGCGATCTGGGTTGGGATCTGGGATTCGGCGTAGGAAATAAACCTGGGGAAAAGACCAGCGCGCTTGTAAATCGAAGGAATTCCGGTTGGTTGACAGGAGTGTAGCCGTGTTCCCGATGTCTTACGTCTGGTGGTTCTCCACCCCGCCAGACGCCAAGGCCAAAGTCGCAACGAGGAGACCGGAGTGGCTTGTTGCTATGGCGACCGAACTGGGACCAGCGGGTAAACATGAAGCTAAGAACTATTTCTTCCTCTCGAATTCCTGGATCTTGCCTTTCGACTCTCGACCAGAATACAGCATTACCTCCCTATTAATTTTTTTTGGCTACTGCTTTCCTTTAATTCCGTTCGCAATACCCTACGGATACGTTGCGCTCTTAGAGATGGCAAAGACACTAGAAGCTCGATTTGAACAGCTGTCAGTTAATGACGAGAATACTCCACCAAGTGGCCACACTGGCTCAGAAAAACCCAAGGTATCTTCGGTAGAATCCGATATTGTTTCGCGAAATGACGCTGACAAGGCTGTAGCCCGGTTTACCAAAGGCTCTCCCAATATCAGGCTTGTCCACTGCCAGCCAGGCCTCACTAAACGCCGGCCGCGCGAACCTATTAAAATTTGCGCTACAGAACAATGAAGGAAGGCTGCATCTGAATACTGCTTCACCTCCATATAAAAAGGAGAACGGGTCTTCCCGTCCCCCCGAGGAGAGCAGTGCTGCAAGCAACCTTTACGGCCAGCCAGCGGTCGCGAAAAACTGGCATCTTGGAATGTTTGAGATTGGAAAACCCCTTGGTAAAGGGAAGTTTGGACGGGTTTATCTCGCCAGAGAGCGGAGTTCGGGCTTTGTTTGCGCCCTGAAAGTTCTTCATAAGCATGAGTTGGTGAAAGGAGGCGTCGAGAAACAGTTGCGGCGAGAGATTGAAATTCAGAGCAACCTCAGACATCCCAACATTCTACGTCTGTTTGGTCACTTCCACGACTCGAAGAGAGTGTTCCTGATTCTTGAATTCGCCGGGAACGGAGAATTGTATAGACATTTACGAAAGGAGAATCGATTTCCAGAGTGGAAAGCCGCACAGTACATTGCACAAATGGCGGCTGCGTTGAAATATCTACACAAAAAACATGTCATGCACCGGGATATCAAGCCCGAAAACATCCTTGTCGGGATTCATGGAGAAATTAAAATCAGCGACTTTGGCTGGAGTGTCCATGCCCCTAACAATCGGCGAAAAACGATGTGCGGTACCCTTGATTACCTGCCACCGGAGATGCTCATCCCTGGAAGCCAAGACAACTACTATGATGAAAAAGTGGACTTGTGGAGCTTGGGTGTTCTCACCTACGAATTCCTCGTTGGCGAAGCTCCTTTCGAAGACACTCCTTTTCTAACTCGGAGGCGCATTGCGCGAGGTGATATGACGATTCCTTCCTTTGTGAGCTCAGAGGCAAGGGACCTGATCAAAAGAGTGGGTCCAGTTTTGATTATCCATCTTGGGCTGAAAGCTAACTCCTCACTAGTTGCTAGTCCTTGACCCCTCCAAGCGTATTCCTCTAGATGAGGTTCAAAAACACCCATGGATTATCAAACATTGCATCAAAGGCGAAAGAGCATCACAAAGAAGTTCCAGAAAGGAAGCAAAAGGAGATAATTGACGTTTTATGAGCGAGCATTTGTTGTTTCTTTCCCATCTGTTCTTTTTCTTTTTTTTTCTTTGACATTTTGGCATTTTGGGAGCATGGGGCGCTTTCGGCTATGCCAGTGCAATTAGCGTGCGGAGTTGCAGGTTAAAAACAGGGCACTGAGCCCCGTTAATTTCGTTATTCGGAGGATCTAATGTTACATGGAATCTATAATGGTATATTCACAAAAATCCACACCTGACGCCATAGTTATGTCGAAAGCATGTGATTATCGAGTTTGGATTTCATCACCGGTAAATCTCATCAAACGGCCTGGTATCTCGAAAACAACTGTCCCAAACTTCATTTACAACCTGAGTGGCGTGCTGCTCATCCTTGCAAGCTGGCCTCGCTTGGACGGATAGTATGGCTCTCCGTCTCACACATTCTTGGTGATGCTGAGCGAATTTCCATTGTCCTCGGGAAAAGAATTCCCTCATCCACCTACACTCCCCGCTCAAATTACTTGCGCGAATCTAATACGATAGGCGGTTAGATATGCCCTCCTTCTCAACGGATTTAACAAATCATGCATTGGGGGGGGGGGGGGGGGGGGGGGGTTTACCTCAGCGCAGGCAGCATGTCTCAGGTTGTCGTCCCAGTCCACCTTAAATCTCATATGATCGTATGCATGAATCATTTCATGCGCTAGAGTATCCTCCAGGTGCCCTTGATTTCTCATTTCATTGGCACAAATCTGAATTCCATAGTCGGGATCGAAGCCGCCAGCCTGTCGGTTCTTACACCGCCGACAGAAAATGTTGTGTTTTGAAATATTTCCACCGAGTTGTTGGATATTATCCTGAAGAAATCGAATTAATGGACCTAAAATTAGAGTAGTAAAGATGTTAGCAACATCTGAGAGTCGGAGGGAGCAGGCTTCGGAACGCCGTACTGTATTGAAGGAGGTAATCTCTTTGGTCTTCACAGCGTTTGCAATCTTCCTTTTCATTCCTAATATCTCTCGCAACCCGGAATTGCTCCATTCCTTCTTGTGTCATCTTCCCTGTAAGGCCTCGCCAAAGGTTGCGACAAATTGTCCAGGCATCGTCGCCGGGAATATATCCGTTGTCCTTTGGGGGACTGGTTGAGTTGGAGCCGGACGAAGCAGCCTCTGCCATTGAATATTAGCAGTATATCAATCCGGTCCACTCCGTAAATAAAGGAATATCACGTATTAGAAAGATTCTGATTTGGTATTGCTCGCGAGTGAACTACTTCGGCCGTTGAGCACGCCGATGTGTTTATTGCGGAATAAACCCTGAAACATTCAGCGGTGTCGGGCGGCAGAATAATTGGATAACTAGCTTTGGCTAACAAAGCCTGCGGCAACCACATCTGTCAATCCGAAAATTCCCAGTGGAGATCTGCAGGTTTGAGCCGTTACCGCCCGATGATTGCGGGTGTCGTTTTTAGCAGCCTGTTCCTCTTTTATTGCACTTGGATTATTTCCTGGAGAAGAGATTCATGAAAAACGCCTGCGTGGTTGATATGAAAGCCAGTGCGAGGCATAGGTTAAACTTGGTCCAAGATGAAGGGAACCTCGAAGGCATTGACCATTGTGATAAAGCTCGGTGAGTGAGGGGTTTACCGCGGGCCTCGATCATATGTCATGTCATGAAGCGCAGGCTAATCGCCTTTTCCAGGGACGAGTTCAATTGTGGATGAGCATACCCGTGAGCCGATTCTTTCGATCCTTACTCTGATCGTGGAGATGGCGACCAAACTTCATAAGGATGGCCATCGAGTCATTATCGTCTCGTCTGGAGCGGTCGGCGTTGGGCTACGCAAAATGGACATTGAGCAGAGACCCAAACATTTGCCCTGTATTCAGGCATGTTGATGCGACGCCGTGAGCAGGAGCGAGCTCCGGAGCTAACTTTTCTAGGCTTTGGCTGCTGTTGGACAGTGCCAGTTGATGGGTATATGGGATAGTCTTTTCGCTCATCTTCGCCAGCCCATTGCCCAAATATTGTTGACAAGAAACGATATTGCGGATGTAAGCTTGACCGCTCGAATTCGACGATCCTTGTACACTAACGGCCGAACAGAGGACCCAATATATTAATGCTCAAAATACCTTTGATGAATTGCTAAAAATGGGCGTGATTCCTATTGTGAACGAGAATGATACCCTTGCTGTTTCGGTTCGACACCTCCAAAAAGTGTTGCTAAAGGGCACCTAAATTAACCAACAATTCACTTTTAGGAAATAAAATTTGGAGATAACGATACCCTTTCTGCCATTACAGCTGCGATGGTCCAAGCGGATTACTTATTCCTTTTGACTGATGTCGATGGCCTATACACTTCTAACCCGCGAACCAACCCCGATGCCGAGGTTATCGAAGTGGTTGATGATATCTCGTCTCTTGAAGCTGACGTTTCGACAGCCGGATCCTCCTTAGGCACGGGGGGAATGAGCACCAAAATTGTGGCAGCCCGACTAGCTACAAGTGCAGGTGTCACAACCGTCATTACACGCAGTTCTCGGCCTGGAAACATTTCGGAGATTATAGATTACCTCGAAAGCTCCAAGCGCTCGCTGGCCCTTATCGAAGGAGAGCCGATGGCTCAGCCTCCTCTATATACCCCTCCGTTACACACCCGTTTCCTCCCTTCGACCACTCCGATGCAATCCAGATCGTTCTGGATTCTCCATGGAATCACACCTCATGGCACAATATATATCGACCATGGTGCTTACTGCGCTATTTTAAACAACGCAAGCCTTCTTCCGGCCGGCGTCGTGGCAGTCGAGGGGCACTTCTCCCAACAGGAAGCGGTGCGGGTCGTAGTCGTCGAGCGGCGCTCCGCATCGGCTCTCAATGGGGATTTCCCTCTGAACGGCGAGGAGCCAAAGGAAGCCGGACGAGCGCTCGTAAATTACGGCAGTGCGGAGATCGCCCGTATCAAGGGGTTAAGAAGTACACAAATACGGACAGTTTTGGGCTACGCAGATAGCGAGTACATTGCGTTGCGCGAGAATATTTCCTTTTTCCACATGTCAGATCGACCTAGTCGGCCCGGTACGCCCGGTTTGGATGAGTTCATGGTTCGAAGCGGCGCGCAGTCTCCTGTGATCGATAAGGTAGTGGCAGCCTAGAAAATGGCCCACTACCCGCGCTTTTTTCTATTTTGTTTATATTCACTTCATTAGTGTTGGAGAAGGCCAAGCCAATGAGCCGCTCTGGTTCTTTAGATTCACTGTTTATATTTTATATCTCATGACCCATGTATAGAATTTGATGACTTCCACATATAGAGGCGCCTTGTCGCCGATTGCTTAACAGCATAATGATGATATCATAGCTCTGTCTAATGCAAGAAAGGAAACTATTCATAACCATTGACAAAGGATGAACTCGGTAGTTTACAATGTGTTCCTAATTAGGTTCCTAGAGGTAGAATAATACATGGCCCCTTACAAATCCAGGCGCTGTGATTTGCAACTCAAGCCAAAGCTGCCCAGATAAAACTCTGTGCGCTGATTACCCTATCCCAGAACGCCTCATTCATTAACTATAACCTTCCTATATATTGACCTGGACCCTATAAAAGAAATGGAACAAAAGGCTATGTATTAATCTTGCCATCTTTTCAAAAATCTTTGCATCTCATCATCTTCATGATCAGCAGCAGCAGCCTAGGTTTCATAGAAAGAATGAATTAGCATCCGCACCATAACCAGGACAACTCCGGCTGGGTTCAAGTTCTGGCTCTGAAAACTCACAGTATTCTCGATTTGCTTGACAGTTTCAACTGGCGGACGGGATATAGTGGTCATAACTTTTGCCACAGGCAGTTTTGTCGTCGCGATCTTATACTCGCTTGTAGGGAACAATGGCGCAGCAGACTTGAGAGTAATTTTGGTTGGTGGTGGCTTTGGAACGGGCGCATACCTTGTCGGCCCAGTTTGCTCGTTATATGGTAGATCTGCCTGAGCGCCAGGAGGAACTGCACCGACTTGTCGTTTGTGGAGGTTGTTAAAAGTACGTGGACCTGTGGTTGTGCCAGAGATTGCTTTAAGTGCTGCGGCGATATGTGGAGGGAATGCGCCAGTCATGCCGGAAATTGTGAAACGATGAGAGTAGAAGGAAATGGTGCCATTGGAAGCCTCAACAGAGAATTGGAGAAAACTATCATGAGGTCAGATTGTATGCGGTGACAGTTAGGAAATGTATGCAGGGTGCGCACTATGCATTGGGGCTCTCGCCGCCTAACTTGGGATCGACGACAGCGGAAAATGAGTTCATCTCCTGAAGGAGACCTTGTTCAACTAAAGGCATTAATGGCTCCTGTTTGCGTGTTTGTGGATTCATTAGTCTTTGGTCCCAAGAAGACATCTATCAACATATGACGTGCGTGTAACAGGAGACAGGCCCAGACCAACTCACATAGGTGTCGATATCATTACCACCAGCACAGAGATAAAGGTTATACTGCTTTGACTCAAGCTGGGTTTCTGGCCCTTCAGAGTACTTCCATTCGACATGAAGTGGCTTGCCTCCATAGGTAACTGCTCCAGCTGTAGGCCGAGCGAACTGGACCGGTGATGCAACAGCCCTCAAAGGGCTCGCCAGGAACAGGAGGGGGGTATAGAACAGCTTCAGTTTCATGATGCAAGGGGTTTAGCAAGCAACAGCAAGCTTAGAAACGCGCTCTCGCCAGTCAGAATGTGTGTTCAGCTAGTCGATGTTGTGCGCGTGGCGTGAGAGAGTTGGGGATGATGTGTTCCGCTCCCATCATTTGTGACAGGAGGAACTACGTAATCCTCCCATTGTTATTTGACAGTGGACAACATCATCCACTCCCTGAGGTAATGTTACATCTGGGTCAGCATACAGAGTAAAGGTATAAGCTTTACAGAGTATCCGGAGTACAGAAAAAATAATTCCCCCCTGGGCCCTGCCTTGAAAAGTTGAAAATGTTGACGGATTGTAGCGGCTTCATATTTCTTTTGCCGATGCGGAACGGGTGCGCTAGCTCGCTTCTCGGAAACTTTTGAATGTTAATGGCCTCATAGTACTCCGTACTCCGTACACACTACGGAGCTACCGAAGGTATCCCCGTCTATAAAAGGCCGGGAGCCTGCTCCACAGACAAATTTTATCCCCAGTGTTTTCACCGCTCCAGGAGCATCTTCACCACATACCGCAATGGAATGGGCCTCTGTGAGCGCCGTCCTTACATTTCTTCTCTCCGGAAATGGTCTGGCCATCTTGGTGACTTGCCTTGTGGCATTCTCGCTCCCGATCTTAATCCATCTAGTACTCTACCGTGCAGCTTCCGCGGAAGGCCACCATGACTTCTTACTTCTTGGCCCGAGTGGCTCGGGGAAGACAGCATTTTGCACACTTGTAAGAATGACTCGACGTCGAAGAATATTTGAGGTCATGCATCCTAATCTCTTTTTGCGCCAGCTTGAGCGAAAGTCCACCAGAGCTCCCAAATCGAATGCGCGAACACATACGTCCCAAACCCCGTCCTTCGTTGGCGCGACACTGCCCCCATCTATCCCGATAGGCTCAAACGCCTTCCGATCGGTGAATGATCCAACTCTTGCCGAACGCAAGAAATCACAAGTTAAATACCGAGTTCGAGACACACCTGGGCATGGAAAATTACGAGACTCCCAAGGCATGTTACAATTAACCTCCATGGCCGACCCCAAGTCCAAAAAAGGTGTCGCCCGTGGAGTTATTTTCATGGTGGATGCCGGTACGATCATGAACGAGACTGAACTGAGAGATGCGGCGGGATACCTACACGATGTGCTCTTGATCCTACAAAAAAGACTCGCAAAGAGTAAGACCAGCGTCTTCAGGAAATTACAAGACATTCCGGTCCTTGTTGCTGCAAATAAGCAAGATCTATTTACCGCTCTACCGGCCAACTCCGTGAAGGAAAGATTAGAAGCGGAAATTGAGAAGATCCGCCAATCAAAACGCAAAGGTGTGCTTGACGCGGACGTCAGTGTAGGTGATGACGAACAGGATGTTCTGGGCGGCGACGAAGGACGGCAAAAATTCACCTTTAAACTATTGGAAGAAGACGCGGGCGTAAAGGTCACCGTTGTTGGGGGTGCGGTCAGACCAAATGACGAAGCCGATGCAGGAGCCGGCGTCCGACAATGGGAGGAATGGATCGGTTCTTGTTTGTGATAGAGAATATTCAATGTTTATCAACATACATCCACGAGCGACGGCGCATTGCATCACCCTGTGTGTACATTTCCGGGGCTAAATCTCGAGGGAGATTTAACCCCTGGCTTTCCACCTAACCATTTGCTTACTGGTAGCATCCCCTTATACCACGCTGGAGAGGGTCAACCCGTACCATCTCCAATGCCCATGGTCGAAGCACATGAAGTCCCCAGTAATAACGGAATCCCATGACAAATGGCCGCCTAGTCAGCTATGGTTAATAGCAAATGGTCAGTTTTCGATCCTTGTCATTCTCAAGCCTAATAGCTGCAAAAATTGCATTCCTGTACCCTCTGTTGAACTGAAGGATTGCGGGGTGGAATGCAAAGAGCCCATATAGCTCATACTTTGTATGAGAAATGTCACTTACACTTGTTTAGACCCGATAGGTGTTTTAAGCCGAGAGACCTAAGTGAAACATTAGAAAATACCCAAGCTACTACAGAGTGCATGTATGGTTTGGTCATTATCACTATGTGCTGTTAAAGGAATATTTGCTAGATCATTCACCAAAACCCAAGGTCGCTTGTTGAAAACTGCTCTCTTTGCAAATTGCGCACAAAATGCCACCCTAATAGAATGTTCAGATGTATCATACAGAAGAGTGCATGCGCTTCGAAACAGCACCTATAATAAGTGCAAACGTAAGCAAGTCTATCATCATCACGTACATTGCAGCTGGCTGCTCGCACAAGGAAAGGCCGTCACTGAAAATTGAAATCAAGCGTTGACTTTTGTTTGGTTTAAGAGCCACGTCAACAGATCAACCTTAGTAGCGACAGCCACAGGCTTCATATTTCCCTGTTCGTCTCTTTCGGTAACCACCGCAGCGCTGTTCCACTCGAAGAAGCGGTTCAATGTGCTAAGGGGTGTGTCGAGGGTGATTTCGATGAACTTGCGGTCCTCTTTTCCTCTCCTATGGACGGCGTTCTGTTCAAGCTTGGTTAAGTCACGAGAGTCTGTAATCACCTCGGATAGCTTTGAAAAGTCAAACATGACTTCGGAGACGGGCGTTTTGCCGGTTGCGCGTCCACGGGCGATCCAACTTAGAATGTTCCCAAGTGTAATGAGGCCAACTAGGCGGCGGCCGGTGGGAGCAAGTACGGGGAGTTGATCGAAGCCCTTCTCGCGCATAATTTCGATGGCAGCCTCGCAAGCAGAGTCGGAAGGTACCGTAGATACGGGCTTGAGTCTCAAAGCTTTGACCTTGACGCCAGCGAATTGATCCCGGGGGCCCTTAGGTTGGATTTCGGGGGACGGGGGAACGGATACTGGGGCGGCTGGAAGGAGGTCATTGGCAGCAAGCCAGTCATCGTCAGCGAACTAGGTAATAGTCAGCCATGCTTTAAAGATAAAGAGAGCTGGGAGACAAGAGAAGAGGATCTTACTTTTGTGAGGTAGCTTCGGATGCTGTCAGGAAGAATAACGACGACGACATCATCCTTCTGGAATTTGAAGTCCTTTGAAGCTTGCGCTAGTGCAGCAATGGCGCTGCCACTGCTTCCACCAACCAAGAGGCCTTCTTCGGCAATCAGTTGTCTCGCATATTTGAAGGACTCCTTGTCGCCGGTTTTGTACCACTTGTCGACAGCTTGTCGGTCAAGAACATCCGGAATGAAGTCATATCCAATCCCTTCAACTTTGTAGGGCTCGTTTTTGTGCTCTTCATTTAGCGACTCTGGCAAGGCAAGGATTGATCCCTGAGGGTCGGCAGCGATCACTGTGACTTTAGGATTATGTTTCCTCAGACCACGAGACAGGCCGGTAATTGTTCCGCCCGTCCCTGCGCCTGCAACGATAGCCGTTACCTTCCCATCCGTTTGGGTCCAAACTTCCTCCGCGGTACCGAACTCGTGGGCCAATGGATTGTCTTCATTCCCATACTGATCCAGGATGTGTGCATTTGGCAACTCCTTCTCTAGCCTCTTGGCTACTCCGATGTGGGATTCCGGGGAATCATAGGCCGCTTCGGTTGGTGTACGGATAATTGTAGCGTTCAAAGCACGGAGGACAGCAACCTTTTCCGCCGACATCTTCTCTGGTAACGTAATGATGGTCTTGTATCCCTTGACGGCTGCAACGAGGGCCAATCCAATGCCACTATATCCAGCGCACGTCAGCGTATACGATTCAAACTTAATGATGACACCTCCGTAGCGAAGTTTTCTCAACCTACGTGTTTCCACTGGTAGGCTCAATCAACGTATCCCCGGGCTTTATTCTTCCCTTGCGTTCGGCCTCCTCTATCATCCGCAAAGCAATTCTGTCCTTGACGCTCCCTCCGGCATTGAAGAATTCCAGCTTCGCATACACAGTGGCTTCGATTCCGAGGCTCCTGGGGATCTTGTGCAGCCTCACAAGAGGGGTATTGCCTATTTGCTCGGTGACAGACCCCATGGCTGTTGGAGGGCTTCTGGTTGAGCTCTGCGCCATTTTGTCAAGTTGCAAAGTTGAACACCTCCAGTGCTATTATCGCGAAAAGTAAACGACAAAAGGAATAAAGTAACAGGGTATCTATTGCACCCTGGCTAGTTTGTGGTATAGTCTCATTGTCCCTGAGAGAGGAATTATCTCTGATCGCGGGGTATCGCATCAGTCTATCCAGACAACCAGGTAAGCTTTTGCGAACCAGTGGGCCGCTTGTAGCCGAATCGACTTGGCTCACGACGCAAACCTTCATTGCTTTCACCAGTACTCGGTACTCTCATGACAATGAGGTCCGCAACTTCGAATCAATTGATCTTGACAGAGGTCGGGAGGGATAAGCATGGCTTTTTTGAAGTATGCTGTGCCGCCCTTCGGCCTTTTAACTGCACACCATCTCATCTTGTGTTCGATTCGATAACAACTAGCAAAGTCTGGGCATTTTTTAGTGCGCGAATTGCGACAGGCAAACTAACTACATATAACTCGACAGGCTCCGTCGCCATAGTCATCCCGTCTCAGGAAAATCTCCGGAGTGATTTGGTTGAGGATGTCCAAATGCCAATGGCAACAATGGATTTATTAATAACCCATGATTTTTTCTGAAGGTCAGAGTGGAAGTGAATATGCTGACCCTTGCGGGCTCCTGTTTCAGCGCCATCACAAAAGCATCCGGCAATCAGACACCCACCAGGGGGGTTCAAGCTGTTAAATAACCAAATGCTTCAGGAGCTAAAGTGGATCGAGAGCAATCAGCTCACCATGAGGCCGACAACTCGTCGCTGACCCTTGCGCAGCTTCTCTCTCTTCTCGGTTCTTTTACAATTGGCCACTCTTTCACTTACCCCCTCGCCCGAATTCTCTTCATCACACCCCTTTTCATTCCATTTTCTTCTTTCTATCATTCATTTCATCAATTATTAACCAGCACCTGGTTCCCAGTGAAATTTTCTTTGCCTATCTCTTCTCTTGAACTTGACTGTGGTAGCAATGTGCACTGAAGCTCGTTCGTCGCTCAAGGAAGCTTGTTAAAACTTGCTAATATTACTTGCCTTTTTTCACTTATGCCCAATTTTTAGGAAGAACACTACAGTTGAAAAAATACTGATAAACTCTCCTTATGATTCCAAGATGAGCACACTTCAATTAGAACCTGATCCTCCGGGTCCGTCTGATACTGCCTCGCCGCGATCCTCGAAAATGTCGGAAAAAAAATCAGCATTCGATTCTTCCGCTGCATCATGCTAAAGGACGGGCACTTTTTCGTGTCGAGACAGCTGGAGAGAGCGGGAGAACCGGTTTCGACCCCCTTTTATTTCTAAAGGTGTGTTGGAAAAGCACAACGCCAGTTTCGATGTACGTCAATGTGCTCTGGCCATTTGTTCCTCCCGCGATAGTGCTGCATTTTGCCCGACCGGATCTACATCTATGGATTTTTATTTTGAATTACATTGCGATGGTCCCGTCAGCGAATATTCTCGGATTTGCTGGTGGAGAATTGGCTAGGAAAATGCCTAAGGTCTTGGGCGTATTGGCAGAAACTCTTTTGAGCGGCACGGTTGAGATAGTCCTCTTCATGGTCTTAATTTCCAATGACCACAATAACAATCTTATCCCGGTTATACAAGCTGCGATTCTAGGATCTATCCTGGCGAATCTTCTTCTTTGCTTGGGGTTCTGCTTTTTCATGGGGGGATTGCGCCGCGATGAACAAACCTTCCACGAAGTAATTAGCGAGACTGGTTCTGGCCTTATGTTGGTTGCTGGTTTCGGCCTGATGATCCCCAGCGCGTTTTATTCTGCCCTAGCTGGTAGCACGTCGTCTGAGGGCGCTTTTACGGCAGACGTGTTACTTCTCAATACTCGGACCATCAGTCGTGCCACCTCCGTCATTCTTTTAGTTGCATTTTTCTTGTAAGTGTACCTCGTCTTTGCAGAGGACCTTGTGCGACTAACCAGTCTAGATTTCTCTGGTTTAACTTACGGAGTCATCACGGCATCTATGACGAAGTACTTGAGTTTGACGAAGCCCAAGATGAAGACAGAGTGGAAGAGCAGCGACGGGCTAAGCTCACTTTCATCGAGTGCGTCTTCGCCATCCTGGTTTCTCTCACATGCGTCTCCCTCCATGCTGTCTTCCTCGTTCAGGAAATCCCACCAATAGTTGAGCGTGGAGTTTCGGATAACTTCATGGGGCTCATCCTCGTGCCGCTGGTTGAAAAAGCGGCCGAGCATTTAACCGCCATTGACGAAGCCTGGTAAGCCACAACCGATCATACTTCTGTTTTGTTGTAGAGCTCTACTTATCTTTCCCTTTAGGGACAACCAAATCAACTTTGCCTTATACCATTGCCTCGCCCCATCCATCCAAACCGCCCTTTTCAATGCACCACTTGTCGTTGTGGTCGGCTGGGGGTTGGGCAAGCAGATGGACCTCAATTTCGAGATTTTCATGATTGTACTCTTGGTGCTTTCGATTATCGTTGTCGGTAATTTCCTCCGTGACCGCAAATCCAATTACTTGGAGGGAGGTCTTCTTGTTCTTGTATACATGATTATTTCAGTTACGACCTGGTACTACCCAAACCCACACGACGGCGCAACAAATCTGCAGCTGCCTCATGATAGCGCAGGCGAACATTAGAGGATATTATCGGCATTCACCTCGCGAGCAATGAGATGTATTAGGAGCTTGTACATATGTTTCCCGGAGGGACAACGCGCCGCATATTACCAAAACCTAGAAGTTTTAGGGTGTGGGGGACTTTGATATGTCTTCAACATTCCGGGTTTGAACGGTTCCGGGGAGACCTGACATGGAAGTTTTCCCGGCTCCACACATTTTCCATCCTTTGATATCGTAGTCATTTCCATCATGTTGGAACTATACGCTCATAGGTCTTAGTGTAAATAGTTTTCTAGACTTTGTTCGTTGATAGCGTGAATCAAGTCGACAAAGAGCTGTCTCTCGCTAGAAGAAACCCATTATCCATGTAGATAATGCAATACAACGCCTTTACCGGCCGTAAGACACTATTCTATATCATTAACTACTTGTCAAGCTACTTGTATTATGCACAATGCCCGATGTCAAAAGCCCCACTTGGATTGTTTGCGGTCAGGCACCAGCAGGCTTGGCATGAAGCTTGTTGTTTGCAATTGGCATTCATTCCCGTGTTCACGACGTCTCCTCCAGATCCGTACGAGGGAGGGCAGTACAATAAAATGGAGGAAGAAGTTATTGCTATTCTTAAAAGTCGAGGTATCCCGTTCAAATATGAAGATATCCGAACTGCTCTCGAGGATCCGGGGACCAGGGATTGGGTCCGGAAACATCTCGGCGATGACACCTTGCTTTCCAGGGAAGAATTGACTCTGTAGGCATATTTACCTCACGCCTTTCTTTGCCATCGATATCTGATCGTGTTCCATTGCTATTGCAACAGATATTCTAGGATAGAGGCTTCTGCGGGCCTCGATGCTATCGTTCAAGGGAACGAGTTTTCCGGCACGAGACCAGTTCTCGACGATGAGATCAAGACAGCAACCGAGTCGCTCAAAGCGTCAACCTCAGCGACTGAGAGCCAAACCGAGGCCTTGAGGCTGCAGTGTAGGGAACTCAAGTCGCAGATTCGTGAAGCCGAGCAAGTTGAGCAGCAATGCTCAAAATCGGCCTCAAGAATGTCAACTGGACATACAGCGGAGAGGCAACAAACTGACTTAGAGGTAATATCAGCCAAAATCGCCTTCTGATGGTTTAATTATTGACACTTTCCTAGATTGAAGATTTAATACATGACTTTGAAGAAAAGTTACAAGCCGCGCAAAAAACACTGTCTACAGATCAAAATAACCTGATTTCAACCACGTCTAGTTTACTGAGAGAGCATGATGTAGTACTTCGTAATATGGAAAAGGTGGCGGCGAATTCACAATCCGTTGAAGAGAGCAGCCTCTTGAAGAAGCGAGTCAGCGATCTGTGTGCTCTTCTTGCAAGGTACATTGCCGAAGAGATTAGTTGCCGCTTAGATCGAGTGTTCTTGGAGACAGTTGAAAGTGCGAAGGATTCGGAAGATGATGATCCTCATGTCTTGGAAAAGCTTGAGAGCGTGGACGCGGAGATAAACTCACTCTATCCCGAGATAAGCATTCTATCCGATATGGCAGCTCGGCAGCAATTTCATTCTCCGATACTACGAGTGCTCGAGGAGTGGCAAGAGAGATCGCAGCTGGGCGTCGAGGAACAGCTGCAGCATGTACGCTTCCCCCTGCATGGATCAAATTTAATCACTAATAGCCCCTGTAGGTCCTTGAAACCATTATCCAGTTGACTGAATCGACCGACAGTATTACGGAAAAGCTTAAAACCCGACAGGCTCATCAGTCTGCGCTTAACTCGCTTGCTTCAACTTATCAGGACGAGGTTGGTCTCCACAAGCTCCAAAAAGCAAAGCCAGAGAACAAGCGATTATCAAAATATAGCTCAAGATTGTCGCAAGCCTACGCGAGCCCGCGAGAATCTATGGAAATGAAGCCCGATTCCGCCGAAAACGAACTGACACGCTCTCTGGAGACCATGCTCAGACGTTATGGTATCTCATTCTCTTCGTTACGGAATGCAAAATCGACTGAAGCAGTAAACGATATTCTCAATGAAAAAGCCTCACACATGTTGGAAATGCTCGAAAATATCTATGCAACAGCAGCCTCGCCTCTCATTCCAAATCTGGGTTCTGCCGACAAGGCTGCGCAGCTCCTTTCTTCCGCCATGCATTGCGATTCTGATTTTGAGCCTTCCTTAGTGGACAGGGATCAACAGCAGAGAATTGCGAATTTGGAGATGCAGATTGGGGCCGTTCAGAAGGGCATCGAGAGCTTGAACACGGATATCTTGCACCAATCGGATCTCGCTCGGGAGAATTTCATGGAACGATGGGGGTGAAGGGTCATGCCGTTTCAAGAGGCGACTACATAGCATCAAAATAATCATAACCTCTGTTGAGCTCTACTCGAACATTTGCAAGATCCAAATCGACTCGCGCAATATGTGTGAATGGCCGAAAGGGAAAATGAACGTCCATGACTAATTAAGCGCGTGAAACTCCCACCGAACGCCCAAAGCTGCGCTGTTCCTTGCATCGATCTTCTTGGCTCATTACCCCTCACCTTCAAAAGGCTGTTAAGAAAACGAGGTGTCTCCCGCTAAATATCAACTCTATTCGTCTTCTTGAAAACTCACGATCCCGCACCTAGCCATGGTCGACTATTCGTATACCTATTGCGGAAATGCACGCAGGGCGAGCCACGGTACGGCTGCGGAAAATGTGACAGAAGTCGAATTTGAGACGATAGAATTGGATGTCCGTTCTAAGCTGAAATCAATGTATAATGATGGCATACCATTTTTTACTAAAGAAGTCATCCAAGATGTATATGAACAGCTCAAACAGAAGACAGAAAGGCGAAAACATCATAGTAAGGGAACTTGACGGAGTCAACGTACATTTCGACATAAAAACTGGAAATGCACTTCGCGGATCTGAGGCCAACCAGGAGTATTATGTGCCTTTCAGTGTTCCTTTACTCCTGAAGAATGTTGGATCGATAGAGTAACTAAGTGAGAAAAACTTGTGAAAGAACGCAGCCGCAACTCTGGTATCTATCATTCCAGATGATTTCAGAAAACTTTTATTGTGATAGTGATCCTCGTTTGGCATTCCGCAGTATAAGGGTTTGTCACGATACACAACTACGAAACAAGTCAACCAAAGAAATCATCAGAGGACCCATCCCCTCTCTTGACGTGGTCGATAGATCCTTTCGCAATTCCCAGCAAATGTAGGAAGCAAGTGACCATGCAAGCGACTGATGTCAGAGTCCATGCACGAGAAGGCCTCCCTTGCCTGTGGGCGAATGGCATATGATGCGCAGAGCGAGAAATACGCCGTTCATCGATTCAGCATGCGCTCATCTTGACCTTACGGGACGTTTTAGGAACAAAACAAGGGAACCCTAGCAATATCACATGCTCCGCACAGGACCCGGATTACATTTTGAAGCGAACGACTGCAGTTATACTTCTCTGTCACCCAAAATCTTGGGCCCAAACTCATCTAGAGGTTCTTCGTGTAAATTGGCTAGATGAAACACATCATTTCGAGCATGTTATCGGACACTCAATTACTTGCCACTCGTCAGATATCTCCCTTTAGGGAGTTATCGGAATTCTCCACCATTCACGTCTGGGACATTTCGGGAGTTTGCTTCTATATTTGGTGACCTCCAAAACAAAAATGTTAACGATGCAAACTGGGAAGAGCGCATCAGCTCTCTGTGCTATAGCTGGTTAATAATGTTGAGAGACGATGTTCGCAATACTCCTCCTTCAACTACAAGCTTTGAGTCGGGTATTCTTGTGTTTCTTTGTCCCTCACATCCCAACCTGGATATATATTCTAATATTCTCCTTTACATATATGTCACTACAACTGAGTAGTATGTCTTTTGTAGGCAATATCACAAGCAACCTAATCTCCTGAAAATATGTTTTGATAGGAGGACTGCATCATTCAAGTCTGCTAGGGTAGTGAATGATTATCCTGACTCTGAAGACTTTCCGCTGGCTAAACACCCACCCTCCCTCCTCAAGAAAATTATTTATCATGATGCTACGCGCCCAAAGTTTGGGATAGCCAGGGCGCCGGCATCCTCTGCCACGCCGTCTTACATCATAAATAATCACCATGGATGCGAAGTATACCTAAAACTAGGACACGAAATTCACCTTGCGATCGAAGCGGCTTAGAGGAGCCTTTGCTTTTTTAATTGGAAATGTGGTGGTTCTCACTCTTCACTTTCCTCTACTTTTATTGATCTAACTCGTAGGACCTTCGCCGGACCAGCCATCAGGCAATGTCTCCTCCAACCAATACAATTCAGAATGACTACGGAGTACTCCGTACTGCGTGCGAGAAATGATCGCTCACGGAATTGAATTGAAGGAGTTGTGGGTCTTTAGTCGGTCGCTGCTGGTATTGTTGAACGGGTCCACGGGGCCGAAACTCGGCCCGAACCGTGAGCTTCTCGGCTGCGCCTTAGCTGCCCGGCACCAACCAGAATCCGGCCCGAAGTCATTATCTCCCCGTCTCTTTCCCTTGTCCTCGCGAAATATCGCATTAGCTTTAACTGTTGTGAACTCTATCATGGCATAAGTAGCAACAATTTTGTTTCTGGCATTTGCATTTACAAATATATTACAAGTGAAGACTCCATTATCACTTATCGCTTTGATAAATTGGAAAATGATACCAGCAAACAGACAATAATAACGCCTAAAACCTCGAACATCACTTCATATTCAAAGTCATACATCATACACACCCCCCCTATCTAGTGTATATATATTACTATATTATCTTTCAATAATCAAATATAAAGCAACCAAAAATACCAACCAAAAAGGATACCCCAATAGGAAAAAAAAGCCCGGGAACAAGGAAAAGCCAAAAAAGAGCTCACACGTTAAACCAAGACCCATTCGCTCCCACGTTTAATGAATTTATCTATCATCAATCCTATGTCATTCAGAGCAAATCGACAAACATAAAAGCCAAAAAACTCCGCAGCATGGCGTGCGCATAGTTCTAGACCCACTTGTGTCTCGGATGTGTGCTTTAACCCAGGGTCCTCGACTTGCCGGGCAATTTGATCTGATATGACCGCGGTCAGTATGTGGCATACATCAAAGGGAATGGTAAAAGCCGTAAGATATAAACTTACCAAGTACCTGCGCAGCATCGCACAATCTTGCCAATGCATTCATGTAGTTAGCATTCGGTCCTGTGCATTTCAATTCCGGCAAATTTCGTTTTGGGGCACGTAAATTTAACGTCGTATTCATCGGCAACGAGTGCATAGTTAGGTCATCCTTGCTAGCCTCCTTAGTCGCAGAGGTAGACGGTCCAGCGTTAGGCCCCGAGCTCTTTGACCGCAATTTTCTAAACGGAGTCAGGTAAGATCTACTTCCCCCACTCGATGATCGTGAAGACTGTTCGCTAAATGTCGAAGAATCCTCTGATGATGCTGATTTGAAGAGGTGCATCGCACCATTGACGCCGACTTCGTTACCTAGCTTTTTTGACAATATCAATTGAACCTGATCGAGAATGGTATCCAGGGATTGCATTTCTTCGAGAACTGCGTCAGCATCGTTGGTGTCAACTTGCGCTACTTTCAATAATGCAGCCGTGAGAAGATCGCAATTTGAGATCTTTTCCTCAACCGCCTTGAGCTTCACGTTCTTCACCCGCCAAACATCCCGTGGAACAAAAAGTTTCGTTGTTAGATAAGCCCCCCGCGGATGAGTGATACTTTGATAAATGCATCTCATTAGCCAGAATGGACGGAGTAAAAATGACTGGGGACAGGGTTCCAGAGCCGCGGGGGGGTTTGGGGTAGATGAGTCAGAGCAACCAGGTGCCATTGCGGAATGAAACGTTCCATCAAAAATATGGTGAGGGCCCCCAACAGACGGGCTTCCTGCAGTTGAGACAGACATATGGGGGCCTTTTCGCATGGAAGCAGGAAATGCAGATACCAACGGGCTCTCCGGGACCCTGCCGGTATCTTCAGTAGAGATGGATAACTGTTTCCCTCGCGCCGACTTGGATTGTGAAGATATAGTATCCTTTCTTAACGTGTCCGGTGCGGAAGCTACTTTGCTAACTGTATGGCCACTGGACCGATGATCCATACTGTCATCTTCATCCTCGTCTGCTTGCAGTTCTGGGAAAGGGGCCACCGGGGACTGTATTGGAAGGGATTCAGCTGAGCCTGCAGCAGCATGGTTGTATTTCAGACGCTGTATTGGGAAAGCGGATTTGGGTTCTGTATTTTGCCATGCAGCTGTAAACCCAGTTTTGGACTCATCTTTGGGTAGTAGGGACGGTGACATGTGCCCAGTTCTTGACCCAGGGACCGTAAGAGGAGCCTCGGCACCTAGCGGCAATCGTCCATTTGTTTCGATGGATAATTCCTTTGCGTTCCAGCCGGACAGTCGCCTTGCCCTTACACTGGGAGCCACCGGACTATTAGGTGTGATTGTGGGTTGGATGGGTGTTGGAAGGGGTGGTAGGGAGGATGGGAGACTAAATGGCAGTGCTGCAGAAGGAGGAGGCGGAGGAGGTGGAGGAGGTGGTGGTGGAGGTGGTGGTGGAGGTGGCAATGGTGTAGAAGGAGCCGGAGCGCTGGAGGACGGTTGTGACGGTGGAGGGTTCTGTGATGATTCAGCTAATTTAATATTCGTGGGTGGAATTTCTTCTTCTGCAAGGGTAGATAGTGATGTTCCGGTAGTTGCAGCGTTGGACGCTATCGAACTTCCCCAAGTTCGGCCTGAAAACCCACTGGAGCCAGACTGCCGTGGTAGGGCCGACTTGGTTTGCAAGTCAAAGTCGAAGACATCCATCATTTCTTCCAATATTAGTTCCTCCTCTTCCGCTTCTCCATCTTCGTAGCTCGCGTTTAACGCGCCGTAGTTACCATGAAAAGCTTCCTCTTGAATCCGCCTCGTTTCTCTCTCCTTAGCAGAGATAGCTTCGGCTTCCATTTCAGCCTCACGAACTTTTTGCTTAGCTCGTTCCACGTTTCTTCTCACATTCAAAACTATATCGTCATCTGCTGACATATCGTCTGAATCGTCGGCCGGTTCCAACCCCTCATCATATGCTGCCTCTACGGCGGCATCCAGTGCAGCATCGAATGCAGCCTCTGTTCCTCCGCTAGTCATGCGATCTCTCTTTCGTAGATAGAGAGAGGATGACCTCGAGCGAAGGGACGAAGCTGAAGATCCCCCGGAATCACCATTATCCAACCAGGAGGTAGATTCGTTGTTGAAGTCCGGTTGTAAATGAGAGGACAATTGATTTCGGTATTCTGATTGCTGGCTAACCGTACGGGGAGGTAGAGGTGGATCTCGTGACGGACTCTGATGGTGAAACGCGTTACCCTCCGAGTTTCTATCACCGGAAAGAGAGCTTTCATCCAATTGTTCGGCCAGCGTCGGTAGGTTTGAGGATGAACCTGCACGGAGCAAGCTGGGCTTTTTGGGTCTAGAAAAACGAACTTCGTCGTCAAATGCTGAAGGTAATAAAGACTGCCGACGCGGAGGAATCTGTGAGGGAGGTAAGGTGCGTGGTTCAGAAGGGTCGGTCATATAAGAAGGATTATTGAGTATTCGAGTAGCAGTTGCCGTCTCGATAACATATGGGTCATCCTCGTCCAACTCATCATGGACATCGGATCGGAAAGAAAATGCGCTAGGGGACAAGGATTCATCGCTCAAAGGCCTTTCGGGCAACGCTTTCCCACCCGATCTGGACGAAAGACCAAGTCGCCGAAGCTCAGTAATTCGGGTAGTATAGGTAGTACGCTGGAGGTCACCGCTGGAGTCAGTCTCAAAAGGAAAAGGTGCTCAAGTTAACTGCATGCATGTTGGAATCCTTACGATTTCTTCAAGTTTCTGCTTTTCATCGCCGCCGTCAGTGCGGCGCATTACCTGCATAAGAAGATCGCAGGCATCCGAGTATGCATCGATGGCGCCTTCATAGTTTGCGGCGTTATCCAGGAGCACGGCCGTATTAGCTTTTTGGAGAGCCTTCGATAGCATGGACTTTTGCGATGAGCCTCGTCGTCTACGTTCTCGTTCCTGAGCGGCGTCCATTTCGAAATGACAAGAGCTCCACACAGGCTAACACAGTGAACGCTGTAGCGGATCCAGGATTGTAGAAATTGACAAGTCGAAAAGTAACAGAAGCGCTATTCGTCAATACGGAATTCTGGGCATAGCAAGGGCATGTGGTGCTGACGTGAGAGTGGTGACTGGAGGACGAGAAGATCTGAGCGTGGACTGGGCCGGGACGGTTCGACGGGCATGGTCATCGACTGTTCAAGGCGACGGCGATGGGCCTCGTGCTCGATCGTTCATAGCAGTAACACTGGCGATGTTTAAGGGAATCACACATGGACCAACGAGGGCGCCCAGTTTCTCACGGCATTGACATCGATAAAAAAAAGGTCCCTGGCCGGATGAGATGACGACAGAATGCCAAGTGTCGGACCCAGGGGCAAGTAATGACCACCAGCGAGGATGGGTCGAATCGATCAACAATTCAGTCGCCCAGAGCCAGCTTCCGTCATTCCAGAGTGCCGCAAGAGCGTACCTAATACTGCGCACAGCCGTTGTCAAACGGCAGGCTCTTGGGACCTGCGGTGGTCGGGGACTGGCGATGGGAGGCGCTGGAACCCCGATCGGGTGACGAAGCCCTTGAAGACGGCAGAAGGGGGGTTTCGTTTAGGCCAATCCAGGCGTCGATCGCTGAAACGGGGTGACACACGAAGGCAGGCGAGAGAGGACGGGAAGGCGGCGGGATGTGACAGGATGCCGTGTGTGGGTTGGAGTAGGATGGGACCTGCAGAGACAAAGTCGAAATTCGCCAGTCTGATTCCGCAAGCGTGCTGGGGGGGGAGAAGAAAGAGAGAGAGTCGACTAGCTGGCCTTCAGCAACCTCGCTAGCCAACCCGTTAGTTAGTTTAGTGCTTCGCCAGTGGGGGAGAGGCGGACGAGCCGCCAAGCAGACCTGCACTCGGCCAGCGACAGGGAGGTTAAACCCAACCGGCCGCAGTCCGTCTGGAGCCCGGGTGCCGTGCCGAGAGCGGGCGAGTGCCGCCAGAAAGAGCACCGCGCATGCATGATGCACAGCAGGGCTAGACGAAGCTTGCCATCTCTCGAAGAACGCTGCGATCATCGACTTGCGTTAATGCTGGGGTTTTGCTGAATGAAGCGGACGTTCGTCGCGCCGGAAATAACTGGTTAACTAGCTGGTTAACTCACTGGCCCGTCGCTGGTTGTTCGGTGGGGGGAAGACCAAAGCCGCCCCTCATCGCCGTCAACCGCATCCTGCTCGCCTGTAAAACCAACGGCTCGGCCTCACGAAATCATATTGAACCCGGCCTTGGCTGTCCTGTCCTTTCTCGGTTTCGTTCTCTTTTCTTTTTTTTTTCTTTTCTTTTCTTTTCTTTTCTTTTCTTAAAATAAATCTCTGACCCTCTACGCTCCATCATGGCTGCAAGACAAGGGAATGGAATCCGCATCGCAATCGACGTTAGTCGCCCATATCTCCCTATACCGTTTCAACGGTCCGGTAAAAAAAGTATAATTCCCGTGGGTTACTAACGGCGATGTCTAGCGAGGTGGTACCTTCACCGACTGCGTGGGCAACCCCGGCACGGGGAGGATGGAGGACGATATCATCATCAAGCTTCTATCCGAGGATCCTTCCAACTATTCCGATGCACCGCTCGAAGGCATTCGCCGCCTGCTCTCGAAGTTCGAGGGCCGGGAAATACCCCGTGGGGAGCCTATCGATACATCCGGTATCGAGAGCATCCGAATGGGCACCACCGTGGCCACGAATGCCCTTCTGGAGAGAAAAGGTGAGCGCATGGCCCTTGTCGTGACAAAGGGTTTCAAGGACTGTCTTCGAATCGGCAATCAGTCGCGGCCCAAGATCTTCGACCTCGCCATCCGTCGACCGGATGTTCTCTATGAGAAGGTGGTCGAGATCGATGAAAGAGTTACCCTAGAAGACTACGCAGAGGATCCCACACGATACGTCACCTCGACCTCTCCGCGGGATCAGACTCCCGCCGGGGCCAAGATCGTGCGGGGATTGTCCTCAGAGGCTGTTAGAATTCTACAAACGCCCTCGGAAGACGCAGTGAGAAATCAGCTGCAAGGCCTTTACGACGAGGGCTTTCGAAGCATTGCTGTATGTTTGATGCACGGATACACATTCCCAGATCACGAGGCCCTTGTTGGGAGAGTTGCCAGGGATATTGGTTTCAGTCATATCAGTTTGAGTCACGAACTGATGCCAATGATCAAATTAATTCCTCGAGCCACGTCTGCTTGTGCTGATGCTTATTTAACGCCAACGATTAAGAAATATATCTCAAGTTTCCAGGCGGGCTTCCAGGGTGGCCTGGGTGTCAAGAGTGTCAAGAACTCCTCCGCGAGCGATGCAGCCCGCTGTGAGTTTATGCAATCGGATGGTGGACTGGTGGACGTTAGCGAATTCTCCGGGCTACGTGCCATCCTATCAGGCCCGGCCGGCGGAGTAGTGGGATACGCTCTGACAAGCTATGACCCAAAAACCAATATCCCCGTGATCGGGTTCGACATGGGCGGCACAAGTACCGACGTCAGCAGGTATGGGTCTGGGAGATATGAACATGTCTTTGAAACCACCACTGCCGGCGTGACGATACAGTCCCCCCAGTTGGACATCAACACCGTAGCTGCCGGAGGAGGCTCACGTCTATTTTATCGCAATAGACTATTCATGGTCGGCCCAGAGTCAGCAGGCGCGCATCCGGGCCCTGCTTGCTACAGGAAAGGAGGGCCTCTAACGGTCACCGATGCAAATCTATTTCTAGGAAGATTGTTACCAGATTTTTTTCCTAAAATATTTGGCAAGAGTGAAAATGAAAGCCTTGATGAAGACGTGAGCTCACGCCTATTTGAGGAAATCACTGCTGAAATCAACGCAGAACTCCCTGGAGATAGGAAAATGACCCCCGATGAGGTTGCTTATGGCTTCATTAAAGTTGCGAATGAGACGATGGCCCGACCAATTCGCTCGCTCACAGAGGCGAAGGGCCACGATGCTTCCAAGCATCGCCTTGCGACTTTTGGAGGTGCGGGTGGCCAACATGCCGTTGCCATTGCAACTAGTCTTGGTATAAAGCAGGTCCTGGTGCACCGTTATTCTTCCGTCCTTTCGGCGTACGGCATGGCTTTGGCCGATGTGGTGGATGAGAGTCAAGTTCCAGAGTCAAAAGTATGGTCCAACGATGAGACTGTGCGAAAAGAGCTCAAAGAGAAGATGGACAAACTGAAAAAGAAGGCAGTCGAGAGACTAAAGGATCAAGGGTTCAAAGACGAGTCGATCGTGTTTGAAGAATACCTAAATATGCGATACAGAGGAACGGAGTCCGCCTTGATGATCATCAATCCAAGCTCACAGGATGCAAAAGGAAATGATGATTGGGCCTATGGGAGCGCATTCGTTCAACAACATGAACAAGAATTCGGATTTACCCTTCCAGATCGTGATATCATTGTAGACGATGTCCGTGTTAGAGCTATTGGTAGAAGTTTTGATGACCTTGGAAAGAGTGTGGACGAACAGTTGAAGGAGTTCAGTCCGAACGACGTAGATTCCTCTAAGAGATACGGCACCAGACAGGTGTATTTCGAAGGCGGACGACGTGATACCCCCATTTTCAAGCTTGAAACCCTGGAAGTGAATGATCGCGTTCACGGACCTGCTATCCTTGCAGATGGGACACAAACTTTGGTGATCACCCCCGGAGCCACTGCTTTGATTCTCAGGACCCATGTTGTCATTAACATTGGTTCCTCCGAGGAATCGGACTCCAAACCAAGTGTGAAAGGCGTGGATCCGATCCTCTTGAGCGTCTTCTCCCACCGATTTATGGCAATTGCAGAGCAGATGGGTAGAGCGCTGCAAAAAACAAGCGTCAGCACAAATGTTAAAGAAAGGTTAGACTATTCTTGTGCTTTGTTTGATTCTGATGGAGGGCTTGTTGCGAATGCGCCGCATCTGCCTGTGCATCTTGGAAGTATGTCCACTTGTGTTCGGACACAAGCGAATATCTGGAAGGGAAAATTGAAGCCCGGCGATGTGATTGTCTCCAATCACCCTGAATTCGGAGGGACCCATCTTCCTGATATTACAGTAATCACACCTGCGTTCAATGGGGATGATATCATTTTTTATGTTGCCTCAAGGGCCCATCACGGTATGTTTTCACCTTTCTCTCTTCCATTTATATCAATCTTCTAATCAAAAAGCACAGCGGATATTGGAGGTATCCTTCCAGGCTCAATGCCGCCACATTCCCGGGAGTTATACCAAGAGGGTGCAGCAATCAAATCCGAGAAATTGGTGTCTGAAGGGAAATTCAACGAAGAGCGCATCACAGAACTCCTATATCATGAACCAGCACAATACCCGGGCTGTAGCGGCACAAGGTGCCTTGCAGACAATCTGAATGACCTAAAGGCTCAAGTTGCTGCAAATCAGAGGGGCATCGGTCTGATATCAGCATTGATTGAGGATTATGGGGAGGAGGTGGTTCAGTTTTATATGAGAAGCATTCAAAAGAATGCAGAGCTCAGCGTTCGTAACTTGCTGAAAACGGTCAGCAAGAGATTTGAAGGAGCTGACCTGACGGCCGTCGACTACATGGACGATGGAAGTCCCATTCAACTCAAGATCTCTATTGATGCCGAAAACGGTCGAGCAACTTTTGATTTTGAGGGCACCGGTCCAGAAGTCTATGGTAAGTCACGGACACCCGATAGTAAACGATGCCGACAATGCTAATCAGACGGAAGGGAACATCAATGCTCCTGAAGCGGTCACCTACTCCGCTATTATATACTGCCTGAGATGTCTTATCTCGGAGGATATTCCTCTCAACCAAGGCTGCTTGAAACCGATCGAGGTCAAGATACCGAAGAATTCGTTCCTTTCACCTTCCGAAAAGGCCGCAGTTGTTGGAGGCAACGTATTAACGGTAAGACCGTGCTACTAAACTAATACTAACCCCCAGGCGCTCATTGTAGCCCTAGCTAACATATTTTTTTTTCCTGAACAGAGCCAGCGAGTGACGGACGTTATTCTGAAATGTTTCCAGGCCTGCGCCGCATCACAGGGAGACACAAACAACCTGACGTTCGGCTTCGGAGGCAATCTCAACGGCGGAACAGCCACCAAGGGATTCGGTTATTATGAAACGATTGCCGGCGGCAGCGGCGCCGGTCCGGACTGGGAAGGCACATCGGGCGTGCACACCCACATGACGAACACTCGCATCACGGATGCCGAGGTCTTCGAGCGCCGATACCCCGTCCTGCTCCGGGAATTTAGCATAAGACCGGGGTCCGGGGGGGAAGGCCAGCACCGCGGCGGTGATGGAGTAATCCGAGACATCGAGTTCAGAATCCCGGTTCAGGTGTCCATCCTTTCGGAGCGTAGGGTTTATCATCCTTATGGCCTCAACGGAGGTGAGGACGCTCAATGTGGGCAAAATATCTGGGTTCGTAAAGTTCCCAGGAAGGACTGTCCTGAAACTTGGGAAGAAAGACATGTAAATTTGGGCGCGAAGAACACTGCACAAATGAAACCAGGCGAAAGAATCATTGTCAACACGCCTGGAGGTGGTGGGTGGGGAACGCCTGGATCTCAAAAAACGATCCGGAGGGAACAAGATCCTCGACATGCATGGAAGGGAGGATCATGGGCAAGCCGTACTGAAACACAGGAAACCAGCATGTGAGAGGGTTGCATGGCACATTGGGTAGCACCAGAATAGACGATAACGGAGCGCTGGAGGTGAATGAAAAGTGTGTATTTGATATACCAACTTTAGAAGTAACCTGGCCAATTCCCTGTGAACACCGTGAGATTGATAACGTGAATCCAAAGTGCAAAGATTCCATGACGCCGCAAACATGACTTTGATCAAGGAGACCATTCAGTTTTCTCCCTCACTCTCCTCACTTGTTGCTTCAATGTTTTTCTCGGGTGAGATCTTGATCTTTTTAGCCGTCTCTGCCTTCTCCACCTGCATGTCCTCGTCGGTTTCTTCCCCGCTGTCGCCGTATTTCGGTCTTTCAATGACACCGCCTTTCTGTCTAACAACATCCTCAATGCCGGGCAGCAAACTGACGAGGGCATTGAACTGTTCCAAGGTCATAGAAATTCCCTTCAGTTGGCAATCAGCTTCCAAATTCCATCAACGCAACCTCGTATCAAGTGACACCAACATATAAAAGAAAAACCCACCTTTTTACCGGGTAAATCCTGCCCATCCTTTTCATAGTATTCCCGCACATTGATCATTGTCCTACCTTTGAAAGTCGAAACAGTGACGCGTCGTTGACGTGAAATCTCCCAGTACGGGTCGCCATTTGAATCGGTATTGGGTTCCTGTGTGGTGGTCGGCGGCCGTGCAGTAGCAGGTTTTACTTTCTTCCTCTGGTGACCCTCGTCGCTATTGCTGTCGCCAGGCGAGATTTCGTTCTGGGCGGACCTGCGTTTTCTAGTGGCCATGGTGTGGGCAACTATAGCGAGAAGCTAGAGCTGATGTATGATAAGTGAAAGGAACATCCGGTTTGGTCTTGATGGTATGCGGTACGGAGCACCAAAATTGTAATCGTGCTTGCGCTGATGACCCCAAGCGTTGATTCTCCGTTCCGGTCCTCGACGCGTCTCTCGCAGGTCACGGGGTTAACTGGTGAGCGAACCGACTTTATAATCCGAGGCCAATTCTAGTTCATTGCATAATTGCAAATGCCTACCATCTCACTGCTACAGGCAGCAATAGGAAATCCATGATTGGTTCCCTTGAATATTGAATGAGCAAGTCTCATTCCACACCAAGCAGCCAACCTGGGTCGAATGGCCAAGCCTGATGCTTCTCGCATCCAATCCTCCCAACTACGCGTTTTACTTTGTGACCTCTGCTAATCCAGCACTACCCTCCAGCCAGCACGCTCTGAATCTGGATACCACACATCCGAAGATCAGATGGGGAAAACCGCACATCGTTAACCGAGACAGATGCTTTGGACCCATGCAGCACTCCAAATGGTCTGGCATCACGTCCCAACCCCGATTAAACGCAACGATTAGGTCCTTACTTTGTGCTATGTATATTGTTCTCATGGATAACTGCTTCGAATTCTGTCGTTTCTGTTAAGCACGGTTTCTAGTGTCTTTTCAAATTTATTCGCTCAGATGGAAACCTTTGTCTTCACGGTAACTCCTTTTCCGCTGCTAATCAAGCGGATTAGGCATCTGCATTTTGTGCAGATATATATACATGGTATTTTCTGTCTCAAATGTTCCGCTAACGACGGCATCCTAAAGATATTTTCACTAAAGATCTAGACAATCCAACACTTATACCCGCCTAGAGTAATGGATACCCCGAGGGACGCGGATTTATGTGCGATTGCGGCGATCCCAGGTCTCTATATTTCGGAGTGAGGCTGCCACTCTCAATTTACGCCTGAATAATTGCTAATCCACAGCGAGAAGCCGCTTTGGAGCACGTTCACAGTTTCTCCTCAGGTCCCACAATATAAAATACGTACTTTCCGCGACTTGTGAGCAAGACATACCACGTTGGGACGAAACTACTCTGACAAAGATCTCGACAATGCACCTTGACATCGATGATCATCCCATGCAGGACATTCTCTGCTATCTTAAGCAAGCATGCGACTGGATTCATGCCGCTCTCGAAGAAAAGCCGGACGGGACGGATTCCCAGAAGCCTGTCGGGGTGCTGGTCCATTGCGTTCAGGGAATATCACGGTCCGGTGCAATCGTTGTGGCATACTGTAAGTGAGAGATAAATCCTCAAAAGAATCGAGCCGTCAAAAAGAATAATCTTAATTATGATTGCGTCTCGTCAGTGATGAGATACCACTCTCTTTCCTATTCGGATGCACTCTCGGTGGCCCGGAAGCACCGACCGCTCATAGCACCAAATCCGGGCTTTGAACAGCAACTTCGTCTTTGGGAGCTTTGCAACTATGACGTTTATGCGGCCGGGTCAGATATATTACGGCCAGAATATGAGTTTTGGAAAGCCCAGTGTAGAAAAGCATTTCAAGGCCCAGAAGCAGGATCGAAGAAGGTCATCCATGAGACGATGAACAACATTGAAGCTGAAATGATGAAATGGGCACGATGATCGAAAATTAGTTTGAAACTAAATGCTCTCGAGACCCTACTCTCACCATTATGACTCTGTTGTATACATTATGGATGATAATATGAGTTCAAGTTACTCAAAAGGCGCCATGAGCTTATTTCCCAGCACCTTGGAAGGGAATTCATCCACCCCTAAAGCCGTGGTATGCGCCCACGGCTTCAAGCTGTTTTCCCGGCGAATCGTCGCAGCAAAGCAGTTGCTCCACCCAAGACGCGGGAAATTCCGCGTTACATCCTCGATGGTGGACGGACTCACGAGGTCAGAATATGTACCAGTATTATCTAAATTACTCCATTAGCAGCTTGCCATAATACATCCCGCAATCGATGAGACCAACCAAAGATCGTCGCCAATTGAATCAATTGTCCCACGGCAGTTATCTTACCAACCTCACATAAATCCTGGTGCCTAATGATCGCTTCCGCCACACTCTCTGCTTGCTCCCTTGGCGCCACAGCGCCATCTTCCCCGTCACTCGTCTGCAAAACGTCCAACGCCAGTAGGCTTCCGTAAAACTCAAAGCTCATCCTTGTATTCTGCAGATTCTCCTCCGTGGTGCCGATGTCATGTAGAACGCAGGCTAGGAAGTACGTTTCATCCGTGAACTTCCATTCTGGAAATCGATATTTCTTTATCGCCAGGCCGTAGTGATACACTCGCAGGGAGTGGTTGAATGTCGGTTCTGGCAGATTGCGTTTGGCGTACACCTGTACACGTTTCGCTACGGGGGTGTCCGGAATAGGCGTCTCGGAAATGGCGACAAATGGCGCTGGAGAGGAGGGACAAGGAAGTGAAGCAAGAAGCTTCAACGCCGATGCTTCAACGGCAGTGAAGCCGTACTGCGCTACGGGATCTAAAGGAGCCATCACGGCTGCGGCTTATTCTCCGGTCTTATGTATGAAGATATGGAGATTTATCAGGGACGTCCGACTAACTAAATGGCAGGAAGACTATTATATATACTCCTCGAAGTAACATTTAAGCATAAAAGATGCTTCCGGAAGCACCCATCGCCAAATGAGTGCGGACCAGTTTCCCGCTGAATGTAACTCCGATCAGCAACCCACTACGTCATAGCTGACAAGTTACACCGAACAGGGATTCAGCATCCTCCAAATGCCGACTCGCGGAATTCCCGGCCTGAGGTCGAATGAACTGCAGCTGTGAAACTTACCTAGGATATACCATCGTCAGAAGGAAAGTCCTCCGGGTGGCTTGCCCCAAAAACCAGGTGAATGTAAAGCAAAAATGTGACAAGGTATCCCAAAGCCCAGGGCTCCATACAATTTTGATTATTTTTAGGTAATGATCTTGTAAGAGGAACAGTTCGACGCTGTTAAAAGAGAAGTATGCATCCAGTTCTCGATCGCACGGCACCTCGCTTTCCTCCCACGGCTTGACGATGAGAACGCCGGCAGAAATAGAGATATCTTACATCTTTTCAAAGGTAGCCATCAACGAACCTAAACAGTCCATTAGTCCGGTTATACGGCAACACAGGAAGATCGTATTGAAACATACCAATGAAAGTCGTGATCAAGCGTGGTCTAACCTGACAAATATCTTCAGGAACCAGCCAGATTGTAGCGCCCATTTTCCTCGCAATACTAATGGCGAGTTTTGCATTTGCATAAGATTCATCATCGGTTCGTCCAGCGGTAACAAGCTCATAGTCCACATAGCTACTTTTCATGCCGTTCAAAACGTCAAGAAGGAATACACCGCTACCAATTGCCTGGTCCTTGAAGCTTCGAATGGATGAGCTTTTGCCTCCTTTCCGGGACATCTCATTAGCCCATTGGATCATCTCTCCGTCTGTGATTTCACGCTTGCCCATGCGCTTGGCAAGGGAGGACAAGGTATTGGTGATATCCTTCCTCATAAGTTGCCACACTAGACCGAGTGTCAGGGTTCGCTGTCCATCAGTGATGTCTGCTCCCTGAATACCGACGAGTGAAAAGCGATTTTGTTTCCCAAGTTCAATGGCATAGTTTGTGTTCTCCACAGCTTTAAATTTCATCATCTCACCACCATGCGCCGGTGGCTTATTAACGTGTCTCCAGTTTACACTGCCTGGAATAACTTTGTCGTAGGCTTGAAGAAGAATGGTTCCATCCCTAAGATCATCGAAGAGGGAGTTAACGGCGGGCTGAACATCCAAAGAGTTGAGCCAAAGCGTAAAGACGCGAGCTTCACGTTCGCCTTCAGCATCAAAATCTTCCACTTCAAACTTATCTTCCTCGGTGATCGGGTCGAGACCAGGATGGTTATTAAACAAGTTCGCCACGAAGGCTAGGTTGAGCTTTGGATTTCCTGCCACGAGTGAGGTTGGCGTTAGGAACTTGCGACACTGGAGTAATTCCGCGTTCTGGAGGACCTGTTCGGCGCGCTGGAGTAAGTCCGGAGTCTGGAGAGGTTTGCGTGAGCAAAGATCCGGGGCTAATTGATTAAGAAGGACTGTGTAATTGGCGCCATCCTTCACATCGCTAGAAAAGTTTGCAACTCTAGAAATGTCGAGAACACATCAGTGACCACACCTAACAACCCCTTTCCATAAGATCCTACCTTCTATCCCAATTTGCATTCTTCAAGTGATAGTTGAACCAGCGAAGCAAAATTTGTTCTGGTGGAAGTCGAAGAAATTGCTCTAAGGTCTCGTCTTCTTCAAGAAGTCTGTAAAGCTCGGGGTGCAATTTAATATCGATTTTCCCCAAAAGACCCCTACGAATAACTTGCCAAATTAGGCCGAGAATGAGATGTTCTCGGACTTCAATAATGTCGCCGCTTCCGATGTTAACAACCGAACAGCCAATGCCCTTTGCGGAGTTGATAACGATATTATTGTTTTCAGTCATGTGGAACGCGTTAAGTTGCTTGTTTTTCTTCCCCGGCCTGTTCAAAACACGCTCATCGATGGTATCCGGAACGCTGTCATTGATAAGTTTGGCAAGTACTAATCCATCCTTGCATTCATCGAACATTTCGAAAGTATCCGTCGGAAATGGTAGGAGGTGGCCAATATCCGGATCTCCGGCAAGCACAGCATTGATGTGTCTCGTGAACTCCGTTCTCTCATCTTCGTTGATTGTATGCGTAACATTCGCCGATGAACCCTGAACGTGAATCTTGCCGCCGATACTGCCTTTAGAGGCGTGCCCACGGGCCGGCGAGCCAGATCCGGGGGGTGCAGTAGCGCTGGCATTGCGGACTTTTGATATAAGCTATAGCTCACACAGTTATTCTTAGTAAGACATCCATTTCGCGTGTTCAGGTTAAGGGAGGGGACGAACATCAACGTAATCCTCCAGTTCAACACGGCGTGAACTATCGAGCTCCACCTCTTTCAACGCCGATCGCACGACATCGTAAGGTTGCCTTTCCGACTGTTGAGTCGCCTTAATCACAGTCGCCTCATCAAGATAACCTTTGTCATCGACGTCTAATCGCTGGAATGCGTCTTGGAGGGCGAAGATTTCATTCTGTTGAAACTGGGGGTACTTCCTGGTGCTGCCTGTTAGCCCCGCTTAAACCACCTTTGTCCTTCAGGGAAGCTTTGGGCAAACACAGAGACTCACTTTTGTAATTTGAAAATATTCATTGTTGCAATCGAGCGCAATCTCCTGTTGGGAACGTGCTACAAAGATTGATATGCGGTGGGGTGTTGTGTCGAGGGGTAAATTCGATTGTTAGGTTGGCTTGTCTGGCGGGAGAATCGCAACTTGGAGCTTCCGTTGGTTGGAAGTTCTCAAATGACGTACGCACATGCAGGCATCCAGCTAAGACGGCTTTTCTGTGCGCAGTTGATATCAGGAGGGAGAAGGCAGGACGAAATCTTCGTGCGGAGTGATTAATTAATGGAAAACCCTCTCAGTTTAACTATTTATACGGTTGAGTTTCACAAGAGATAATTAATTTGTTTGACAAATTGCCAACAGGCATCTACGTATTGTAAAGGATGGTAGGTTACGTATTCATTCCAGGCGCCATCCACGGAACCTCTCAGCCTGAAAAGCAATCGGGAAGTGGGCACTAAAAGCCCAGGGCCTTAGGCTTCATTCGCATCTCATACTCAGCCATTGATTCGGCGGGCAAACCTCTTAGGATGGAACAAAACTTTGGCGAGATTGTACACGGCTCAATCAATTCCTATCAAAACACAGTTTGAAACGCAATATCAAACACGGGCTGTCAATACATTAAATCTGATTCACAACTGGACGTCGAGTTATGTACCTCTGCAGACAACACTGAAGACCCAGACTCACCCTTACAAAGGAGTAATCCATCATACACGAGACCTCAGGCTCAATTAGAATCCAAGTTCCCAGCCACTAATTTTTCAACGAGATTGACGGTAGCTTCAGGGCCTCCGGCTTTGTTGAGGAGCACTTTCCCGGCCTTGTCGATAGCAAACACTCCACGAATTGTTCCCTTGGGCTGCTTCTTCAGGCCGATGGCACCAATCAGCTTCGCTGACGGATCACAGATCAATGGATAAGGGAGCTTCTGTTTCTCCTTGAATTTGGTGTTGGCGCTCGGGCTGTCGGAGGATAAGCCGTAGATCGACAAGCCAGTTGAGGAAAGGCGGTCGTAACCATCGCGGAACATGCACGCTTGTCTCGTGCCTTTCAAATGGAAACGGTCAGCAATTCACCCATGGATAAGAGGGGAAATTCATTGCCGAGAAAAGCTTGCTATGGGCGCTGAATATAATAGCACACCGCTTCCCTTTGAGCGGCGTTCCGGGACGCCAGCGAGTATCATTGGGAGAATTCGAGCACGCCGAAGGCTTGTTGAGCGTGGCTCGCACGTCACTCAATGCATTGGATGATTGAAATTGACTTACATCCAGGAGTAGAGGCTTTAGGATACGTAAAGAGCACCACGCCATTTTTGCTTGACTCTAGGAGCGCCTTCAGAGAAGAGGGGGTAGCATCTTGAAGCTGGACTTCGTCTTGATATTGCTCTAGATCGAGAATAGCCCCCACAGTTGGAGGCTCACGGCTTGGCGATGGCTCGCTCTTTTCCGTTTCTTTCGCTTTGGCCTTTGATTCTCTCGCCTTGGGCGCTGAGGCTTTGGTATCAGCCTTCTTCTTGGTGGCACGCGCGTCTTTGGGCTCCGCGGGAGCCTTTCGCTTTCTGAGTTCCATTGGCATTTTGGAAGGGGAAGTTAAAACTCGAGTCCGTAAAGAACAATAATGTTTGGGATAGCTGCAATTGGTCTCCGGCCCACTGTATGGAATGGAGGATGTAGGGCTAGAAATCTGCTAGAGTTGTGTCGAGGTTGTTTTGGACCAGCAACAACGCGCGGGACGCGGGCGCCTCACGTATACCCCTATTTATCCGCCAATCCGTGAAGGTTTATCCTTTGCAGTCATTTATTGAATAGATACGATAAAGTGATTTAATTTAAGTGTTCTTTACTCCGCTCCGTAACTATCGCCGCAAAATAAACTGGTTCGTGTTTGGTGCCTCTGATCATCTCCTTCGCAATCATGGTCTGGGCAAAAGTCCCCTAAGAATTGTCATAACGAATTTTTTATGGACACGGATGCAACAGTACTCTGCAGCGTTGTACTTTGGTTGCTGAACGCAATTACGGGCGAACTCGATCCTCGCTTGTCTTCACCTGAGGCGTGTCGAACGATCCCGTGTAAGGGTTGAAGTTGAAGCGAACATATCACGTGATGTGCCGGATCGCAATGATCGACTTACTTGGGACTGCATCTCGACGTTTAGGTTTTGAGCAGATGTAAACGACCAGCATACCAAGTACGTACATACGAGTGCTCATGCTCTGATTTTAGTTTGCATGGCATCTGCTGACTGAGTGATAGCGATCAATTTGTAGCCGGTCAAGCAGCATGAGACCTACAAGACTGCTGAGTGCGGCAAAGGCCGCAGGGAATGTTGTTCCCGTCACTGAGGTATATACGTAACGAATCGCACACCCAGTTCAGGATCGGTAGGCGATACGAAGAGGCAATGCTAATTTGTCCCTTTTTAGAAATACACCCTTCAATCGTACGGAATCTGGGAGAGGATCCGAAGAATGCTTTCCGTTGATCCAAACCGCTCCACCGGTGTTCCCATCAACGCCCAGTTCCGAAATCCGACCCCCGGAGCCCTCCCACCACAATCATATACTGATCCAGTGACTATCCCCGCCGGCGACATTGCCGATAACCCATACTGGAAGCGAGATGTTAGAAGAAATTATCCACTGCCAAGTGTGTTAAGCCAAGCCGACGTTGTCGGGCTCCTTACAGTGGGAAGCAAAGCCGAGCCGAACGAGCAGGCCCTTCTGTCCGGAGATGCTGGCAAGCAACAATTAGTGCAGATTAAGCAGGAGGGCGAATCGCGCGGCCTCGCGGCATTTTACGCGGAGAAAGGAAACGGGGCACGCGTATTAGGTCCTAATGGGCTGCCACCACTCCCCGCCAACCTCAACCGCGCTGCCAAGTATCCGAAGAGCGAAGAGCAATCATATCCCTCCAGGTGAGCACTATAGTCGTTACATGGATGATGCGCTTTTTATATAAAGCTAACAGATCTCACAGGTACCAATGCCGAACATTCGTATGACCGACTATCGATCAGGCCGACTCTCTTGCTGCTGGAGGGATCTTGATTGTACTGTACAGACTTTCCAACTAAAACACTACTTAGAATCCAGTTCCATGTCTTATTATAAACGGTTCCTCAGGCTGATCCCAGATGTTTCCATTGTCGTTTAGACATGTTTGAGTAAGCCCTATCGGAATTTGAAATGCAGACATCAACTCGCGATGGAGACCACTATGGATTCAGTTATGGCCCAACAATAGAACCGATCAGAGCCTTGATAGCAACTGCGGATTTTGTGCTATCTTCATGCCATACTAGAAACGGCGCTTCGGCTTGAAGAGCCATCCGAAGAGGAAACCTGTAGACGCTAGTCCATATATGGCTAGATCGTTATATATATGCCAAGCCGGCCATGGAGATTCGATAATCCGCCCGAAATTTTGAAATCGCAGCGAAGCATTTTGGCCTGACAGCTTCAGCTAAGCCGGTTCAGCACATATCGCAAAGGTGTCGGGCTTGAAGGTGGCAGCTGTTCGCAGCTGCAACAGATTGTCTTCTAGAAATATACGTATATTACGCCGTGGGAGACGAAACTTTGCTCAGTCAAGCGTCGCATATTCCCATCGACCTTGATCGTCGCAGAGTCCATATCCGTACCACCGGACTTCAGATCCTCGTTGAAGACGATTTTCAGTTGAGATTGACGAAGGTTACGGTGAAATGGCATCGTATTCGTCTTCGTGGCGTCCCACCACTGATGTAGCGGCGGTCGCTCCAATCGCGGAGGTGCTCTCCTCGAAACCTGAAGATTTCCTTGGACCGTCAGCCCTCCTGTTCTCCCAGTCGACGGCTGCCTTGAAACATTATCTCGATTCGCTTGCCTCTAGCACCGCACAACTTCAACAGAAACAGCAACTTATCCAAAATAGACAAAAGCGAAAGAGAACCGAAACCGCTTCCGGCCCTTCGAGCTCGAAAAAGCTTCAGCTCCAAGAGGTACATATAAATGGGTTTAATGTGCAGCAAGTATGGGAACAGGCGCAGCGGGTATTGAAGACTTCGTCGGATGTCACTCGAGAACACGTTGCCATTGTATCGCCGAGCTTGGGATTGGGGGATGATGATGCGAGCAGAAACAGCGCCTCAAGTTCAGAATCTGGGGATGGCCAGCATGATCAGGAAGATGGAAGTGATGCCGACATAGTTAGTGAATTGGATAGAGACGAACAGTCAGAGGATGCATCAGAGCTCCTTGATGGAAAAGACGAAGAGGAGGCGGAGGACGGCCGCGATGATGAAGAACAGCTTGAGAGTGATGGAAGTGATGACTTGGACGAGACTGATGTCTTAAAAATTGGGAAACGATCCCCCAAAAGGAGCGAACCAACTCCATTTGTCTTGGATCGCCATGGCCTGAACGATGGATTTTTCTCGATTGACGAGTTTAACAAGCAGTCTCTGCTCTTTGAAGATCTGGATGCCAAGCGAGCTAGAAATGATACTGCTGGTAGCGATGAGGAGGACGTTGATTGGGAAGCTGATCCGTTCGCAGTTGGCGATGTCAATTCTGACGTGGACGAGGATGAGCTTGAAGAAGGCGATTTTGATAATGAAGATGCTCGGTTATCAGATGAGGATATGGACGGCGGTCTTGAGCTAGACGAAGGTGATGCGCGAAATGCGACCTATGACCAGTTTTTTGATCCTCCTGCCTCGGAACGTCCCAAGAAAGGAACCCGGCCTAAGGAACAGTCCAAAAAGCCCGACCTCGATACTGACCTTGACGCAGACGTCGAGCGAGCCATGGCGGACGTCCACCGGGACTTATTTGAAGACGAAGACTCTGAGTTCGATGATGGGAATATGGATTCCAATAAAAAGGGCGACACCAACCTATCGACTCATGAAAAGGCACGGGCTAAAATAACGGATGAAATCCGTCGGCTAGAGGCCGCTAATGTCGCTAACAAAGAATGGACGCTAATTGGCGAGGCGAAAGCGGTGGATCGGCCTCTTAACTCGTTGATTGAGGAGGATTTGGATTTCGAGCGGGTCGGAAAACCGGTTCCAGTCATCACTGCTGAAATAACCGACGATATTGAGTCCCTCATCAAACAAAGGATAGTTGCTAAAGAGTTTGATGATATCATTCGAAGGCCACCACCTGGAGTAGGCGACTATACGGAAGCAAAGAGTAAATTCGTGTTGGATGAAACAAAACCGCAACAGAGTCTGGCGGAACTCTACGAGGCCGACCATTTACAAGCAACGGACAGAAACTACGTCAGTAAGAAAGACGAAAAGTTACAGAAGGAGAGAGACGAGATCACACAGCTCTGGAACAATATCTGCTCCCAGTTGGATACCCTTTCGAATTTACATTTTCGACCCAAGCAGCCAGCTACTAATATCCGCGTGGTGGCCGATGCCGATACTATTGTTATGGAAGACGTTCGGCCCTCTGGCGGAGACAGCTTGAGTACTTCCGGGACTCTCGCGCCCCAAGAAGTGTATGCCCCTGGGGATAAGAGCCGCACCGGAGAAGTTCTGACTAAGGGCGGAGCGGCCATTGCCAAGGATGAGATGTCGAGAGAAGAGAAGCTCCGGCATAGGAGACGTGAAAAGCAAAAGAAGCGGAAGAGAGCCATGAAGGCTCTCAAGAACCCGGCTAGCGCAGCGGCAAAGAAGCAGCAGCTTGTTTCAAGCCTTGGAAAGGGTGGCGTCAAAGTAATTGGGAAAGACGGTACCCTGACGGACATGCGCGGGCAAAAGGTGCTTGCTTCAGACAAACCTACTCCGCAACATGCTTTGAAGCTATAAACCAGCCTAGGTATGTTAACTCACACGGGATGAATAGTATTACGTGCTGTGAGATGATATATTATTCTTCCTAGCCGGTTGCGGCTTTCTTTTCAATATATACAAAAATATACTCTGGTGTTTACAGGCCACATGGTTAATACCGTCAGTGACCTCGGTGATTTCAAATACCTTCCTCGCCATTTTTATAAATCGTAAATCCGCCTTACGACGCTTTTTAAAGCAAAAGTAGCACATCGAGTTTTCCCCCATTAATCCATCGAGCGTGGAAACTAGTAAAGGGAACGCCGGTTCGAAGTACACACAGTCCGCTGCGAGTATAACTTCGGGGTGCGATGGTAAAGTCGTGAGTGCGTCTGAATCGCCCCAGTCCAGCAAGGCAGCAACTACAGAACCCGAGAGGTCATTCAAAATGATGTTCTCTTCGATTAACGGCAGCATCGGCTTTTGATCGGTGACGTAGATAGGAGAGTCGATTTTGCAGCCTCGCGCGACAGCAAGGGCAACGAGGCCGCTTCCAGCCCCAAGTTCAACACTAACAGCATGTGTTAGACATATGTTTGCAACAAGCTCGCTTTGGTGGGGTAAGGAACAGACTCACATTCTCTTCCCGAGAAGATCCTCGCTGTGTTTGCGCAGCATATACTTTGATAGTACCATGCCGGCGGGCCAGATGTGGCCGCCACATCCCTCTTTGGGATCCTCTCTTAGCTGTAAAGGAGGATTCAGAAGGCCATCGAATGTAAACTGAAGCGTAGTTGCAAGCTTAATTTCTCTAGCGGGGACGAGAGATTCGCTTATCGCTAGCTCCTCAGTAGGCGAGGAGTTCTGGTTGGGGATGATGCGGTCCTCGTGATCCATTGAACAGGCCCATATGCATTTATTCGATCCGAATTTCGTGAAGAGACGTTGGCGACTGGAGACGTGCGAGCTCGACAAAAGAAGAGCGCAGCAGCGTGTCGTACTGTGCGTGGCGAGGAGAGGGGTGTCTCTCATCCCACCTTCCGCTGGCCAGACAATTTTCTTCCATCTTATCAGATCAGATAAGATAACGACTCACGATCAGGGATCACGTGGGAAACGCTAACTAGTTATAGTTAGTTACTTACCTAATCCCTGGCTGCTTGGTTGCTTGCAGCTCCGGGATCAACATCACCACCCTCCCTTTTAGCCCGCTCTTCGATCGCGATGACACCGCGCCGTGGGCATCTAAACGATTTGGGAAGGGGGGGAGGCGCTCTTTTGAGCTCACATGAGCCAAGCATCTATTCCGTGGGAAATCACAACTGGGCCCGTTCGCGACTATCGAAGCTCCCAACCGCATGCAAATATCATTCTTTTATGACACATATTGACACTGTCAAGTCAACGGCCAATGGCCGTCGTGAGATGGCGGTTACGTACTTAACTATGGACTTGGCCATCAGACAATTCAGGAGTGTAATACGGAAGTACTCTGCACTCGTCGGATAGTAACACCAATCACGGGTGGCTTCTCGTGTCATAATGTTAAACGCTGTCGAGCTCTTTATGATGAAAAGGCCGCAAGTTATCTAACTTTGGATTAGCATGACTTGGCACATTTTCTTTGCCTTTGTAGCATCATCTCTCACCGGAACACTGGTTTCATGTTGAGAACATAGGATAAAATGACTCAAGACTCTGTTGATCCGAGCTGAGTCTGCTGGGCAATATCAAGATGTCCAGGTGCCCAACAACATTATAAAATGGGATGCATTACCCCAGATTTTGGGGTAATCACAGTGTCAAACTTGCTTCTACGCCGTAAACTAGTTTTCTTGTTAAAGGGCATAGTTTCTTCAGAGCCTCTCCACCATGCAGTTTAAAACCCTCCTCGGTACCTGCATCCTCGGGCTCGCTTCCTTCGCCCTGGCCGCTCCGTCTTCCGGTTCCAATTCCAAGCTTCCAACCGATGTCTATATGGACAAAATTATGCCTGTGCAACTTGCGCGTATCTACGATTTCCGCTCCTACTTTTCCGATCTGACTCCTGAACAAGAAAAATATCTTGACAAGCTCGCCTATAAAATCCGGCATATGAACTTCAAAAACCTCCACGAAATCCAAGCCGAGGGCGAAGAAGTTTTTAAAGAAAAGGGGCCAAAGCCAACGGGTAAACCCAAGAGGAGTGACAATGGCCGGACTAACTTCCCTCGCGACTTCAAAGTGCTTTTCTCACCAATACGAGATATCTTTGTTCACTATCAGTGAGAAGCCGGACTCTGAAAGAAGTTACTTAATCTGTGGGAGCCTTTGCGGAACAGGACATGCTGGTAGTATTAGTGTGACATTTCACAGGGGACGCTGGACAAGGCCTTTGAACGTTATCACACGATACATGGAATGGAAAGCGTAGGATATCTTGGAGATCATTCCCATGACTATATAAGTGATATAATTCTGCATCTGAGGAGAACAACACTAGACCTTGAACCGATTGGATATTTGTAACTACATGTATACCGCGTTACACATCCAAATAAAACACACTCTATTTTGTCAGACTTAAGTTCCTTTTGTATGAATTGAACGAAACGAGAAAATAGATCCTCTGACCTTCAGATTGAGCGCCCTTTACCCCATTCTTAACTCTTGGCCTTGGTCCAAGCATGCTGCACACTTGGGTATTTAGAGAGTGCGTGGTTCATCTGACCTGTGTTTGTGCGAAGACTAACAGATAAAAGCTCAACAAAGATTCCATCCTTGTGTAACTTTAAGACACCGCATATTTCGGGAGGGGAAAGGCGCCATTTCTCGGTGTGTAAATGGATTTTTTAATCAGAGAGATCTCAGGATATGCAGCGACCCCCGATCTGCTAAATTGCTAGTACATATGCCTTCTTTTAACCCCTCTCATACAAAGGTACTACTTTCTTCATTGTACTACCATTTGCGGCCTGAATTGAGGGTCTGAAAGGCAACAGATGTTTCACCCGCTTTATATTCTGAGATGCCTGCCACGGGAACCCCGCATTGTAAGAATGCTAAGGTACCACCCGTATACTGTCCATACCGGCAAAAATTCTTCATCCATTTCCATTTTGTCCTACATTCAAAACCTTTACCCATATGTCATCAATGGGGTAAATCCATGCAGCATCCCCACCAAGCTTCCTCGTCTCATCCATTTGTTAGAACTTGCGAGGGAAGGAAGTGCTTTGCGTAGGAGAGCTGGAATGGGAGAGGTTCATACAGGACCCTTCTGATAAACTATTTCAGGGCACTAAATGATAAGTTAGTCATCGTTGCTTCATGGAATAGAACACTTTAAATAATTACTTCTATTCCGTACCCAGTAAGGGGGACAGGTTGGCTTCTCCGCTTTGCACACCTCAAGACAGTGATTTTCATTAAGTGGTTCTAGGTTGAGAGAGGGGTTTGCTTGGCTGACCAGCAGAAAGCTAGCCGTAGCAAAGATTCGGAGTAAGCGCATGTTGGCCCACCGACAGTTCCTCGTCCTGAAGAAGAAAACTACTTGAAGAATTTCTCTCGAGGCTTATGAAGAGATAACGAGGCGAAATGGTCAGGTTCAAAAAACCAAGGGATTGGGATACAGATGAGCCTTTTATAATCTGGTTTCGATGAAAGGCGGAAAGAGAAAGAGCACGCTCCAAGTCGTACCCTCTGTTTCGCTGCACGCAGCCAGAAAGTCTCTCGGTGTAAGTGATCTGTGATATATAAAATCAAGAACATTTGATCTTGGTTTGATATTGCGAACTTGCGAAGCTGTGATTGACCGACCTTGCAACCCGCTCGGCGCTCAGCCAGTCACAGGTCAGATGTAAACGATCAAGGTTACGAATTAAATGTCAACGCCCGTCAAAAATGAGCAAGCGATCCTCTGTACGGTGTACGGAGGACAGAGTATCAACTGGATGGTCGGTCGATCGTTTTGACCACAAACCTTCCATCGGCTCAATTTGAAAATGTGAGTCTCCTCTGCAAACACGCCATCCGCATTGCAGTGCCTAGCGATGTACTTCATACTCCGTACTATGTATAACTCGTATTGTTAACGAGGCCGAGTGCCTTTGGTGGATGGTTGTTCAAAACGTAACGACCATTGGACACTACTAATTACGGAGTACTAAAGGATGCAATCGGGGCATCATTGAAGTCGCAAGTTAACTAGTAGAACATCAGAGCCAAGAGCTTTTGCTGTCATCAAACCCAAAAATCCTGGGTGCAGATGGTCAGGCTCCTGAGGACGATATAGTCGCGAAGGGAATCCAGCATGTTTCTTCGAACATACATACATGATGCATTCGTGGCGTCCATGAAAGGTGATAAAAAAAATGCAAAGTTTGAGGATTCTGGTAGCCCTGGGTTCGAAGTTGCTCCTGTGGGTATCGTATTTTTGCTAGTAGATCGGATCTACGAGGCCGCCGGACGAGTCCTTGGGACTCCGGTTCCATAGACAACCAGTAACCCTGCCCGTTTTATCATCTGTAATGAATCGATGGCCTCAGATAGGAAATGCTGCCAAGCAGCCAAGGACAATGAATGGCAGGTGAACTCTATTAACAGTAGGCAATGGTTGCCGGTTGGTCCCGAATATGCCATAAAAGTTCAGGATAGCATTGTCATGAATTTCATTCCCGGTACATTTATATATGCTGCAGCCACCAGACTATAGACTTCTCAGAGGGCTTTCGCGTTCAACCACCCAGTTCTTCACATGACGATATATCATATGGATATATCCATTATCCACAGCTGGTAAGGTAACAGCACGAAAAGTTTGAAATTTACTTCTTGGCTGCTTTTTCTTGCCTCTCGCGCATTGCAGCTCGGGCGCTTCTACTTCCGCCCAGCTTAGGGCCACGAGGAACATCACCTTTCGAGGATTTCGTATTCTTTGACCTGGCTCCACGTCTCCGCGACTGGATAGCATCCAAGAAATCACGTCTGAACTGTTCCGCAATGCGATCATCCGCGGCCTGATCATCGCCAAACTCTTGCTCGGGCTCCTCATAGACATCAACTATGAAACCGTTAGTATTTCAAAGAAAGATGTGGAAATAAAGGCCATGCCTTACGTTTGCTCTCCCGTAATACTTCTTCAACAAGTTGATCCCGTCTTATATCTTCACTATTGCGTCGTTTTCTATGGCGCCACGACTTTCCGTCTTTATCTACGCGAGATTTCTTTCCCCCTACATCCTTATCTTCAGTCTGTATAGGCTCGCCACTCGCCAGATTTCTCGTAGCGGCTTTTGTTCGTTCGATATTCCGCAATTTCGAGTCTGGGCCGAGATCTATCTCATGAAGTTTACCCAAAGTAGCTGGCTGGCGCTGAGGTAGCTTGTGGTCTGGGCCTTGGTTGATGATCTCTTCGGGTTCTAACTGGTTGTGTGTGGATTCAACCGCTGGGCTGCGGCGATGACGTTTGGCCATCTCAGACTCTATATAGGTCATCCTTATCTCGTTAATTTCCATCACAAAGCGGCACTTCACAATCACAGGGAGGGCGATACGTACATATGCCTATCTACATCAACCTTTTGTCCCGTAAGACCAACAAACCGGTCTGATATCCCGCCTAAACCACCATCTCCAGCCTCGCTCGCCACTGTCCCTTCTGAGGATGGTCGAGGTGTCTTTTCTGAACCCCATCTCGGCCCCGTCGAGAATTCTATTCCAGCTCTGCGGGATTTCAATCCCTTTCGAGCACGAATGATCTCAGCGATAGGTACGGCTGCACCATCGTCCTCCAAGGTAGGAGTAGCAGACTGGGTGACGTCGTTCGTAGCGAGCTCAGGCGCCTGATCTTGAAAATCCGACTGATGTTCTGCGGGCGGCGTTGTTGCGCGCCTGCGTATGAATTTTCTCCTCTTCGCTGGATTGAAAATCGGCTGTTCAATCTCCATTTTGCACTCCTGTAGACTTTTGATTTGTTGTGATGGAGGACGAAGATGAGGACGCTCCAAGTCAAGCAAGATCTCAAGATTAGATAAGAGACAGCAAGCTGCGCTATTCCTAAAGCGGCGATGGCTCTCTCACGCCCGCCCCGCCCAGCTGCTCATCGCGACCGCATTCCTGCTCATAGATACGGCCCCCTACATTTAACAGCTGCAGAAACTTTGAGTGTACAAATTGCTTGCTTTTCTTGCCTCTTGTTGACCTTAGTTCCGTGCATTTACTTCGGTCAGCGCCTTGAGACTCCACCAGACTTTCTTCGTTCCCGCGGCCAATATGAACTCTTCGGTTCCCCCCGCGACGGCGGAATATGGAGGAGGTATGATTGCCCACGCTTTGCCAATGCTCAGGCAAATTTATTAGCGCAGGATTGCTAAGCCGTAGAGTATACAGACGAGGTATCCGCCATTATTCTCGACCCAGGCTATTCCTCCATTCGCGCCGGATTTGCTGGTGAAGACACGCCTAAATCTGTGACCCCGACATACTACGCGAAATATTCTACGGATGGGCAAGACAAGCACATATACGGGGATAGCATCTATGTCTCGCCGCGACCGGGCCTGTCTATTCACAATCCGATGGGGAGTGATGGAATTGTGGAAGATTGGGATATGGCGGAGAAATTGTGGGAATATTCATTTTCTTCGCGGCTGACGGGCACGAAACCTGGCAATCCCATGCTCAATGGGTTAAATGACACATCAGAATTGCCAACTGAGATGGAGATTGTGGAGTCACAAGAGAAGCCTTTATCAGATTCGCCATTGCTCATGACTGAATGTGGATGGAATCCGACCAAAGCTCGGGAGAAGACGATTGAAATAGCGATGGAGAATTGGGGCACACCAGCCTTTTATCTTGCTAGGACGGGACCGTTGGCTGCGTAAGTGCTAGGTTGATTTCGTTCACGCATGCTCTCCCGTAAAATACTGACGTCGCTTTCCAGTTTTGCCGCCGGCAAGGCGTCCGCTTTAGTTATTGACGTTGGCGCGTCCACGGTCTCAGTCACTCCAGTACACGACGGACTGATTTTAAAACGTGGCGTCCAACATTCCCATCTTGCCGGGGACTATATCTCCTCCCAAGTTCGCGCACTCTTTAAACAAAACACTCCTCAACCCATCACAATTACACCCCATTACCTCATCTCTTCCAAGACAGCAGTAGATGCTGGCCAGCCGGCGCAAGCAACGTACCGCACAATTCCCGATGATCAGGCTCCTGACGCTTCGTTCCGTCGACTTCTGGAAAACCGGACCATCTCCGAGTTTAAGGAATGTGTGGTCCAAGTCTGGCCCGGCCCTCAGGGTTTATTAAATGTCAACCCCAACGGAGTGTCCAACGAAGACCTAGCGAAAAACAGCCCAGGCCGCCCCTTCGAATTCCCTGACGGCTACAACCAACTCTTCGGCACAGACCGATACCGCGTCGCTGAATCATTATTCGATGCCAAAGCCGCAATTCCAGATCCTGATTCTGAGTTCCCCGCGCCCACTGCTGCACAGACAATACCCGAGCTTGTTCGCAGCGCCCTCAATCAGGTTGACATCGACATACGGCCACATTTGCTCGGTAACGTGGTGATTACGGGCGCGACCAGTCTCCTGTACGGATTCAATGATCGGATAAACTCAGAATTGACGGCCATGTTCCCAAGTCCTCGAGTGCGCTTGTTTGCGCCAGGCAATACGGTGGAGAGGAAGTTTGGCTCGTGGATTGGCGGAAGCATCGTGGCTAGTCTTGGCACCTTCCACCAGATGTGGATTTCGAAGAAAGAGTATGAGGAGCATGGGGCGAATATTGTGGAAAAGAGATGCAAGTGATGTCGGTGATATTTATAATACTCTGGGCTCCCCTCGTTTAACCATTATCGATATGAAACGGTGGGCGAAACAGCTTCTTTTTTGGTTTGCTTCCTTCGGAGGATGGATGATTCAACTATGTAGTTTGGGATGCGATGGAAAATTGCGAACGGCGTATGGATAAAGGTTAACTCCTGCAGACCCCTGCTATAGTATGTAAGAGAAATGGGCACGGAAGTCACATCACTTTGGAAGTTTCGTGCTAGGTTCCATAAGTATTATATGCTCTATCGTAATGGGATACAAAGCAACGAGATCACCATGAACCGATATTGATTGCGAACGTGAGAATAGCTCTCCAGCTATATTTATTCCCGGTCTCCTTCGTATCCAACCTCAACCTCATGCGTGGCCACCGTAGCATAGCCAGTCCCATTAGTGCCCATATCTTTCACTCCCTCTAAAGCTTCAGCAAGCTCCTTGGCATCACGCTTCCCCCGGTCGACGTCAACGAGTAGCATCAACGGCAGCGGAAGTAAGATAAGCAGCGCAAGGAACCCGAAAGCGGGCCTGATCTCCCCGTACCGATCTGTAATAGCACCCACAATGGCCGGACCAAACATGCTGGACCCCTTGTCGGTGATCGCATAGAGAGCGTAAAAGGATGCTTCAAACCCGGGTGGGATCAACTCGCCGAAGAAGCTTCGACAGTATGATGATAGACCGCCAAGCACAAGGCCGTAGATTGCTCCGAGAACATACATTTCCCATGGCTGCTGGAGGCCAATAACCCCAAGCCTCTTGATAAATGGGAGGAAGCCAAGGAGGCCGTAGAGGGGGATAACTTCGAAAAGACAGATGCATGCTACGATGGTACGCGACGGCCGAAGGTTAAAATGGTGTGAGATATAACTCCAAGAGAACGCACCGAGAACGCCTGATATCATGGCGATGACGTTTATGAGACCAAGGGCAGCAATGTTCATGCCAAGTTGTGTTTTTGCGAAAAGCACAGCCGTACCACTTACCGTAGCGATGCCATCGGATAGCAAAAACCAAGCCGCTAGAAACAGGAGCACATCTTTAAGTTGACGAGCTCGTACGATCGTTCGGCCAAGAGACACCCATGCAAACACGATATAACTAACCCACGCCCACCTGCCTTTCCCATATGCCGAATCTGGAAGCGGAGGACCAGGCCTAGGGCGGAGCCATAGAGCAGCGGGAATCGTGAAAACCAACCACCATAACCCGATGATAAAGAGTACAAGGCGGAGAGAGAAAGTAGTTGAATGGGTCGCAACGACGAGAAGGATGCACCCAATTTGAACCAAAACCGCAGCAATATACCCGATCCCAATACCATTCGAGGATAGTTTCGTAGATAGTCGCAACTCGGCTGATACAAGTGCCGAGTCATTCGAGCTGACATCCAGGCGTTCAGGTTCGTCCACCGGAGAAATTGTGTTGCTCCCGCTGGGGTTCTGAGTGTAATACGTTTGTTCATCTGAAGCAGCGGCATAGCGAGTTGCCTGTATTGACGGATCATTGCGTACAAGGACGGGCAGAAACGAATTTAAAAGCACGAATGAAGCACCAAAGCCTGTGTTGGCAATGATCGCGAGAACTGCTGCCAGGAGATAAAAACGAGGAAGGAGAAATAGAAATAATATCATAGACAAGGCACCCATGAGAGCAAAAGCCAAGAGAAATTTCTTCCGGTATACACCGTGATCCGCGGCGGCTGACATGGAAATAATGAGTACGGACTGAATGAAAACACTTATTGAAAAGGTATACATGGCGAAGCTGGCGGTGTTGATTTCGACACCCAAAACGTAGATTACGCACTGGGGAGGACCAACACGAGGAGAAGCAGCGGCGTCTGCCGCGGCATAGGCCGTCGGGGCAGTTGGCCAGCTTGCACTGCATGGAGTCTTCTTATCTGAAAGTAGAACACCTTGATCTCTCGTCATCTGTTCGAGGGTGATGGGGAGGAACGAGCCTAAGTAGAGAAGATGGATCAGCGAGGAAGGCATTTAAGAGACATAGAACGCAACGGTAAGCACCCAAGGTGAGATATTAACAGAGGCATACCCATGGCGCACACGGCGAACACCTCGGCAGCCCAGCCATAACTATACCACCCAGCCAGCTCCTTCTTGCTAGTGGGCCTAGTATCTTCCCCGGGATACTTATTGAGAATCGGGCGACGGAGGAGGGCCTCATTCTCATCAAGATTTCTCCATGTCGATGGAGGAGAACTCGTCATTTGTGTGGAATAAGCGCGAGATCGCGCAGAGCATGTCGCAATGGTCCCGTCGACCCAGCTCAATGAAGGTTCGTCGTTGTCCCCAGCCCAGCAGTCCTGCCTGTTACATCATTGTCACGTGTTCGTAGTATTAGTTACCTAAATAACCTTGAGGAGTGATTAGTCAGCGGGCCAAGTGTTGTTAAACCGGCGTAGCGTTAAGCGGAAATGGGGCGGACACATCAGCTTATCCTTGCTTACAGGCAAAACGCAATGCTGTCAAAAGATCACAGTTTTGTTTTTGCAGGCATTTCAAAAATGTAGATTTCATACAACATGTTTGGTTTCTGTTGGCTGATAGGCCACCCGCTCGCAGGACATCCTTTCATGCTCACAAACACCCTGTACCTGCATCACTCCCGATTCTGGTTGCTGCAGACGAGACATCGAACCTGAGAAAATGGCAAGCGTCCCCTCAACATTTCAGGGCCGGATCAAGCCGTCAGATTCTGCAGGTCCAGAACCTCTGACCAGGGGCATTGTTGGTCTGTCATTGGACCACCTCCCTGCAGACAGGATTTGCGTGATGGCGAATCCTGTGGGGTCACTGAAAGGGGACTCCCTGGTCTTGCCGCTTTCAAATCTCGACCGTGAGGTATTGGCTGATATATTTAGAAGGGCCTTGTTTGCACCGGTACTCTGGTGGCCTCAATTCTAAACACAACGGGAAGTGGATCACTTTGTCTCGACTTTTTCTCCTTCAAGGAGTTGGGCGGGACTTCGATCTTTTTGGGCATAGGAACTCCAGCATCCCCCCTTTGACACAACCATCCATCCGATACCCCGTGCCAACACCTCGTCGTTTGCCCCAGACAAGCCAGCCAGCACCGCAAAAGCGCCCTCCAACCGCGCACGGCCGACTCGCTGGTGCGACGGGCGAAAGCGAAGCGTCAGAGCGCGCTTTTCTTGGCATTTTTCTGACCTCCAGCCCCATCGGCGCGGTGGAGCGGTGTGGCTGATAAAACACGCCGCGAGCCAATCAGCGTGCGGCGGTGTGTTCCAGCTGAGACTCGCCAGGGGTAAGCCAGCTCCATCGACACGGTTACGATACCGCCGGATTACACGCCAGCTGCTTTGTTGTTGGCTGGTCACGATGTGGTAATTTACGGGCCCTTTCCCTCCTGTGACCTGGCGGCTTGTCCGCCCAAATTCGCCTGTCTTTGTCTTGCTTCTTCGCTCGAACCTCTCCTTTGGATTGAAAACCTCCGCCCAGTCCGCCTTTCACTCTTTCTCAGACACTATCAAAGTCACTCCCTTTCTTCATTCGTTAGCACTCCGTCCCTTCATGGGGCTTCCAGTTTGTTGACAATTTCCTGTGAACAGCCATCTCGTTCGTCCAAGTTTCCTTGGACCTAGCATTCATATCTCATCTTCATTTCTACTTCGGAGTATTATAGACTTACTTTCTGTGCGGGTTGACCCTGCATCCTCTTTGTTCGACTATCTTGCTTCCATCCTCTTCAATATCCTTCCGCCCCCGACCTGACACCGATCTACATACCTGGACGGGCGAAGCTTGGACCATCATCCCTATCTCTAGCATTTCTCCGTATCTACCCATCGAATGCCCACCCTGACTCGAAAATTCACCAAATCTGATTCGAGTGACTGAGAAAAAAATTCGTTACTCCATCATTGCAGCCTGGTTGGCTTGGTGCCAGTGACTCGCCTAGCATGGGGTTGGGACGCTACCTTGCCGTGACCCCCTTAGTTTGGGCGGCATCTTGCAATCTAGCTCTAGCTGGCGACGTGTTGAAAACCAACGGATTTTTGACGTGTCTCGATGATGCCGACATCAAGGTTGAAAGGCTCGATATAAGTTTCGATCGGTCAACGAATAGAATCACCTTCGATGTTGCTGGATCAAGTTCCAAGGAGCAAGAAGTGACAGCTTCCCTCGTTGTCAATGCTTACGGGCAAAGATTTACGCAAGAATTTGACCCTTGTGATGAAAAGACGAAAGTTGATCAATTGTGCCCAGGTACCAAGCCGCAACAAGTGCACGCTTCCTGGGGGCAACATTGAGCTAATGCTGCATCTTTCTAGTTCCCGCTCGGTCTTTCGCCGCAAAGGATTCGGTTACAATACCTTCCGATTTCATTGGTAAAATTCCCTCCATTGCATTTGCAATCCCCGATCTCCAAGCAGAGGCCACCTTAGAACTGAAGGCTCGGGACAACGACAAGCCCCTTGCTTGTATCCAGTCCGTCGTTGGAAATGGGAAAACTCTCGAATCCCCCGCGGTTTCATATGCAGCTGCCGGTATAGCTGGCGCTGCCCTTGCCTTGACGGGGGTTAGTGCAGCAATGGCAGGCGGTGCTCCAGGTGCTGCCTCAACTGGTCCCAGTTTTGGCGACGTCCTCGGGTGGTTCCACACCATGGCTATGAATGGGATGCTGAGCGTGAACTATCCCCCGGTTTACCGTAGCTTTACGAAGAATTTCGGCTTCAGCACCGGTCTTATTCCGTGGTTCCAGATGCAGTCCACCATCGATGACTTCAGGAATCGGACAGGAGGTAATCTCACGCATAGCAATGTCGCCTTTTTGCGCAATGCCACCTTGATCTTCGGAGATAACACCAATTCGAAGCAACCTGCAAAGCGCGATTTGGGATCCATCTTCAACCTCCTACCGCTTGCAGTGCGAGATGTTGAAGTTACGGAGAATACGTCCCCTAGCGATGACAAAAATGAAGACGGCATTAATCATGTTGTGTCGCGTTTCAAGGCTTATGCTGAGCAACTTTCCATCCCCGAAGCAAACACGTTCATGACGGTCCTCCTGGTTTTTGCCATCATTGTTGCCGGTATTGCTGTTGGTATCTTGTTGTTTAAGCTCATCCTGGAAATCTGGGCTCTTAAGGGAAATTTTCCGCAGAAGTTAACGAATTTTCGGAAGCACTACTGGGGACTACTTGCTCGCACAATAACCAACTTGATTCTCCTGTTATACGGAATCTGGACGTTATATTGCATTTTCCAGTTCACCCACGGGGATTCCTGGGCAGCAAAAATACTGGCTGGAGTCACGCTCGCGATCTTTACGGCTGTTCTTGGGTATTTTACCTTCCGCATCTGGTCTGTGGCCCGTCGACACAAGAAAATGGATGGCGATGCGAGCGCCCTCTACGAAGACAAGGAAACATGGAGAAAATACAGTCTTTTCTATGACAACTATAAAAAGGGATATTGGTGGATTTTTATCCCATACATTTTCTACATGTTTGCCAAGGGTTGCATCCTCGCTGCTGGCGATGGACATGGGCTTGTTCAATCGGGTGCGCAGCTCGTCGTGGAGGCGCTTATGCTCATTCTTCTCTTGTGGGCCAGACCATATGAGACCAAATCAAGTCAGTGGATTAATATCTCTATCCAAGTGGTCCGTGTGCTCTCCGTGGCATGCATCATTGTTTTCGTTCAAGAACTGGGTATGGGACAGACCACCAAAACTGTTACTGGAGTGGCACTAGTTGCAGTTCAGTCAGCCTTGACTGGAATTTTGGCGCTTCTTATTGCCATTAATGCTATCATTCTTTTGGTTCGCAAAAATCCACACGTTCAGCGGCGGAAGGAGTCAGGTAAACAACTTTGTTCCCCAGAAATTATCTAGAAGATTAAATATTAACTAATTCTTTCCAGAAAAATATGACCGCGACCTCGATAATCTAACGCCACTGGACGCTCGCAATTCCCTACTGTTGAATTCTCGAACCGACCCTAACGGTCGACAGGACCTAGAAGTCGGGAAACTAAATATGTTCGGCCGGTACGAACCGTATCGAGATATCCCACCAGGACCTCGCCATCAAGCATCTGAGAGCACCGATCATTTGGTGCCTCATAACGATTATGGCCGAGTAGGGCCCAATGGCGATGGAATTGATTCTAACATGTACCCCGACTACTCTCGCGTCGGAAGAGCCTACTAAATGTAGGTCACGGCAGCCCAGCGAAGGCTTTCTCCAAACGAATTTCCTTACCATATCTATATACCAAGCGCTTTCGTCTTATAGCATTTGCACTCTATCCTCTTCCTTTTCGCTATCTACTTTCACTGTCCATAATCTCTTTGTGAATAGGTTCTTCTTACTCCTGAGGTCCTGGTCTTCCTGCTATTGTTTAATTTTACATTCCTTTAGAAGTCTGCCAGATTAGCATTTCTTGGAAAAAAAAGCATTCCTTGCCTATTTTAGATCAATTCCTTCTCTGTACACTGACGCACTTTGTTGTCGCGCCTCTCAGATACCTTGACTCTGCGCTCCTCTCCCTACGTCCAAGCATAATGCTGCAAATATATCCGAAGACAACCTTCCTTAGCCCCATTCATGGGCGCTTTAACCAAATATGTCTCTGAAGTTCTTCCTGTCTCTCCTTAGATTCTTTTTGGTGTGGAAGTACCTATAGCGTTGATATAGACCAGAATAGTTCTTAATTCTAAAGCTTCTTGTCTAGAACTGGCTAAACATTTATACCCAACATCAGTATGATCTCAAACTCGGGCATTAGATACGGATTATAGCGGGATCTATGGTGTTTTCTCCACCAGGGACCAAAACTAAACCCCAAAAGGGCACAGGATAGCTACTCTGCCAGCGAAAAAAACGTTGTAGCGACAATCATAAGTAAGTACAGGATAAGGTATAACAGTAAAAGGCGTCTATCTTCCCGAAGGATCGCGATCAAACCTGATCCTCCCCATCATCATCTCTAAGCCCTGCATCCCATTTCAACCCCACTTTAGCATGTTCTCGCCCACCCTTTGCCCCGACCTCGTTTCTAATAATGCAAATGTCCTCTTCTGGTCCTTGACACACTTTCCTCCTAGCTAGGTTCTTAAACCTTGGGCCCAAGGGTCCACTGACGTAATGATATTGCCCGGCAAATCGGTACTGTCGTCTCTCACCCAGCGGGTATATTTTATCTCCCCAATGGCCTCGGAATGAAAACCATTCGATGGGCGCATTGGGTGTTCTATTTGAGGGGTATAAAGTGTCGTTGTGGGGCGAATAAGCGTACGCATGCATATTAAGGGAAGGATCCCACAGCGGTCCGGCGTCAGTTTGGTCGCGAAGGAGGCCCCAGGGAAGAATATAAGAATGTATTCCCGGGTTAGCATATATGGCATGAGTGCCAGTGGCGGAGTATATGACAGGCTGAAAAATGGGTTGATCAGTCAAGAGATTAAGGAGGGTTGGGGGAGGAGTTTAAACGCACTCGCTTGCCTAGTTTCTCCATGGCATTGTAAGTATATGCTTCTCCGCCGGAGTGCTCGCTGAGAAAGATAGCTTTAGGTTCGCCACGATGAAATCGAACGAGGGAATGCTCCCAGTCCCCAACATGGTTTCCAAAACGGAGATTGAACACCTCGTTTCCCAGGTTAAAGCTGTAAAAATAGAACCAAAATGCATCCACTATGCCGTCTCCTTTATCAATCACAATTAGCACTGCGGGGGCTTTACTCTTGCCAGCTGTTTTCCCCTTGCGGCCAAAGTATCCTAACATCTGGGTATTCTGTGACAGGAAGTCAATCGAGCGACGGTAAAAGCGTCCTTTTTGCCGGGAATAGGGAACAGGTTCCGGAATATTCTTCTTGCCATGTAGCCATTCTGGTCGGTTTTCCACGTTTTCATTACTCGTCAAAAAGACATGGCGACCGTGTTGCCAATTATTTAGGTCATCGAGATTGTCAAGTAGAGGGTGCTCCCATGTGGCTCTGAGGGGGGTATAGTTCAAGTATGGCGTAATGTGCGTTAAATGTTCTCCAATATCGCATGGCCAAAATTGTTCAGCAGAGAAGAGATGGACTAAGGGAGCATATTCAAGAACGTAGTCTGGTATCTCATGTAGTATCTGGCTGTCGCTATCCCTTGCAGACCGGGAAAGTTCCCATGAAAGGCCACCTGGTTCGGAATTGGCCTTGTTTCTAAGGGCATCATGCTCAGGAGCTGCGCCCTTTCCATTCGTAAAAAAAGAGTACAATACATTTGATATCCAAGATAATAAAGTCCAAGTCCAGGACCGGATGCGATCGGATAATGAGCTGCTCTTCGATTTTTGCTGATTGGTCGTTATGGTCTGAGGTGATAACTTAGAGGTTTCGTTGTCGACGAATAATGCATCGGAAAGTTGTTCTTGCTCTTTTTTGTTTGTAGCGAAATTAAGTGAAACGGTAGGCAAAGGAGTAGCAGATATAAGAATATCAGGCGACTTGATACCTTCGCCTTCACCCCCTAGATTAAGGATAGGATCTGGGGAAGCCAATACGGAGGACGAAGAAAAGGTTGTATGAATAAACGGGGGGCTGGTTTCAGACACAGCCGACACTAGCGGCAGCTGAAGCCCTGCATTGAACCGCGGGGCCACTGGATCCAACTTTGTTAGCAATTTTGCATGGACATCGAGGAACTTTCTGGTCCATATCACGTAGAACTGGGGAAAAGGTAGAACGAGAGAAGGCGGGGGTATCAGGTTGATAACGAGCTCATTTAGCGATCCAATATTTAATTGACTTGTTGAAGCAACATGCGACCGGCACATTGTATGTATGCTAAACCAAGTTGCCCATGGGCTTTAACGCACATGGCGATATCTCATATATAACGCCAGAATGGAAAGAGCTGAGCCTTTCTTTGAGCATAAATGTGCAGTCTGGATTTTTTTAATGCGCCTTGCATCCTTTCCGGAAAAGCCGGGCCAACGCAGCTCCTTGAAGCCAGCAAAGATTTGGGATATCCTGAAACCCTTGAAAGATAAATGAAGATGAAGGTAAAAAAAACTTACTCTTTACGTATACTCTAATCTCCTTAACCCCTTCAATGGAAAGTGACCACAGCTGCTGGTTTGCCAGGACCTTGTTCGCTGCGAAACCACATTATTATGTTGAAGTTTAGACTCCGAAAGCTGCTGAAGCGTGATGTGAAAGAAATTTTGGGAAAGCTTGTTTTACGCCCACCGCCTGATGTGGAATGTTGACTGACGATATGATTGGAACGCGGAAGAGCCCTGCCTTGGGTTCCATAGATCGGCTTTCCTCACAATTGTCCTATGGGAACGATGCCATGTCGAGGGGACGGCGACGGAGAACACTCTCGGAAAGGCTTTCCGCCACACGAGGTTCCTTCTTATATGATACTTCCCCGACGATGGACAAACATCAGGCCGGTTCCCGTATCATTATCTGCCATGATCGTTGTTCATCGTCAACGTCACTTTCGTCCGATCATCCTCCCGACAAACTCGGACTTTCATGATGCAACCAACAAGTGTCGGCTCGGGAGTGGGCGGAGGGCAGGCACCAATGACATCACGGCATGCGCCGGGGGTGCCAAGACATCTTATCAGATTAGATCTAATGACTAACGAACTTTAAACTGACCACATGCCAAGCCTGCCCTTGCTACGGAGCAGACTGCACTCTCTCGCCTTTCGTCACGTCGTCAAGCTTCTTTCCTGCTGATTCGGGGGGAGAAGTCATGCAGTCTCCTACCGGCAATTCCAAAGGCGGCAGCCCGCCTGTAGAACCAGAGTCAGTTGAGTCGGACTACGAGTATGAATATGACGAGTCCGAGAGGGAGGTGTGTTCCAGATACGACCAAAAAACACCAAGCCATACAACTAACAGTCGTCCTTTATGGTAGACATTTTACATCAACCTTGACCTCACGTCCTGCAATGGCCCGATACGACCGCCGAGGCAGAGATCTGCTGCCTCCTCAAATTCCCTCGTCCCGTTAGTTGATATGACGACTTCGCAGCCAGGGTCTCCAGTTCCCCACTCAAGCCCAAACCAGGGTCAATCAACTGGAATTGACCCAGATCTGGAAATGGAACTTCAAAATCAAATTCAAATAATGGAGCTACACTCACCTAATCCTATCGTGTCCTACCAAAATCAGATCTTTAGCTGTTCCTGGGCTGATCAAATTGGAACCGATATGATGTTTTCACTGCCTGGCGATGAAGACGATACTCCCGCTCTGCGACAAAATAGGGATTTTGACTTAGTTTCCACGACGCGAGTGAAAATCCTAGGTCAGAAAGCGCATCTCATATCGGGTTCTAGCTCTAGCCAAGCTCAAAGAATGCGCTCAGGAGGTTCTTCAACTGGACAAGCGCAATTCCTAGAATGCCTTATGAGAGCAAAAAGAGCTAAAGGTGAAGAGGATATTGTTCGAACAACTTTTCCTCAAGCGCAAAAGCGAAACCAAAATATTGAGGAAAGATTGCAGGGTTGGGCTAGAACTGAAGGAATGCTTGCTGAACTCGAGAACGTCAGCCAGCAGGCGCGGTCTGGCGACCCCGAAGCTATGAAAAGACTAGGAGAGATTTACGCACGATTTGATGCTGCTTCACGGAAGAATGTTGGACCAGAAACTCCTGCCACCAATGCCCAATCGTCGACGCCGCTTGTCCAAGAGCATCTACCCGGAGATTCAGCGTTGACCTAATAGCATTGAAAGCGGATAACAATTGCTTGATTCTTGGCTCCAAGAAACTAAGTGATTTGCTGCATACCGGAAATCTGAACACCTTATGTTTTTACAAATCGCAATAACCGCCATCGGCTCTCTCCTGGAAGACCTAAATATTCATGCTTCACAACATTTTCATTATGAAAAGCTAATCTTTTGATACACAAGGAAAGTATGATGATTCTCAGGGAATAATGGGAGCCCCCAAACACCCGCTCCTTTCAAAAACAAATATAAACGTGTTGAAAGCAGACATTATATCAGGTATATTCTCAAAGGAGCAAGCAAAACAGGGGAAATTGAGCGAGCGGGTCTTGCCTGAAGAAGGTAACTCGAGGGTTCTCAAAGAAACCAAGGCTCTAAAAGGTTATATTCTATAATAGTCGCAGACGAAGGGAACGCGAGGAAAGATAACAGGATTAAGACCAGCTCATGTCGAAATTAAACTGTTCGGGTATCGGGTTCAAATTTTTAGCACATCTTCCAGCCGGATGCTCCGACTGGAGATGGTGGAGGTGGCGGTGGCTGCTCATATTCATCTCTAAACGATGCGTATTTGGGAGTTCCAGATGATTTTTGGACAGCTCGCCAGATGTCTTGGCTGAGTGTGGCCGTGGACAGCGTTAGTTTGTTCGATTTTCCACTGCCGTTGCATTTTGCGAGCGGCGATTTTAGTGTTGCAGGTGATCCACAGAGAGCAGGTGTTTGGTATCGTGCGCAGTATGATTGAGACATTATGGTGTGATGTGCCGGTCGATCGAAAGACGATTTATATGGGATTTGAAAATTTAGGCGATGCACTTGCGACGTTCGTTCTTCGACGTCTTTTCGAGTATTCAAAATGCTTTAGTGACTAGTGGCTGCTTCGGAATGCGAAAGATTATTTCAGACCTCGAAACTCAAGAGGCTGTGGGATTCGAGTTCAATCGAGGAACGGAAGCTGATCAGAGATGAGGACAAATCGGCATGTATTGAGTGGACAACGATCGATCGATGGCTTTCTAAAATAAGGAGATTAATCTATAAAAGGAGATATCCTTAAACAAGGGGCGCCTTTATATGGGAAATTGACGAAAATGGATAAAGAAGCAATATGGCAGAGCAGAAGACAAAGGAAGAAAAGAGGAGAAGAGTTGTTCTGGCCAAAGCAGATTTCATTTAAACGTTCCAAATTTTTTTGGGTCAGCCCAAAATACGGGGCGATGGGCGTATCCAAAGTAATTTTCACGAGATAACGGTTCCTGTTTGACTGGGGTTTTATTTTGTTGGAGCAAGGTCCCTGGGATGGAACTCGATTCGTCGAAATTGACTTGCGAAGACTACAAACGGTTAAGCACGACGCCCCGAGCCGCGAGCTGAATCTGCACCCCGTGTAATGTTGCATTGGCAGGGCTAGCACTAGTAAACGTGGCGACAGGGTTATCGCTGTTTCACCATGTGAGCTCTTTTCTTTCCCTTCCTCTTCCTTTTTCCCCCTTGTTTTGCTTTTCGATTGTCTTTTTTTCCATCTGATCCTGGAATATCTTTGCTAAATAAGTTTTAACTTGGATCCCAGAGCTATAATTTGGGCTTGGAATTTTTGAACATTTTTGCCAATTTCAAGCGCCCAGGCAAACAATAATTGGTGACACGAAATTTTAGTTCGCTCAGGGGAAATTTCATGTTGATCCCGTCTGCGGGTCGGGTCGGCCTGGCCCGGCAACGATGCGACAGGACCCAAATCGCTCCAGAAGCTTCTAATTGAGCAAACAATCCTCGATCATCGGCACCTGCCTCCTGCAATCCTTGTTCTGGTGTGAAAGCAGACTTCGAGAAGCGCGTAAGCTTGGGTCTCGTCGCTTACCCCAGGTTTCTTTGTTTGTCGATGGTCAAACACGGCACATTGGTTTCTCGAGGCGCCTTCAGGACCGGTTAGCCCGGGATGCTGTTTGCATGCTGGTGTTAGCCAACCTGCCGATGATTGCTCAGCATTGGATTTCGCCGCCTCAAACACCAAATTCTGCAGATCGTTCTCCGAAGCTTAGACGTTCGATACATGGCAAACCCCGGTCAGGTACTCTAGGATGGCCTTGCGGAATTTCTGGTGGAATCCTTTTTTTCGCCAGTCTCCCGAGGTCGAATCCACACCCAAGGTACGGAGTAACGACTCTCGTACCACAGACGTATTAAGGTATTGCCACGTATTTGGCGTGGCCCTCTCCGGACCGTACGGCATCGACGGCACAATGAAACTGTGAGGTACTATCCCTGTAACTATCCCTTGGAATTGGGTGTCTGGGGCGGAGCATGGAGGAGTATCCTCCTTTCTTGGGCACATGTCGAACCTTTGCGAAACGAGCAAATCAAGTAGCTATCGATCCGGGGGAGCGTTGGCGCAAATCCACCAATCGGACGCACACCGTTGGGTATCTCAGCACTAAAAGCATTTGACAGCCTGTTCGGCATATTTGGTGAGTCTTACTAGTTTTTCCACCACGTTGTCTTAAAATTATCCAAGTCCTTGGCGTACCAACCCAGCCCAGGCCACTGAAACCAGAGCTGATAGCCACATTTTGTACCAGAGGAGACGGGTTTGAAAAATCTTTGGAGGTCGATTGTAACAAAGGTACTCCGTAGTTGCTCCGTATTCCGTATTCCGTACGGAGTAATCATAACTAAGCTCCAGGATGAAGCTTTGGATACCTTGCTCCCCCTCAAGCCTCCATTACGAAGCTCCCGAGGCGTTTTAGTCGCCGGTTCAAATTTATCACTTGGTCCAACATCACTAGTTTTCATGGCATGTGTCCTCTTGTCAGATGTGAGAAAGTCAGGGAACCTCGGGCTGCGAAGCCAGCTCCTGAGTGATAGGCCGTTTGACACTCCGTCAAGGACTTTGGATAGTCAAAAGTCCTTTTTCCCCCCTTCTCCCCTGGATCCCTAAAGCTGCTGCGATGAGAGGCAAAGAGGCCTTGAGAGGCCACGTACCGACTTGTTGAATGCCAATCATGCAAGCTACGTATCAGTTCAACCTACCTATCTTGAAACGAGCGTGTCTGTTCCCCCCGCCACCCTCACTGGTTCGGAGTCGGAGTTTTCGCAAGATACTCCATAACTTGCGCTTATGATTCTAGTTCCTTTTTTCCACCAAAGGTATTCACGAGTCACGACTCGCCCAACCTTAAGCTGCCATTCTCCATACAAACCAGTGGCTCCAGAACCCCTCTCCATGGAGTTGCGCACCGCTTTCCAACATCCACTAAGACGCCCTTATACTCCTTACGGGGTCGCAGTCTCATCTTCCGTGGCTAAGAAAGTTAGGCGATAACCATAGGTCCGGAGGTAATCGTGTGTGCTCTGAATCGCTGTCAAGCGCTACCGGCCTGTTCTCTCGTCCAGATTGTATTATATCTCATATATCTTATGTCCCTCGAAGTTGGGGAAATGTTCCAGGTCCTTGGAATACGCTCTCGCTCCTCATCGAGCTAACTAGAGAGGCCATATATAATCGGTTGTAATTCATTGTAGACGTTGAGTTAACAATATGGGGGGGAATAAAAAAAAAAAAAGGATGTCCTCTGGTCTCGACAACGATACGTTTTCTGCTGGTGTTAAACAGAAAAACCCCCTAATATAAGGATATCAGGGACATAAGCATTTTTGAGCAGGGAAATAAAGACTGTTCAATAAGATGCAACCCTCGATATACTTACTCCCTTTCCCCAAAAACCAATCATAACGTGGATATTTGAGGTTAATTGCCTTGTCGCGTAGTCAACCATCCTGCTTTTTCTTCATAATTATACGCGTCTGCCCCGACAGGTATTTGCTCAGATAAGCTGGCCTTTCAAAAGGTACAATTTGCCGTCTGGGAGTTTTATGCAGAACCTGGGCGGGCGGCCCCGAGACCGGAGTATGTACGGAGTAGTCTCTACTCCGTATTTTGTGGGTTATTTCACGTCAAAGCCTGACGTAACTAACGTAATCGGATTTGCGAGCCGGCTTGCTTTAGTAAGAAGAAAGGTCAGGAGCCTCTCGTAACAGCGCCACGAGCCATCCTAGCAATTATAGTGTATAAAAGGATTCCACCGGTTTGAAGAACGCCCTGGAAAATATGTCAGTCTCCTTTTTCTTCCCTTCCCTTTTTTTTTTTTTTTTTTTTTTTTTTTTTTTTTCCAGCAGGAAATATAATGGTCAACGCAAACCGTCATCAGACTAAAGAGGTAAATGACTACAAGGACGCTTCTTTTAACTTGTCAAGAGAGGTTGAAGCCCCATAACCATATTATCTCGACTGAGAGCATGACCGGCCTCAAGCCCTCAAAATGAGCAAATAGCTTCATAGCAAGCCTGTACATTTCCCACGGTCCAAAAAAAGGATATCATTTTCAACACTCTTGTGAAAAAAGGAGGTCGCCATTAAGTGGATGAGGCATGACTCCTCTGCTGACAACGTGGATGGGGGAAAGTTTTATGTTTTCTTGGTGATATCTCAAAGGGGAAAACCTGCCTGGTCAGTGCAGCTTGTGCTCATCGAACCACAAGACTAGTTGTCCATCTTAATATGTATGTGTGCGGCAGCAAATCATTCATCTTCAGGGAAAATTAGCGTGGAGTGGGGGGAAGGACTGAGGACCATTGGTGATATGGAGATATCTTGCATTGCCTGGTCATTTTTGGGGTTCAAAAGCTTGAGAAGTGCTCTGTACTAGGTACCTAGCAAACTGTCGGGGAGCAGCTGACGATGGGACAATTGTTCCCAAGGCACGGCCGGCTGCAGATGTCCCATGTAGGTACAGTAGGAGGTGTGTGCAAAGTCCGTTCAATTGGTTTGTGAAGGTAAGTGATCCGGGCATTATTTGTTGGTGAGCGACCTAGATGCATAGTAAAATTTTGGAGGTTAGTAGGTTGCTACCCCGTCGATGCCCTTGGTCTGGCAAGCTGGCCCCCAAGCATGAATGGGCATAGAAATATTGTACATGCATTGATGGAAACCATCTGCATGGCGCATGGGCAAAAATTCAGTCAAAAATTTCTCC